GTCACAATATTAGATGGACAGGCTGAGGCATGCATAGTTCTTGAAGGCACATTACGTCGGGGCCCCGACTCGGGGCATACTAGATGATGAGAGATGATGAAGAAAAGCCACATATAATATATGTCATATATTAAGGGACATGATCGTATACGACGTTCTCCGTTTCCGAAGAGGCCTGCCTGCTGGACGACGTCTCCTTCTGCAAAGCCTCCCCCGTATACGTGCCAGACGAGGGCTAACAAGGGTGGGTCTTCGCGTTCGGTTGCCCGAATTTCGAGTCACCTTACGGTGGCCTCTACCACGCGACGTAGACGCATTCGGGTTCATGTGGGAGTGCTGGACACCACAGATTTGGGGGCACCAAAACAGGCATGTGCTCATGCGTGCCCCATAAAAATGAGAGTCGATAGCCAGGGCGCGCGCTGGTCGACCCATATTTCGCAACCCTAAAATCACCTGCTTGGCAATTCTTGTGCAGAAGACCAACTTGGCGGGAGCTGTCTATGTGCAGTTATTGCCAATACTGAAGTTGGCGGAATGAGAACAACACGCAGATTACTGCACATCTGTTGAATTTTGCAGAATCCACCAAATCTTAGTCCAAATCAGTTGTAGAGTAACGTATTTCATCACATTGTTGTAATCTGTTCCAACACTGGTATCACCTATAATTCCTGTCATTAGGCCTGCGAATCTGTTTGGCGTCATTTTGGCGATTTCTGAGTTGGCGAAATCTGATACAGCCTTTTGCCGTGCATACTCACCATCCTGATCGGTTGATATGCGGGGGGGAGATCCCGGGAGATGCTTGATGAGTTGCTCCTAGAGGATACCTTGAGCGGGAACCCTTGTCGGAAAACTTGGAGGTAGTTTGAAGTCAAACAACTTCTCTATCTCGTGCACTCTCTCGGGAACTGGCGCAACGTATACACCCGTTCCTGTATTATCAAGAATATCACGGCTATTGGTCGCGCAGCATAAGACGCGAATGCCATGGGAAGCATCATGTTCAATAACAGAAACGCAATCCATAGTCGCATGTGATGTACGCATGCATGAAAGTGGAATATTGTATGAGTACGACTTTGTGAGGTTAGAGGATACTCTGTGTTGCGTTTGTTCTCCACCAATCCACGTGATAGCGCAGCCCAGGCTTATCGCTCCCATCGGAAGTTCATCATGGCTCAGAGGGGAACCTTGTCGACGGTGATGGACACGTCTTTGCCTCTGCTGTTGTTCTCATAGCGGTGTGTGGCACTGGTAGATACATATCGTTATCACCGGCGGCTCTCGCTAAGTATTGTGTTAACGATACGACCATGCATAAGGCGTCTGCGCCGTCTCAGAGCGAGCCCTGAGCAGAGATGTGTAGGGATGGCAATGATGAAGATTTTTTCTGTTCTGGTTGTGTTAGCCGACGTAACAATTTCTTCGATGACCGGTAGCAGGGCCCTACTGGTGGCATATGTTTAGTACGCGGGTTGGCAATCCCAATTACGCTGGATATATGCATATCGCAGCAGAGCTGATCTTGATGTTGTTGTGTATTCGTTCTTGACAGGTAGTATGGGGGCGACTACACCTGCCATACAGCATTCGTTTATCCATTGGATACGAAACATATTGACAAATATGTCTTATCGGGAGTAGTGATAATTAGCCAGGGGAAGACGCCAAATAGGTCCGTGGTCGGACATGTAGGCGTAGCTCTCGGAAGATGGCGACACAGCCTGGGTGGTGAGGTCAAATATCGTCCGCACGGAGCCTGTAGCTACTATTGCGGTGGGAGATGATATATTTGGGGCTGCGCTGGCGGCAAAAATCCAACAGTTTTCTGATAGAACTTTCATCATGAAGGAAAAAGAGCCTGGGGAGAAGATTCTACCATCCCAATCGTTACTTTGCATCATGTCGGGACGGTAGCTGAGTCCTCACGGAACTGCGTACGGGATCGAGATTCGAATCCACTCGTTGTTTTACTGCGTTAATGCCGTATTGGCCGTCTCCACTACGCTTCGAGTTTTCTGGCGGCGAAGGTCATTCGGGGCCGATCGCGGGCATCGGAGCGGTAATGTCGTCGACTGTAACAGCACATGCATGCCAAGTCAATGCCCATGCAGTTGCTGGCTTCCTCAGTGGCTTGTGTAACACTATGAGCATCGTTATGAGTTCACCAATGTCCGTCTCGTTCCAGGTGCTACAGCTGCTCTGTATCCGCTTGAACTGGTGAAGGTGCATACGCAGCGGCATCACAACGGAATGGGTCGGCCCAACTTGCGGACTATCTTCACGGACGTTGTGCGGCGGGAAGGTCTTCGTGCGAGCCTCTATAAGGGATTTGGTAGGGCCCCGTTCAGCTCATCGCTCCGCCTTGATTAGTCTCGCTTATACAGGCATCAGTCTCACCGGGGCATCACTCGCCTGGGGTCAGTATTTTTACGGGTGAGTAGATAGCAATTGCGGGATATGGCCTAAGTGAGTTGCCTCCAGTTATAATGTGTTGAAGACAGCTAATCCCCTGAGCCTCTCGCCTGCATGGAACCACCTCGTTAGCGCCTTTGCAGCTGGCTGTGCGGTAATAACATGTTTCGTGTTCGTTTGGAAATAGATCCCACCTGAGATTATGGCATGCTCTCGGTGAGCAGTTTGAACGATCTCCTGCGGCTAGCAGGCAATGTGGGAAAACATGCACATGGTCAACTGCATGTGCTGGTGACAATATGAAATTGCCGAGGAAATTCTGGGAATGTCTTATTGGTTTCTGGACACTTCTACCCTAAGCCGTGTGTGAACTTTCTTACTTCTAATTAAAGAGGAAAGTCCTCAACTCAGCGGGGGAAAACGAAGATAGTTTCCGACACTGCTAACAGGCTTCGAATATCATGTCAATGTAAATGCCTAGAATACTCGTAGGTACAAGCGTTGCTGTGTCCGCTATGGGTCGTCAAGCTTAACGTCCAACTCGGAGTGTATCCTGGTGGGACTGCTAGCTGCATCCGAGCACTGTATCGGTCAGAGGGTCTCTCTGGCTTCTACAGGGGATTGGTAAAGGGTAGTCTCTTCGTGTCTGAGTCGTTTATCGCCTTTATTCAGACACCTGGGCTATGGGGATGCACTCAAGGTGCTATACAATTCATGGTTTACGAAGCGATGCGGTAGTGTGTGGCGCTAATTTCGCCTTCTTCTTTGAGGGAACTCCTAGGTCCAAACTGAAATTATATCACGGTCAAGAGCAACTGAGTCCGGCAGATACCATGCTCGCAACTACCATTGCTAAGTCAGCATCAATGGTAGGCAAGCTCCATAGCCCTTTATTCAGTCACATGCAAATGTGGAGAAATTCTTGTCCAGCTGATGTCGGTATTACTTCAATCTCTTCCTCATCAGATGATTACGAATCCAATCGCCGTGTTGACGGTACGGATGCGAGATGCTGGAGTGAGGGGATACAAGTACGACAATATTTGGAACTCCATTCGCAGGTAAGCTCAGTTAGCTCAATCCTCGCGCTCTATATCTCTATCTTCAGTATACTCGCCAAGGACGGTGTATTCGGTTTCTATCGAGGCGTTTTCGTTTCTTTGGTAAGCTCAGTCGTCTGTCGCAGCCATAGAAGCGATGGAACTGCGCCCCCTCAGGTCCGCGTGATGCCGGCGCAGTGGTGTACTTTTGTGACGTATGAATGCGTGAAAGATGCTATCCTCCGTTACCAGGAGGCCAACTGCTCTAGTCACGAGCTGGAATAAATTGATTTCTTGTTTCTCACTGTGCTGGTCTACCGTCTTGCTGTATCATATGTTACACTGTAAGAGAAAGAGTACCATTCATTCAGCTCGGGTTAAGCCGAATTTATTCCTGGTCACCTCGAAGTGGTTTCTCTGTTGGAATTGAATGGGTTGCATTCCGTATCGAGTTTCATGCAAATGGTTGAGGCCATCGTGGCAGGCGTCGATAATGACTCAGAATGGGGATCATCAACACGACTCTACTTCCTCGTCGGAACGCTATGGGAACAAATGGTATGATTACCAGAATCAGTTGAAGAAACGCTATGGACCTGGCGCAGATCTACTCATCCGGATGGGCTACGTGAGAGCCGGCCGACGACGATCAGAAACGATCAGTTCTCTAAATTTTCAGGTGCCGAATGCCGAGGATCATACAGTCCATGCCAACCCGAATCACGGTCGCCGGGGACTGGGCTACTCAACGGCGAACCAGGAAGGGCCGATCTTTCGGAGAGGTCATGGTTCTCGAGATTCGAGTCAAGGTGGGCTGCGAATGTTCTCAAGATGCTAGCAATACTGGTGTCTCAGTAGAACTGGAAGAGGGATTGGATAGATGTCATTGGAACATCGGTGAAGAACATTTTACCCATGAGGAACTAGCAGCCGTTCCTTATGCCGACGAGGAACCTCTCACCACACTGAGCGACCAAGAAGGGTTGCCAGTTGCCGGTGACTTGGAGAGCGCGGATTTCTTAGCGATCAGAATCCAGGGTTCCCAGATTACAGGGGAGAAGAAGCGTGAGAGCTGACCAATTCTCGTGCTGAGTGTACGTCATTATGTCAGGCGGTCGCGGACTTGCCAACCGTAAGATGAGAAAAGCGGCCAAACTCCAGAAGAAACTACTGGCGGTTGAAAGGAGAAGAGGGCGACACGGGGCTTGTGCGAGTTCTGAAGTGAAATCCGGTTCCATTGATCCATCCAAGTTATTCTTCGACGATCCCAAGGGGGACTCGTGAGTTTCTTGTAACCTAGAGTGTGTTCCTTGTTGTCACTAAAACCTCTCACCTTGCGCATGTCGTTGACCAAGGGCCGGCGTGAGAGTTAGGGCAGGTCGACTAGCAGCAGTACAAATCGTGAACTACAGAATGTATGTGGCGATAAGGCATGCGTGTGCATAAATAGTTTGACTTGCATTGATCTGAGTATACTATGTACGAAGCACCCAAGACTCTCATGTTGAGAGTTATTCGCCCTGGGAGACGTAGAGTCCATCATGGCTTCCCATGCCGCGTCTCTTAGTAGTAGCTACTAATGAAACTACATTCACGTTACATTCACGTTGGACTCGGAATCCGTTTCCCACAAGCAGTGAACGGAGGAAAACACTGTGCATATTCATGGGTATCCACAACTCGAGTATACTAATCGAATAAAGGACTTGCTCAATTATCAATGCACAAGGAGGTCAATTCACTACCCAGGAAGCCACGATAAACTAGATAATAGTCCTGTCCATAACTCTCCCTTATATGATTATACATTAAACAGTCCGCTCCTTTCTGCTACATGGCAAAATCTTACAAACGCCGCTCGCGAATCTCTACCTTCCCCAAGGAATCCTAACTTGCCTATTATCCCTGAGACACTGAGAAAACACAATCTCAATCCGCCATAGAAAAAATCGCTACTCGCTGTCATACAAATATAGATATCAAAGAATGCCCTGTTTGGTTCTAGTTCAGCCAAGTAAAACGACTACTATCATGAAGATATATTACGATCTACTAACTAAACTGATCGTAGCGATCACAAGAGCCCCGTTGAGGGAACACTCTTCCTCGACGCCATAGTAGTAGGTGTCGTTTCTCCCTGCGCATTTTCCTCGAGGTTGTGCATGAACTGATAGAAGGCAAACTCACTGGCCTCCAAGCCATACTTGTAGACGAACGTATTCGCTATCCAAGTAGCACAGACGGCGAGAATATAGGCCTCAGGGACCCTCCCCAATATCTTATCGATTCCACAGTGGACCAACAACAAGCGGGGGATGGCGCGGCGGAGAACAGCACGAACCAACCAGTCGTTTTCGGGATTCTTCTCACTGAAGACCTTCATCGTGTACTCCTTCAAACTGTTGATCTTCTTAGAGAGTAGCTGAGTGGCATCTATCTTCAAAACATATCCATCGCCATCCGCAGCCAGAGTCTCGTGATTTGCTTTCCAGATAGCGCTAAACTCCATCGAAGCATTGTGCTGAATGACAGCCAAGATCTCGCTCACATACTGCTGATAGAATTCGGGTGGTGGCAGAGTAGAGTCGGGGATGGTCAGCAGCTGATCATGCTCCTTAGGATCCATACATAGCGCAGCGAAGACCTCCAAGCTGCTCGAGGTCACCCCACCCTTGTTAGTCGAGGCGTCCTTGAATAAGTGCACTCCAGCTTCCTCCAACACACGACGTGCATCATCCGTGAAGAATAAATTGGCACCCTCGACGATATACTTGAACTTGGGCTCCTTTTGGTAGTTGAACATGGTATGAATATTACTCATGTTCACGGTAGCCGGTCGGCCACCGCACGGTACGAAGAGGTCTCCAGCGCAATATTCGAGCAGGGGGAAAACATTGCGCAGCTCAACTCCAGTTTTGAAGTGCTCGCCGTTGGGCAGATCGATGTTCTTATCGGTTATGTTATACAAGAAAGCCTTCTTATCATCAGACAGCTTGTCCTTGTTAAAGTTACCGATCGGTATGCGCAAGTGCGCTAAGCGGACTAACTCTTCGCGATCCAGGCCGTTGGGATCGTAGGCAACGCCGGAACCATCCACCACAGCAACAGTCTTGTCCTTAGCAATGAGAATCTCATTGGACCCCAAATCTCCATCTGGTCCACCAGTTTGAACCTTAGTAATTTGGGTCTCGTCGACCCCGAGCAGTTGAAGTAGCTCCACAACATACTGGTGAACGCTGTTGGTTGTCATACCATATCGATCATGAGGGACTCCACCAAGCTTCGTCGATTTGCCGGTAGTGAGAGCTTTCCAATAAGGATAGCCTCTGGCCTTAGCTCGGTAAGCACCCATGTCCATAAACCCGGCAGTATTCTCGTCGGGACCGAAGAACAGAATCTCGGGAGTCGGCAAGTGTGAGTAGATACCAGTCTGTTGAGGCATCATGCAGTCCAATAGGGCATCGATATACTTGTTGAAGGAGTCACGACCGTTCGTACCGAGATTCTGGTCATCGAGGTCGAGAAGTATGGTACCCTTGGACCCCCCCTCAGGAATGTCCTTGTTCTTGAGATGTTGGGTGAGAGCCAAATTGTAGTTCTCTTCCAACAGAGAGGAGGCGTTCCTGCTGTACACCTGCCTACTAGCCGAGCGTATCATACGGATACCACCTCGAGCAATGTCGCGGAATCTGATGTGAAACCCATAGAAACCACGGCCAGTAACCATGTAGATACCGTGAGGGACCACCGGGAAAAGAGACCGCGGACGATCTACAAGCAACGTGCCATCAAATCTCATGGCTATTGCTGCCGCTGTACCAACCTTGAAAAAATTGGTCATACGCAAATGCGCAGTGAGCTGCAATGCAGTCTTGAGGATCTTTGCTTCCAACCTATGCGCCACCTCATCGTCGATCTTCCCGGCCAGAGCAGTGTTGTAAAAGGGCTCGCATTCACCTTTAGCGACCTTCTTGAAGTCTTCATAGATCAGACACGCCAGCTCGTAGTGAGATACCAGTGTATCGTAGATCCTCTCAAACGTGATAGCATTCGACATGGTTTGCAAGAAGAGATCGTCCAGCTTGCGTTTCATCTCAGCATTCGCCTTAGTGAACTCTGCCAGAGTCAAATATTCCGCCGTCTCTTTGGGAAAAAAGTGAAGATGAACTTGACCGCGGTGACGAAGAACACCGCTTGGGCTGGCGTTATTTGCTTCTTCAGAACAAGCTCCCAGACTAGCGCGGAACCCTTGGGGCTGTGCTTGAAATGGCTGACATACCGGAGTGTCTTGACCAAGTCTTGCAACTTCTCAGGACTGTGCTCGGGCCCCAAGTAGCAGTGGTAAGCCACGACACCATTAGCGAACGACTCGATGTACATCCGCTGTGGAATGACTCCGTGAGCACGCAAGCACTCGCTGAACTCTGAGAAGAAGACCTTGCCCTTCCTCTCAACGTCGTAGAGAGCGAATTGTAGGACATGGCTCCCCTTCTGACGCACCATGTGATCCGGGGCCTTGATGAGCTTGACCGCAGCATTTCTGGTCCTCATGATCTCATGCACCAAGTTCTGGTACAGCTTCTGAGAGTCTAATGATTTGCGCTGGAGGAAAAATGGCGACGCAACCAGTTGCAGGTCTTCTTCTTCAGCAACATCACCAACACCAACGTGAGTTTCAAACCTAGTCTTATCAACCATGAATACTCCCAACGGGGCGTTACCGTCAACGACTGGGGGATTCTCAGACTTGATAAAAATGACAGAAAACGACTCGCCACTACTGGAGTTAGCGAGATAGTCCGCCAGTAATCTTTCAGTAGGCGTCACGTGGTGATCATCGATGGTAGTGAGGAAGAAACCAGACTGCTCGTCCTCAATCTCGAAGTGGATATTGGAGGACCCAGTGGACTCAGCTACTTTTTTAGCAGCCATCAGACAGTGTATGTGCCTCGCGATCTGAGCGCTGGTGCAATGCATAAAGTATTTCGGGTGAAGTCCGAGCTCCGTGAAATAATACTGGATCTCGAACCAAAGGCGGGCAGGAGCAAACACCTCTTCCTTAGATATGATGGAGAAAACTTGCGTCATCTTCGTCTCCACTTCCTCAGTAGTGAGGCTCATGACCACGCCCTCAGATACGTCAGCGTTCCTGAGCATCTGGGCCTTCTCTGGAGGCAGATAACAAACCCCACCAGGACACTTCAGGTCGGCTTCGGCGAGCATTGAACGAATCTCAACTGCGTTGTTGTTCATGACGGCATCATGAAGGGCCAACATACCCATCCTGTCGGGACTTAAGACGGCTCCTTCGTCCAGAAGGAATTCCACAGCTTCAGCATGACCACCCGCAGCCGCCAGATGTAGTGGTGTGCGTTTGTCACAGTCACAGCTGTTGACGGTTAAACTCGGATACTCGCTCAGGACCTGGCGCATCGCCCCTACGTCACCATCGTGGGCTGCAGCCAAGAGGTAACCAACAGCACTGGGGTTTGCAGAGTAGACGCTCTCATCAGCCTTGGACTCGTTGATCAGCTTAACCTCAAACATGGATCAAGAGACTGCCAACTAGAAGAAGGCGAAAACCCTGTACAACGTCCGATTCTCAGCAGCACAGAATCACCGAAACTCAACTCAAAGACCACTCAAGGTTTAGTGAAAAAAAATCGAAATCTATTTTGAGTAGTGATTAACAATGAGAATGACAGCTAGTGCAGCAGTCACAATATTCCAACCATTCTCACTGTGGAACATCTCCTTGTTAAATCTACTACAAGGCGACATCGGGACGCACACAGCTGTCCACCAGACAGAATGGCGCATTCAGGAACTGACTGTCAAGACAGTTAGATCCTCCTATGAAGGATGTATCGATAGTAAGAGAACGAGAAACAACTTCAGAGCATGCTCGATAGGGCTGTTGTATACAGTACAGTAGATGCTAATGTCATTGCTACACGACCGTGCCGTCCCACGGTTAAACTCCTAATACCCCAAAAATGTGCGGGGATTTCATCAACACTTGAACACGTAATATACTCGCGTTCTTCATCTGTGTTGCGGACCCTCGGCACAGAACAGCAAATACCGTTTACTGGCACTCGGAAGTGGCTGTCATCACAACAGCGAACTACACGGCTACGCGATGAAAATAATAAAAACGAAGTGAGTGTGACAGCTAGCAACCTCATCACCCCTCACTACATACCGGGAGAAACATCTAATTCACACTGTCATTTACATTCCGCCTCTGAACCCACCAGCACTGTGGAAACCCTTGCCCAGAGGGACACCTTTGCCCTTGCCCTTCGTGCCTCCAACAGGCATCTGCGAACAGAGCATTATGTGTCCGCAGTATCATAAATCATACTCATGTTCGTACAGAGAACACACCGTATAGTTCATGTCAGGAAAACATTGATTTTTCTCATATTTTCACGGGTATTTCTAGTATCCTACGCGGGAAAAATAGGGATGACCCCTGACGCGTTCATCCTACCACAACAACCCCACTTCCTACAGAGCCCTTCCCTTTCCCTTTTCCATAACCTCCAGGGCCTTTTCCTTTCCCAAAGCGACCCTTTCCTTTTCCTCCATTGTCGTTCATGCCATTGCTCGCGAAAGCTAGACGTTCGAGGGCCTCAGGCACAGGCTGAGCTGCCTCTCTCAAGATACCAATCAGAGGCTTGGCGAGCTTAGCCTTATCGGCCGTAAAAAAACTGTAGGCAGTACCATGCGCACCTGCTCGCCCAGTACCTGGCATGCACAATACAGAGCCGAAAACATAGTGCTATACTTACGCCCAATTCGATGGACATAGTCCTCGATAGTGCCGGGGAAATCGTAGTTGATAACATATTTCACGTCTTTCACATCGAGCCCACGGCTAGCCACGTCGGTCGCGATCATGATTGGCATTCTGCCGGTTTTAAACTCCGCAAGCACCCAATCACGTTCAGTTTGCTTCTTGTCGCCGTGGATCGCGAGAGCAGGCCAGCCGTCCCGGCGAAGCACTCTGGTGATGTCGTCAGCGCACCGTTTGGTGTCAGTGAAAATCAGAGCCTTGGACTCCCATACTCCGCCACTGGCAGAGGCAACCGCTCGCATTAAAGCCTGTAAGCGTTCTGCCTTGCCGTTCTCCTCAACCACCTCAACGAACTGTTGGATACTAAAGAAGAAGAACTCATGGCGACACAGAACCATATACATCACGAGAGGCTACCTACTTGTGACAGGCATGACCTGACCGACCAACGGTGACGTGGACAGGTTCTTCATTGCACAAATCTCTGGCCAGTTGCTGGACATCCTTGGGCCAAGTCGCCGACCACATGAGAGTCTGCCTGTCTGGTCTTATTTGGGAGACGATCTTACGGACCTGATACGCCAACTGAGACCGAGCAGCCGAGAAATTTGCGAGACGGTATGGCGCCCAACGAAGCTACGGCGTGAGAGCACCATGAGCATCCATGTAACCCTCACCTGAGGTTCAAACCCCATATCCAGCATTCGGTCTGCCTCATCAAGGACGAGATAGGTCACCCTTCTCAAGTTAGTAACCTCAGACTCCAGGAAGTCAATAAGACGGCCCGGAGTTGCAATGCATATCTCGACACCGTTCTGGAGCATTCTGGCCTGAGGGCCTCTGGGCACCCCACCATAACAGCATGTATTGGAAATGCGGGAGCTGCTACCAAAGCGATCGCATTCCTCCTTGATCTGCAAGGCGAGCTCTCTCGTAGGAGCCAAGACCAGGACGATAGGCCCGTCGCCTTTCTGCAAGTACGGTTGTGCGTTTATATGAACGACAGCCGGCAGTAAAAAGGCCAATGTTTTACCGCTGCCAGTCTCAGCGATACCAACCATATCCCGACCGCAAAGAGCAACTGGCCAACCCTGGACTTGAATGGGCGTAGGGTTGACGAAACCAGCCTTCTGAATCTCCACCATGATATAGTCCGGCAGACAGGCCTCTTCGAAATGCGTGATGGGATTGGGAACATCAACACCGTGGATGATTTCGATATCCAATTTTCTTCTCACAAGTTCAACTTCTTCCGGCGTCATGGCAGCAACTCGCGGATGTTCAACATAGAAGTGCTTCTGGAATTCGGTCAAGGTGTAGTTTTCCCATTGTACTGCCTTCAGATTGGCGCCCAGCTGGTCTTCATAATATCCATAGCCAAATGCATCATATCCCCCGTATGCAGGATAGCCACCTCCGTTATATCCACCATAGTTGTATCGACTTCCCGAATAGTTGCCCCTCGAGAAAACGAAGCATGGTTCGAACTATCGGCTGAGGCTATCTTACATTGTATTGTTGTAATAGGCCTGTTGCTGCACGTTACCCCCATCACCACCAAACACGTAGTTTGGCTGCTGTTGAGCACCACCGAAGCCGCCGTTCGCCCCGTTGTACACCTGGGGAGCCTGAGCCGCGAAATGAGCCAATGGGTTGGCGAGCCCGTCCTTGGCCCTGTCAACGAAATCGTCCTGTCCATTCGTGGTTGTAGTAAGTGGGACGTCCTGCTGAAGGGTAGTTTGAGCATAAGGACTCATTTGCGTGTGGGATGCGGCTGTGCTCTGCTGGGAGGCTGAGGCCGCTGTTGTTCCACCGGCTGAATTCTGATAACTCATGTAGTAGTGATTAGCAAAGGCAGCTTAATTCGCTATCACGATACACGCCAACGCAATTCATCGGTATGAGGACCGCGATGAGGACTCGCCACGGCATTTCAAACTCCGTCATGCGTACCTCGACGATGAGGACTCTCGGCTCACCCAAGTTTAACAAGAGGCGCGTCCGCACACACACGATGAACATAATAATAGTAATTCCAAAGATGCCTCATCTCACACATTCCCCGTCATCCCATTGATGCAAACCAAAGGCAACCCCGAGAAGTGACAAGAGGTTATATTTGATCTCACGTCTCTACCTTCTATGCAAAGTCCGATCGCCCAGGGAGTTCATTCGAACTTCTATATACTACTCTTCTCAAAAACCGGCACTCAAATAGCAGCACTCAAAGCTGTTCCTAATCCACCTTGATCGAGCCGTATATGGCCCGAACAAAGAAGAATGTTGCAATGAATCCGATACCTGCAACGAAAGTCATCAAACTCCCCTAGAAGGACGCAAGAGCGTCACTGGGTAAATCCAGCACGCGATACCACTACACGCAGAGAGGAGAGCAACTGTGGCTTACATCCAGTTAGGAGGAAGAATGCAGCGGATATCATCGCCATGTAACCCACGTAAACCACAATGGAAACCACGTTCACAATCTGGAGCCGGGTAGTGAGGTACATCAACGAATACCTGGGAAGGAGCACGAGAGCTTGTTGTAAAGGGCAAAAGACTCGACCCACCCGAACACGTAGAGTGCACTCGATCCCGACACGAGGAAACTGCGCCACCACCAACGGTAGTCCTCAGCAGTCAGCTGGAAATAGGTCAGAGCTATCGACACCTCCGCACAAGTGATGATGAGGATTAGATACACCAGGACGACGAACCCAAAGAGGTAGTAGAACTGGTGCTGCCATAAGGAGCTCATGATGAAGAAGAGCTCCGTGAAGACAGCACCGAACGGGAGGATACCACCGACGAGGCACAGCAACCAGGGCCTCAGAAACCAAGGCTGTGGTGGTATTGGTCGGGGGATCGAGTTCACTCGGCAAGGGAAACCAATAGGGTCTCGTTTGTAAGCTGCTGCTGCGCCGAGGTAGACCAGAGGGACGGAAATCCCGAACCAGAGAACCAGTACCTGAAGCTTGGCACCTGCGCTGCTGCGGTGGGTGAGCACAGAAGTCTACGGCAAACATTGTGGTGAAGGGTACAGCTCCTGATGAGCCCTTGGCCCACGCCAGCAAATTGAGGAAGAAGAACATCGCGAACACAGAACCTGCAACCACACGATGGAGACAGCTCATCTATTCCAGGAACGAAGCCTTGCCTGGGTAAACGAAGGCCGTCAACATTGTGGTGCTGCGATGGTGCTCTGATGACGTTGGTGCGAGAGTTTTCCCGAGACGCCCAGAGACGTATCTGAAAGCCATTATTAACCATATTCAAGAGCACGAATGGAGATTCCAACCCAAGTACTACCCCGCGGGAACACCCATGAAAGCGAACAGCAGGACCATGCCCTGCAATAGAGCTCCTCTGTGGACTGGGCTCAAGAAGCCCAGTGTCGCAAAGATGAGGACCAAGCCACACATGAGCAGCAGCTGTATTCCACTCCCGACACAAACACAGAGTAGCCTTCTGTGAGGCGGTGGTCGGAAGACGTCACCATGGACCATTTTCCAACCCGCCTCCTCCTGCGCCTCCTCGGCGGTCATCTCCCCAACTAGCTCGTTGTACTTGGCAATATCTCGGGCAAGAGTCCGGATGAGAATCATCGCAACCATCCCAGAGAGGAACAGTGCGATGAGAACCGAGTTTATGATGCTAAACCAGTGGATTTGGCCAGATCCAGGGGACATTTGGAGATAGATGTCCCATCGTGTGACCCACTCCTTATCGGGATTCTCCGTCCATTCAACATCATAGGTGTATCTGAATCCAGCTCACACCTGGTGTACGAGATGAATCCTACGTGATTGACTCGGCCTTATCGAGGTCAAGAGGCTCTAGAGTGGCACCCTCGCTGTGACACACCGCTGAGTCACCACCGTCCCTCACAAACTGCTTCAAGCTGCTGGGTTCAATTTCAAACCCGACCACCCTGTAGAGCGAGTAACCGTCATCTACAGCGTCCTCTGGACGATGATACTCCAACTTGAATTTCAAGTGGTTGTGCAGGAAGAACTGATTCTTCTGAAATCATAGCAGTACTAACAAATGAGTGTTGCAATTGACACCTACCAATTGGACTCCCAAAGGGAATCCGCTCATGACAAACACTTCATTCTCCTTATCTGAACCACTCGACATAGACACTACGCAGTTAGTGATATTGAGCTTACCGTTTTCCGCCTCATTCGCCTTCTTCTGAGGATCTCTCACCATGAACTTGACCGCGCCGGGGAGACGGTCAACATTCATGTTCACGGTGTATCTGATGCCCCGACACAAACCTTCAACACGAAGAGCGAGAACTTCCCCTACTGGTCACGTATCATCTGTTTGATAGTGTCCCTGAGTTCAGGCGAGAGCTGATCTTTGCACGCAATCTGGCACTTCAATGGGCGCAACATTTGGATTTTGTAACTGAGAGTAACCACGAAGTGATGATATGAGCTCTTACAGACCCGAGAGGACGCTGGAATGTTAGAGTGAAACTACCTGGTTGGTGACATCATCTGTCCACTCAAGAGCTCACCAAGATTGGCGCTCACTTCTGCTGACTTATCCTGAACAGTGAACAATACCAAGTCGGAATGAGCGCTCATGCGACGCTGCTGGGAGAGTGAGAATGCCAAACTTACAGCAACAACTCCGCACTGAGAGTTGGTGGCATGAGTCTTAAAGTAGTCCATGGGCAGTTGCGTGCGAACCTAAGGCCCCATGAGGTTCAGTTGGAAGTAGTGCGACTGATATGAGGCGTACACTGGTCATCTCGTTGACCGAAAGAGGGACGTCCTCTCCTTCCTTGTAGTCTCGTGGGGCAATCCCGGGCAGAAGGAGGCAGACCACGTTCTGAGCCAACAGAGCGAAGCAGAACCAGGTCAGGCCTGGATTCCAGAACCTCTTGATGGTAGCCATGTTACAAATGAGCTACCGTAGAATCAGAATTAGGCGTCGTCATTTCACCCTTGAGATACCCAAAACGACAACCGGATCACTCTACGGTCGAGCTTATACAACTTAGACGCTAAACCGACATAAGATACCACTAGATGCGAATAGGACATTGCCGCGATAATTTTGAGCGAGGTAACCCGATTCATCACAGAGGCAAGAGCCGTCCTCACGGAGCCGATCATGTAATCCACGTTGCGCAGTGGCGATATACAGATGCGCTCATTTTCTCAAGTCGCTTTAGCACGAGTTAAAACGTCCAGAATTAGGTATTTCTCACGCATAATCGCTCATTAATCAGCACATCTTTAAATTTGTGAAATGAAGCACCATCCGAACTCTGCGAAGTCAACGATCTCCCTTCGAATTGCCATCACGTATTGTAGGTCAGCTCTATATGCCTCGTGATCAACCCTGTGCTGCTGTTGAACAGCAGCTGATCCGTGTCCACTGCCCGCGGACCGCCAGCTGGCCGGATCCTGGAGGGTGCATGCACCGTTCGCATCTGCGATGGTACTGAGGAGTCCTAATAGTTTTAATATGCTCTCGCAGTCTCCACTCCGATGCCTCTCGGTAGCTGCGGCAAGTCACTTTGACTATATTATCCTGGGCGCAGGCTCAGCGGGCTGCGTCATGGCAAACAGGCTTTCGGAGGATCCCAACGTCAAGGTGATCTGCCCCGCGTGTTTCGACAGTCGCGATGTTCGACGCTCAGGTGGCCGTGCTTGAAGCAGGTAGGTGGCACAGAGGGTCCTGGGATTGGTGGAAAGCGGCGATGCCCGCGGCCCTGACGTTCAACTTGGCCAACAAGAAGTATAACTGGGACTACCACACTGTGCCGCAGAAGCACATGAACAACCGACGACTGCATCAGCCACGAGGAAAAATGACAGGTAAGGTAGTCATACTACGACTAGGATGTACGGCAATGTACAGCTACCAGTTGGCGAGGTGGTCTGAACATCGCTCCGCTGGCTCGATCAAGCACTGTACCGTTATTGCCATCTGGCAGGTGGTTCGTCTGGTATCAACGCCATGGTCTATGTTCGTGGGCATGCTCTAGACTTTGAGAGGTGGGCTTCACAGGAAGGTAGAACAGCTCTGCGTAAAACTGATACCGCACTCGAGGTTCCTCAGGATGCCCGGGCTGGTCCTATCGCGACGTCCTCCCTTATTTTAAGAAGTCCACTACACACGAGTTGGGCGAGAATTTGTAAGTCTAGTGAGCGATATGATTCTCTGCTCGATGGTTCTGTAGCTACCGTGGTGGGGCTGGTCCCATCCATGTAAGACGTGGGGCCACTGGTAATGAGCTATTCAAGGCGTTTGTCGATGCCGGCGTACAAGCTGGCTATCCGTATACAGAGGACATGAATGGTAAACAGCAGGAAGGCTTCGGCCCTATGGACATGACTGTGAGTCCCGTGGACTCCTCCGAAACTCCCTTCGAGCTCTCGCGCTTCAAGGTCACCTCTGACGGCAAGCGATGCCATGCGGGTTTGGCTTATCTAAATGAAGCCGCGAAGAGGCCTAATTGTATTAGTCCATCGCAGACTGCCATCTCGTCGTACTTGATATTCAGGCTCGGTAATAACCCGAGCAATGGTCAACAGACTTGTATGGGAACGCTCCCCTGATGGTGCCGAAAAACGTTGTATTGGAGTAGAGTGAGGCTTATACGTCATAAACAGCGTTTTCGGATACCATTTCCCTATCAGGTATATCGATCACGTGGGCGAGCCTCGTTATATTAAAGCTGGTCGAGAGATCATTATGGCGATGGGGGCCGTCGGGACCCCACAGGTGCTCTTCGTTGTGGGTCTATGGAATTTCACTCACTCTGATTCATCAGATCCTGAACTTATCGGGAGTAGGTGATCCTGACCATCTGAGGTCTCTATCGATTGATCCAGTTATAGCTAACCAGAATGTTGGGCAGAACCTACAAGACCATTTGGAATTTTACGTTCAGTATCTTTGCTCAAAGCCTGTTAGCCTCTTTCCGGTGGCGACGTGGCGGTACCCACATCTAAAGGCTCTCACGGGCATCGAGTGGCTCCTCAAGGGAACGGGCTTGGCCGCGTCTAATCACTTTGATACTGGTGGCTTCATAAGGACTCGAGCAGGAATCCGACACCCCGACTTCCAATTCCACTTCATCCCAGGCTGTGTTGTGGGGCAGCTCGATTTCCTCCCTCATCACGGCTACCAGGCTCATGGTGGGACGATGCGTCCTAAATCGCGAGGGGCTATAAAGATAACGTCGAAGGATCCGCGAGATGAGCCACTGATTGACCCGAACTTCCTGGCTGATGTCGAGGATATGAGGGATATGAGGGAGGGCTTGAGGAGGACTATAGAGATTATGGAGCAGCCTGCCTTGAAAGACTAGTGAGTCAGCTCCACAACACATGACAGTGTTGAGGAATATACCCGTCAAGTGACTCACACGTCGTTTGGCTAGTTACATGGAGAGTCGTTTATCACCAGCAACAGACTTCAATTTGGACAGCGACGACGACTGCGACCGGTGGATCAAGAATTCGAGCCACTCTGCTTATCATCTGTCATGTAAGACCTCAGGGGCTGCTCGCATATTGAAGTTTAAACACTGATCAATATAGGCACTGCTGCTATGGGGAAAGTCGTGGACGAGCACGGTCGACTGTATGGGGCCTCGAATGTGAGTGACTAAGGTTTCGCCAGAGAAGCGTACATATGGCCAGGAATGGCTTGTTCGTAACAGGTTCGAGTTGTGGATGCGAGTGCGATGCCTTCGATGACTTCTGGCAATTTGAACGCTCCTACATTGATGATGGCTGAGAAGTTTGCTGATCACATTCGAGGCCGGCCGTATCTAGACCCCGCTCAGAGTGGTGGGTCTATCCTATCTTAGCTGTGTAGTGGAGCCGTGTGTTTTTCCTCCTCAGAAAACGACGAGGCTCTATGGTGGGAGAACCCCACTTGGCAGACTTCACAGCGATAGTCAGTCCCCAGCCAAGGAATCCTGCACGTTGAAAGACGTTTCAGAACATCTATCGTTTCCGACGAAACTCATGACTCATTTGCAAATCCGTCTGATGCCCTGTATGACACTTTTCCGTTTGATTTCACCCTGCGTCTGGTGTTTTCTATGTCACTCAATCGGGGCTGGTAACAGTGAATGACCCACTAGTGATTACGAAGAATCAGAGAATCTGCAGCACGAATGGGCAACTCCTCGACTATCCCCTCCTCTCGATGCCTCTTATTCGTCCCGTTTTACCCTAAAGTTTGGAACATTGAGTGCGTATATCGGATTGTTGACTTTGCAGACTTGGTCGTGTCTGGATGGGATCTCCATCTTCAAAAACCCCACGACCACCAGGGCCATTACGTTCAAGCGTTGCGGGTTCGGGAGCCCCAGAGGAGCGAAAACAGAAGAAACTTTCGGGTCGTATCAAGAAACTAGGCGGGAAGGACAGGCCGAAGCAAGACCTTGACCGAAAGAAAGTGATGACATCCTCAGCGAAGCGATGCTCTCGATACCGTTCATGGAAATGCCGCTCTAGTGGCGGTTCTGATGTATGTCAAGTTTGTCTGCGGCAGAAACAGGGGAAAGTACAGTAGGCTTGGATCTCCCGACTTGATCACTAGCTCGCTGTATTTCAGATTCTGAAATGCAGCTTTTGCGGTTTTCGATGTCATCAGAAGTGCAGTTTCCCGAAGCTATCTTCGAGCAGCCAGAAGAGTAGTCGAGGTTGGATCTGCGGAGGCTGTGCCCAAGAATACTATTGGCGTTGCGGGTTGCCCATCCACTACGATAATTGCCTGGAGTGCGGCAAGTCTAGCAGTGGGGCGCCCTCAGGCACTTGCAGAGGTTGCCGTTACTCGGTACTATCTTCTTTGTAGCGTTGATGTCACAGGAATTATGGAGGCTTCAGGCTCATGTAGCCTGTGGTAGACTGAAGGATGGATATTGCTGGCAGTGCAGGGCGAATGGTAAACGAGCCGTCGACTTGGTGAGCTCGAGCTGCTAGAGAGGCTTCTGAAACGCTCGTGGATGATGATGGTTATAGTGGTCTCAGTTCAACTGGAGCCCTGTTTTCGAAACTCGCGATGGGCGAACTCGGATGCTGATGGCTGGTAAAACGGTTGTTATAGACAACACCGGTGCGGCCTCGGGCATGCAGCTCTTCCTCTCTAAAGGGGAGGTGATCAATTGGACTGACGGGGATCAGGTTCGAACCTCTGATGGTAGGCTGGTTCATCGGTCCGTCGATCATCTAGCGGATTTACCGACCGTTTATTGATTCCTGTTCTATAGGTGCGCTATTGAACCTTACTGGGGACTTCAGTTTTGCCACAGCTCGGCGTATCTGGTCCGACAGGGCGTTTGTCGATCGTGATGTCTACAAACCGTGTACTTGGGTCTGCTGTGTTCTCACTCTGGGTAAAACAACTTGTCCGATCTCGCTATTGTGGCAATGCCTCGCGAGGTAGATTCGGTTACTGTTTTTCATGACGTCTAGAGTCCTCAGATATAATAACCAGCCATTCCCGAAGCGACTTTTCTCATGGGTGGCACCCGATGTTGTCCGAGCGATAAGTCAGGTCTGTCTTGGTTTGTCGCCCGGTGTGAAGACTGTGAATCGATGCCATGTTGCCAGCAGTGTCGTATCCAAGAGCGGGGATAAGTTTACTCATTAGATTTCTTCTCGGCTTGTGCCGTCTGTGTTTCCATTAGCGGGGAACCTCACCCTTCTCTCGATGTTGCAGTGTTGGGTTGGTGACTGATGGGGGACGTGGATCATGGCTGACCGATTCTAGCCAAGGGAAGTTCGTCGTTCTCCCAACACGATTCTGAGGCTCGCGACATGAACAACTGTCGATTCGAGATGTGTGGAAACTCGGAAGTTTCGAGGAGCATAGTTTGAGAGCCAGCCTTGAGAAAACCGTGCGCTGGACCCACTAGTACCGGTTTCTTGGCTGGTCGGAGTTGGCCACAGGATATTCATCTACTTTCCGTTTGTGTCGTCCTTCGGGAATATAGGGTGGTCATTGTCAAGTAATGGCCACAAGCCGACGGCAAGCGTTGGCGGATCCGCTGGTACGCGGTGGAAAGCCTCCCGAATGTCAACGATGTTTAGGGCTCACCGATACTAAGTGCCCCGTGGTACTGGAATCTTCAAGCCTCATCTCGCTCGGCGTTCGAAGCCTCGTCTCAGGTTCTTCGGTGTCACGGCTGTGGGTTCCGGTGTCATCCCCATTGTACATACCCTCCACTTCGGTGCCCTCCGAGGAAAATTCGACACTGGCTGTGCGATACGTGTGCTCAAGAGCGGCATGCCAAGATCAAAGTGCCGATGCACTACAACTTCTGCATCGTCTGCGGTACTGGTGGGGACCTGGTGAACAAGTGTGTCACCTGCCGACACACGGTAACGTAGCGTCGGGTTCACTGCTGTCGAAGCGATCTTTCGACTCGTGTTTCCCGTTCTTAGTCCCACGCCAAATGCGAGCCTCTACACCAAGGGCGATGTACACTATGTGCGAGGAACTTGAGTGAACGCACCAAGAGGCTCGAACTGGTGAGCGCAGTCATGGCCTTTGGCGAAACGCTCCGCATGAGTCGGGACGATGTGTTGTACGACATCGTCAGCGAGGGAATCGTATCTTCACAAAATTTCCTATCCTTTCAGTATAACTGGGCGATGATACTCGCTCGACAGAAAGAACGAAGGATTCCTGTGATTCAAGGAGAGCGTATTGAATTTGACGCCAGCGGTACTAAGTTGAGGGGAAGTATATGGGGAACTAGCGAGATAATCCACGCTCTCACGGAGAAGCTCGTTGTCACTAGAGGAGGTACCGGCTCGACAGACATTGCTCTATGCATTGATGACCACGGGTGCTTCAATCTTTCGAGGTTCTGTCGTTCGTCTTCGAGGGCGATACACTCCTGTTACGGCGGAGTCAGCGTGCGGAGGTGCTGCCCATGGAACTAAGGAGTGCCCTCATCCGCGAGTTATGGAGTTATTCGAGAACGGTCTCCCATGGGACAGATGGCAGTGCATTTTAAGGTAGGATCGTGCATGGTGCGCTTGTGTCGGAGACTGATTGTGCATGCGTGCTGCACAACTCTTCGAAAGAACACGTGACGTGCATATGAGATTCGAGTGACGTGCGGTCGAGGATGAGGTGGTTTCGAATTAGTTACTGTCAATCCCACGGGAGCTCTGACAGCGGCATTCCGACTTGGCTCGAGGAACTACCATCGCCGCGCATCCTGGAGAATCGAGTTTCCCGAATATCTTCCCAGACGAGAAAACGGCCCCGGCAATCTCTGGTGTGCGACAACCCGTCGGCAGCGGCCTCGCGAAGGGCATCTGCTGCCGGGAGCAGCGCAGACACTTCGTTCGATCAATTCATGTTGCAACTGCATGTGGCGCGAAATCAAGGCACCTCTAGGCCGGGTAGTCGGCAGCACAGCGTGTCCGGTAGCGTAGGGCAGACCGTGGTAGCTCCAGTGGAGACGAAGAAACGATCGATAGCTGCGACCAGTCCCACTCGACGGCTGAGTGTGAAGGAACGCGAGCTGGAGGGGAGTGATTTCTTAAAGGGTGATCCAGCGGATATCGTCGAGAATCAGCAGTCCGAATCGATCGCGGAATGGATCAGCTCATTCGAGGCGATTGAATCCGTCACTGAGTTGCAACGAGTAATTTTAAGAGGAGGCCTACTCGTGCTGATGCTCTGTCTCTCACAGGCCCCTGCCGCGACTCGGGGACGGAAAAAGAAGAGACTGAAGGTTCCGCGCGGATTCAAACCATTCTTCGTTGGGGGTAATGATCGAGTGGGTGATCCGAGTCTGTGGTACCTATCTCCTTGCAGAGCTCAAGATGTCTATCGGGTTTCGGGTCGAGCGTAAATTTCTCGAAGGATGGCTCCAAGGCAGTGTTGTGGAAGTTGGACAACACAAGTTCGAGAACGCGGCTCTGGTGGAGTAATGCAATCACCCAGGGATGGTAGTTTCCAGCTCTCCAAATAGGTTCCACCATGACGATTGTACTTACGAGGACATACTCAGCGAGACGGATTTCGGCAGATTCATGGGAGCTGGCAGTCTTCGGTTGGATCCTCCAGTAGAAGAGGATAAGTCGACCGTGGCCAGTGCGGCTGAGAAAAAACGACCGAAGGTACTCTCGAAAGGTATACTGTCACTCCTCATTTCGTGGGATCCAGGCTAGAGCGAGAGCACGGCGAGGTTCCAGTACTGAACCTCAGGAGACTCAGATCGAGCGCGATGCAGATGGATGGACGAAGGAAGAAGTCGATAGACTCCTTACGGCTGTGGATAACGAGGAGCTTGTGAATCAAGGGTAAGTGTCTCACCCTACTAGGAAGTTTACCTCCGACAGAGCAACTTTCGATGTGATGGGTCTACAGTAGGTTCTGGAAGCGCATAGCGAAAGCGGTTGGTACAAAAACGGCAAAGGAATGCAATCGGCGTTATTGTCGAGGATCTAAGAAGTCTCCGGCACCTCATCGGAATAAACCGCCTGGACCGAGAACTAGACCGCAAAGCGACGACGACGGCGAGATAGGTGCAGACGACTGCGCAACCGACGTTCCATACAAGAAAGACGGCGTCCGGAGATTCAGAGCCATCCAGCAGTACATGACAGACCATCAATTTGTTAATAAGGAGGAAGACTTGCTGATGGATGGACTAGTGGCTGGTGATCTCGGCGATTTGGTACTACCCAGGCCTACGTGCTCACGATGCGGTCTCTCGCTCGTGGATACTCTGTCTTCAGCCTCTATCGGATAGCGATTCTGAGATCAGCTGGGATATGAATGATATAAAGATTGGCGGTGCGTGAATCGCTCGTCGTGACCATCTCATCTGTTCTCCCTTCAGGTACACCAAAGGCCGAGGCCAGGCATAAGTCTACGAGGAGAAACTCCGTGGATAGTGTATCGTCAGTGGCCGATAATTCTGAATACGACCCCTTCACATACGCCCAGCCGTACGAGCAGCGGGTGGACCCAACGAGTTACACTCTCTGTCAAACGCTCCATCGTCAGCGACAGGCTCTCTTGGAGGGCCACCGAAATAGGACTCTCGGTCTCGATATAGGTGGGAGTCGTAGTCTTCCTAACTGTTTGATTATGTCGTCTATTCTAGGAAATGTTAGACCCCCTTACGCCTGCCAGCCCATCATAACAGAAGACGATGAAGATGGCGACGAATGCTTGGTTGAAGCGCTGGAAAAGGTGGATCAGCGGGTAGTAGGCCGATTGGTTCATTGAATGACTTTTGATTTGTTCCACATCTCAGAATCGGCTTGAACGTCAACGCGAGAAATACGTTAACTCAGACGGGGAATTAGACGAAGATTTCTTTTCTGATGATCAAGAAGTCATCTAATATAATTTTCGCACCTGCAGGCCAGTAGATTAAGCATATTACTTGGTATTCAATGTAGCCGGGCAAGTGTGGAGTCGTGTTGATAGTCAAAGCAATGAATCAGAATGATAGAAGATACTCCAATGGATCCGAAAAACTCCAGTTTTGTCCAAGTAAACTGGATATACTCAACGCAACCGTTGCTGCCATGATTTCATGTTTCAGCGACGTTTCACAAAATGAGGTACCCTATGTTGATTGCTTTTCACAAGATGATTAGCCCCAATCCATAACGATAGGGGTCGTCTTTGAACGTGAGGAGAGGAAGCCGTCCTAAGAACAACCCTCGTATTATGTAAATACCTGATACGTCTACTTACCGGTGAAGGAATTTCCGTTGCTCTGTTCGAGGATTTAAACTTTTCCCAGACACACTATGCAGGCATTTCGTAGACTGGACATGCACTTGCAGACCTGCAACTGTCACAGTGAGGCTTGCGCCATCCCAACAACATCTATACCATCCAACTCGCTCCGTGAGCGTTCGAGCTTTTTTCTGGTTCCCAATATGAGCCTACGCAACTCGGCCAGGTCATCCGTGCCCTGATCATAGAACCAGTACACAACCATCACAGGAAGTATGACGGTTGGAATTCCCGAGTCGGGAGTCCATCAGACGACTCACTCCTCTCGTGTGAAACCACTCGGCCGATCGTGGGTCGTAAGCGAAGTGTGATATAGACGGAGCGCGCTTGGCAATCACTGGCAAGTTGGACCTCGAACAGGTATTGTCTGGTCTTTCCACAGCAAGAGTTTTTCACCTCCTATCATCCTCTCCCATATCCAATCCTGTTACAAATATCCCCTCTTTAGTCCTCGTCTCTCCATTTTTCGATCGCCGTTCGTGCATACTAAAATGCCTTCGCATGAATTTATGTGAGGATGTGAATTTTAACTGTTTTCTTCCCCCCGACTTATCAAGAACGCAGGAGGTCACTTCAATAGAACACCGACACATGAACTGATGAACATAGCTGCAGTCAACTCGGAATAACTTGACGTAGCGACTTGATAATATGCTGAAAGCTGGGCCTGGTTTCCGGCTTCTCGCGCCAACACTGCAGAAGACATGTACGGAGTTAGGTAAAGTGGGCACCATTTACCTCTTCCATGGCAACGATCATTTCTCTAGGTGTGCCACTTGGGATCAACGCGATGTCGGGTCTAAGCCCTTTGGCAACATGGAGAGCTATAGATAGGGGCTCGTAGCCTGACAATGATTCAGCAATTGATGAACAACATTTCTCGATAAACAATGTGGACAGTCAAAGGGGTTCTTATCAAAAAGTTCGGCGCTCACCTTTTTCTGAGAATGGCATCTTCCGTGCCATTACCTCGTACATACAGATGCCATAGCTATACACATCCACCTGCATCATACTGGTGCGCGAATAGTCACCGACACTACTCACTTTTTCAGTGTAGAAGTCAGGGCGCTCCAGTAGCTCTGGTGCCATCCAAGTGTATGTCCCTAAAACCAACGAGCGGCGTAGGAGAGGATGGAGGGTCCCATTGACCTCACCCTCGGCATTCACCGCGAAGTCACCACCTTCAGCCGTAGCTCTACTGAGTCCAAAGTCCGATACTTTCAGGACTGGTGTGTCGTAGGTACTTGCTATCTAGAGAAGAAAAGTCTACCTGTGCACACAACGTCATGATCAACGTACTGGATGAGCGAGGAGAAGGTTTGGACTCTTGAGATCTCTATGCACCTGAGAGTGGCAGCACTCACATCCAGGCACCTCTTCCGTGGTCCTTACTATCATTGGCGTCGATGTGTGCAGGTAGTTCATTGCTTGCGCAACGTCCATGCACATCTTCCATTTCTGTTTCGAGCACAGCCCGACCTCGGGCTGCTTGTAGAGCAGCGAGTCCAAACTACCTCCGCGACAGAGTTCGCAAACCTGGAAAAGAGAGTCCATCTGTTTTCCATGACTCGGACGCGACTCACGAGTCTGAGCGGACGGGAAGAGAGGCAAGCTCCCATGACCATGACGATCCCAGGATGCCGTAGTCGCGTCATGAGAGTCAGTTCTCTCAACAGAGAAGCCTTGGTGGCTTCATAATCCGATGCCTGAGATAACGATGCAATACATAACTTCAACCGATAATTCTCAGTAGATCTCGCGACCAAGCGACCTAGGTTGCTACCATGGTCCAATCGACTCTCTTGATCGCAACATCAGTCCCATGCCAGGTACCGCTATAGACATCAGCTGTCAAACCTGGAGCATAGTTTGAACTGACCGGCTTGAAACTCTAGGCTCGTCGAGACGATAAAAAACTTCTCACCAGTGCCCAACTGTTCCTCTTCGACGAGATCATCTAAACTAATCTCGCAGTCGAGCGAAGCTGTTAGATAGTCAGTTTCTGGTAGAAAAGGATGGCCACCACCTTGACCAACAGCGAGCGAAGATGCTCACAATTCCTACCATTTCTCACAGCTTCCGACACTGCTGCGACGGAAAGCGCATTTCCGTCGGATAGCAGTGAACTTCGCTTGGACCAAGACTGGTTCTCCATCAAACTTCGAGACAAGTCCCCAGCCTGTCGCAGTGTCTTAACAATATACGTTCAACCGAGAGAGCTCACTACACATTCTAGTGGAGAGCAGCCGTCCTTATCTGGCACGTTGAAATCGGCCTTTCTGGAAAGCAACAGTTCCACAACCTCGTCGTTATCCCACTCGGCGGCCAGATGAAGGGGAGTACGGCCGAACTAAAGTCCCCGCGTGCATCTGGGTTAGTCGTCAGCTGAGGATTCACCTTATTTTTCGGTCCTATCTCGAAGCCGTTGTCAATCAAGTAGCTGACATGCAAAGAACGGTTGCGAATTCCAGGAGATGGGCTCCCGGGCGCTCTGCTACAAACGCTAGCACTTACCGAACTATATGTGTCTGCCCCATAAAGCTCGCATGATGCATAACAGTCCATCCCTCCTTATCCTGAACGTTCAAGTCTATTTGCTGCTTTTTCATCAAGGCTTTCAGTGTCTCAACGTCTCCCATCTGTGCAGGTAGTGAGAGTTTCTCTGCCGCATCGACGCAGCAACTCACCCTAGAGGCCTGGAAGACCTGCTCAAGATGTTGCCTCCGATCGACACGTGCAGCCCGACTGGGCCTCTCCCGTTCTGGTGGAGCGCTGGAGGTTGACGATGTTGACAGAAACAGCGCGGGATCAGCAGATCCGCGAGCGCTCAGCGGACGGTGGAGCACAGGAGGCTTCTGAGGGACGTAAGGACTTCCTCAAGAAGCATCATGCTGCCACGTCTACCAGATGTGTTCTATCGTCCTCTTGAGGGCGCAACCTGTCGCCGAGAGCGCAATTTGTTAAGTCCTGAGTCTGCTTTCTCATTGTAGTCCTCTTGAAGGCAGAGTGTGCCTCTGCTGTTGCCTGTACAATGTTCCAGAAGATTCCCTATAGGAAAGAGGCTCACTCGTGCAATCTCTTTCAGTACCCCTCGAGCATCATCGGAAGCATACTGGATAGGCGTCCGGCCAGCGCTGAAGACAAACTTCAGTCGTTCACCAGGCGAATGCTGAAAACTCCATTACGAATCTTTAAGTGAGATATCAGCGCCATTCGATGTGAGGATATGCATGCAGTCTCTAGCATCCCAGTCTGCGGAAATGTGTAACGGCGTCCCTGAATTCACATACGCTCGTGGAGGAAAGGCGAAGGAGCATCGTTACTTTTGCTCTTGTTAGTCGCATTCACATCGGCCTTCTTGGTGACGAGAAACTCGAGCATTTCCGAGTAGTCCAGCATGGCGCAATGGTGCGCAGCCGTCCAGCCTTCATTATCAATGATCTAAGCCGCCGGCGCTGCGTCTAAGCATTCGAGCACGAAAACTCACTTCGAGCGTCGCTACTCCACTCTCAAGGAGTTCCTTAACGCGCTCTACCGAACCCGACTTCACAGCCACGAACCAGGCATTTGTCTTTGTGTTCGACGTTGTCAGTTTGAAAACCGTGATAAGACTGCTGATCCGCGTCAACGTCGCGAACTCCACCGAGCACAATTGACAACACAAAACTAAGGCAGTCGCTTCGTTTCTTGCTGATTTATTGGAAACATGCAAATTGATTCCACATGCCCTATTCATCGTTTAACTGCTTGATTGTGAAGGTGTGGGGCCCTGAACATCGAACTCCTTGACCGTGGAAAAAGCAAGGTCTCACTGTTCAAACGATACGCGATGATGGCATGCTTCACTTCAATTGACTACTCCCGCGTCGTGGGGGAAGGCTGCGCTGGGTCGTGGTGGTCTGTTGCAAGATGATCAGTGTATTTAGTCACAGCCAAGGCAGGCCGAAGCTCCACCGCCTCATTTTCGGAGGTCCTCTTGCCACCACGACGTTGCTTTACCGTAACCTACATTAACCATAAGCCAGAGAGTTTGCTGCTTTGCCTACGAATCCATCCTCATCGACGCGCTCTGGGCTTTCTCGCTTCCTGCCAAGTACAGGAACATAGCGGTCCTCTTCATAGGGATCATGCTGCCTCCAACTACTGTGACCTCGACGCCAGCCCTGAGATTGCTCACGAGTAACAAGGAGGAGCGGCCGACGAGAAACACTCACTTTGCCAACATCACCTTTCCCTCTACCCTTCCCCTTCCCACTCTTGCCCTTGCCTCTACCTTTGCCTTTACCATATGATCCGCGAGCGACGGCGTTTGGCTGACACGAATCAACTTCAGAAAAGCTCCATGCAGAGCGAAACTCCAATGGCTTGATGAGTTCAAGAACCCCATCGAGAGCAGAAGTCTACTCACCCTGGGCGCCAGGGTGACTCGTTTCTGTTGAACTGGCTCCTCAACCTCATCTCGGGAGACCTGCGAGGCACGAGATAGATAAGCATAAGAACTTCTGATCATTACATGAGCCTCGCACGCTTGAGCAACGACGAAGTCATACTGTGCCATAGTGCCATATTCCTTGATGGAGTTTTTGAAGGCAGTGGTGCAGGAAAACTGAGTGATCAATCACAGTAAAGCAGTAAAGCTGGACTACCGCTGTACCTTCGAGTCTTCTGCAGCCATCATGTCGTCGTTGATCTTCTGCAGAGTCTCGTGGACCCAATCGGAGCCGAATGTGTATACTGCTCGTTCGACCATGCTGAAATCGGGCACCTCACCTCCGGCACATCACCAGCGATCAGTACCTCATTTTAGCAGGACCCAAGAACACCGTTCCTGCGATAACAGTATCCAGCCGTGGATCTTGAATAGGGATGTACTCCAAGCATGGGAGGGCAGGGACGAGGAAGCTCTGAGGAAACCAAACACTACGGAAGGCTGAGGTTGAGGACACCGTATCGCGCTACCTTGATGAAATCAATCGTGTCTCTGTCGCGGCCCGATTTCTCCAGCTGGGAGAAAGGCCGAATTGGAGTGAATAGTGATGGTGCCTGCATGGACGACCGCCAAGATCTCGTAGAGTGCGTACACAACAACAAGACCTTACATAGTGCATGTCTTCCCGAATGGTATCGCGACGGAGCCTCTTAGGGTTCTCGAAGATGTAGCGAAGATCCTCATCCGTTACCCTATTACACGGAACAACAACATTCTCGCCCGAACAACGACACCTTGGACCGCTCCCTACCCGAAACGATCGCGCTTGAACTTGAGGAGGCTGAGGAAGACGTTGAGGGGGGTCTTCCTCCTAGTCCCATCTCGCGACATTTCTCCTCCCTCTTCCTCGACCTGTTGGGTCAACGCCAGCATGTCCCTGATGAAAGGCCGTCACCACTAGCCCACAGGAATACTGCTCACCTAGCGACGTCGGTTCCGAGCCGCTCCACGACTCGGCCCGTGACCTCTAGGTCATTAGCAGTGATGGTGAGCATTGAGAGACCGAGCGTGAGCGCCTTGGCTATCTGCTGGTGCGATTTAGATGGGGGCCTACCAGGCAAGTCAGCAATGCTTTAATTCCCGAACGACTCACTCGACAACATCCGGGACCACGAGACAACCCTTTGTGCTGCCGGCTGTTCCAGCAGCATCCGATATCAGCCGACGCTGTGAGAGAGTAGCGACACCGAAGATATAGTTGAGGTCTTCTCGGGATACACTGAGACGATCGACCCTCCGTGATGGTATACTGTTAGCGGTGGACTCACCCAACTTTGTGGAGCAGAAGGCCAGCCCAGACACGCCCTGGAGTTTCTATGTGAGCAGAAGTTGATCCACCGTTCGCCTGAGGACCACGTCAAAAGCGAGATTAGCTAGTAAGTGCCCCACCCTGAAATCGCGTTCGAAGAATCTTTTGGTTCGAGATAGCATTCGACGACAGACAGAAGCTCCAACTCGCTCTACTGCTCTCTCAACGATGATCCAGTCAGAGGCAGGCAAGCGGAGCCGCTCCAGCTCCAACAGGATGCCCTGAGACGAGGAAGACTCTGTGCTATCCCACGCACAAGCGTTGCCTCAGCAAGAGTTCGCGCCACTTCTGTATTGAACTGGTCATCATCATCTGAGTAAAGCGAACATGACATTTCAGTCCTCATGTGACGCGAAAATTCTCACCGTGATCGCTCGTCATCGCCGCAGCGTTGACTCCGAGGTCCAAAGGCTTCTTCCACCACGACATGGAGTCCGACAACACAAACTCTATATCTTCCGTAGACGCTCTGTAAAGCCGCTTGGGGAATTTTCGTGTGACGGCCATGTCCAACTCACTGTTCCTTGAAAATCTTGATGAAAATAGCTGCTGGAGTTCTCTTCCTGGTCCCGTCATCACTCATCATACCGCCGTTATTCTCGATCTTCGTTACTGCTTCATAAAGAGCACTCGCGAATCTAGAAGACACGCGGAACTCAGTTTTCACGATTCCAGAATCTTCACTGCACGATACTGACAAGCCTAGGATCTCACCCGAGTCCTTTCCTGTGGATCATCCGCTCAACCATAAGCTGATCGTGTATTTTCAGCCCGACACATATCCTATTCATTACTTCCATCTCGGCCAGGAGTCGCTTGAAGCGAGCCTGATGAACACAGCTCTTCGCCATCACCACGCTCGGCTTCAGCAGCTACTGATTCCTCCGCTGTGTTGATCACTTGCTTCATCGGACTAGAGTCGTCGTTTCCATTAGTTTCCGGGGACGGCACGACTTTGTAGATGAACGCAACGTCTTCCTCGGTGAACCTAGCAGACCGCTGATAGTAGAGTTGCTTCCTGTGCCGACCTGTCATCTTCCTTGATCAGTCGAGTTACTACTCCACCCAAGCGACCGCCACATTCCTTCTCAATCCTCTGAAAACACACCCACTGATAACGCCGGGAAGTCACGACAGATTACCTTGGTCGCCTCATAGAGCTCCACAGCGACTGCTATGCCTTTCCTCACCACCAAGCGCTCAAGGAAGTGGACCTGGAGAATGCGAGTCGGAAGGATGTGTATTAGGGCCCTCTCGATGCTGACTCACGTGTATCAGCGACATGTTGACGCCCAAGCCAGCCGCGAGTTCGAGTACGACGATACGTTCAGGTGCATCTGAAGCGTTAGAAGCTACCGATGCCGAACCAATGCCTTCCGTGCTTACCCTCCGGAAGGATCATGAATCCAGCCATGTTCCCCTCAGGTGGAGGTATTGCCGACGGGAGAGCTTCACCGCGCTCCTCATAGTCCATATCTCCAACAAACCTGGAAGAAAAAATCGACCTTCCATCCCCCTTCCTCGATTGCCCACCTCCCAGGAGTTCCCACTCCGCCACATGTCCTCCAAGTGGCATCCTGGTACTGTTTCGTGAACATAGGTGGCCGGCCCCTCCCTTGGCCACGTCGCGGAGCCGTGCCCTTCCCACCGCGAGCAAGAGCGAAGATGTACAGCTTATCCTCAGCGGAAATGCTGAAAATTGGGAAATGTAGATTTACATGCCACGTAATCATTGCATACTTTTCGTCTGCCTTGATGAGTTGGGCAAACACGCCCCCCGGAGTACCTGTTTAGAACAAGACTAAAGGGGAGACTATGGCCTGTGGCCACTCACGCTTCACTTCAACCTCCTCACCATCTACGGTCTCCGTATGGGTCTTCTTTCTCAGAATTCTGGCTTCTACCGCAGATCTCTCATTCGATGCATCCGAGCAAAGCTCGAGGCTCTCGGCTAGGAGCGAGCGGGCGAAGTCGACACCCTGACAGCAATGTCCTCAACTCGTAGACGGATAACAACAGTAGTAACGGATTGTCTCCAGGCACAGCAGAGGTACTTGCCTTCTTTTCTATCAATCGTTCCGCGATTGTCGTTTCTGTCATGCCCAGAGCGGCAACGATATCGCGTATCTTCAAGAAAGTAGTAGCGAAGCTGATGACTATAATGGAAGGGCTTACCGCTCGAACTCTTGGATCAGACGGAGCGAAGCAGCTGAGGTTGGCGAAGATGAGATCGATGCGCTGAAGGGCAAGGCAGTGCAAAGACCGCGGCGAAGGAGAATAACTTACCGCCTTATCCCTGCGAATCTTGTTCTGTCTGGTTGTATTGCCGCGGAAGATGAAACTAAGGATAGAAAAATAGGAAAGTTCAGCTGTTGGGATTTTCGACGTCGAGTGATACCTCTTATCTTGAGATTCGATATCCTCGCTTGTTTTGATTATCTTCCAGAACACGCCTCCGGGGGTGCGCGCTCTCTTGCTGCCGTCTTGAGTGTATAGGTATAGCGCATCTTCGGGAGCCTGAGGAGTAACCACTCATGGACTTGCAAATTGTCTTGCTGATGAACCCACATTGTTTTTGATTTTCTCCTCAGTTACGGCGAGTAGTTGCCTGCATTTGTCCTTGCCAAGCCTATACACGGCCCTCTCAAGCTGGTGAACGTCCATCTCTAAAAGCCTCCGCCCTAGTAAAGCGATCAGGTCCAACGTTTCCTGAACAGCAAATTGAATTCCGGGAAAACCCAGGGAGTTAACCTTACTTGATCGGTAAGTGGCACCAGTGACAACTTGGACTTCATCTCTTCTTCGATCCAATACATTCCCCCTTCTTCATTCCATCGTGTGGTGATGCTAGACCCCCAATCAGGATGGGAAGAAGGGTCGACAACAGGCTGAAGAAGCGGAGGAGCATCTGCCGTACTGCAGCAAGTGCTTGTCGGAGGACTCGCTGCTGACATAAATATATCGGTGCACTACGAGAACACTGTCGCGCATAGACGCGAGCCTGCGAAGTAAGCCTATCGCAAATGCAGGAAACTGTGTGAAACGCTCAGCATTGTCAATCGAATTCCTGATGGCTTGGAACACTTCAGGAAGGGAACAATGGACAAACGAGCGACCGTCTATCATCGTACTGATCATCGGCATCGTCCCGAGGCTTCCTCGATAGGTTATACATGATAGTTCAACAAAGCATTTGGCCACGTTACTATACGCCATTTGCCGATGCACAAGTCATCCCTTTGAGACCACGCAATGTGGCTGCCCGGAAGAACATGATCAGGTGTGGCTCACGCCGGATTAACTCTTTCGGCAATGACTAGGCTGACGATCTCAGTGAATCAGGTACGAGATTCAACCTGTTTCCAGACTTTCAAACCGCGCTGTGAAATCGCGACCGCCCTAGTAATCGATTGATAGAGGTCCGAATGAACGAATTACTCGACTTTGAGGATTATGACGACCCTCCCAATCAATGATGATACCTGGTTGGCGACCAAGTCTTTCCTCTCGGGAGGCTTAGGCGCGTGCATAGCGAAGACATGTACTGCTCCCTTGAGTAGGACGACGATTTTGATGCAAGTGCAGTCGATGCGGCCGCACAAGTTCTACGTTCGCGGATCGCCTAATAATACTCGTCTCCTCGAGTCTGTGGCGAAGATGATAACCGAAGAAGGCTTCTTCTCGATGTGGAAGGGAAACGGAGCGAGTTGTTTGCACCGATTCCCCTATGCTGGGATCACGTTTTTGGTCCAGGACCGCGTGAAGAGTTTATTCCCGTTGAACTGGCGATTCGCCGATTTGGCTGCTGGAGCTAGCGCTGGAGCATGTGCCTGTCTCACATGCTATCCACTTGACGTTGTCAAGGCTCGGCTCGCGACACAGACGAAGACTGCCCATTACAAGGGCATTGGTCACTGTCTCGTGCTCATTAGGAAGGAAGAAGGGCTCCGGGCATTTTACCGAGGCGTTATCCCCACGCTCTGCTACGTCATGCCCACATTTGCAATCAACTTTGAGGTAATAGCTCTACCTTGTTTACGTCGTGAACGTCGAACTCGTGATGTGTTAGGTTTTCGGTACCGTGAAGAGCCTTTACAAGAGATATACCGGTGAGGACGATCTACCGCCTATACTAGCCATAACGAGTGGCTGTCTCAGTGGCTTCGCTTCTAGTTCTATGTGTTTTCCAATTGATTTGGTTCGGCGACAAATGCAAATGGATGGGCTCCATGGTCGTCCTAAGCGATTCACTACTGCATGGCATTGTTTTAAGCACATCGTCGGAACTGATGGTGTCAGGGGGCTTTACAGAGGCATAGTTCCTGAACTTTGTAAAGTCGTACCGTACGTCGGTCTGATGTTTGGGTCTGTGGAAGGTCTACGTAATGCTAGATGGCCCCATGAAGTCCGAGATGAATGTTGACGATGTTGCCGTATATTGAAAAACTCCGTGATTGAGATGTGTCTTTTCCGCCTCGTCAGCGAGGCTTGCTGCGCTCCTGTTACAATAACATTCGTCTACCATTACGTGTCGCCGCTTACTGCACTAGAGAGCATTCATTTATAGTCGTTACTCACTAGCGTTGGACAAGCAAGTTTATACGGGTCTTGCTTGTTTCTATAGTGCTCTGTCCGCAACAATTGCTTCGCACAATTACCTGGCCTTGAGTGTCTCGTTGAGTCCGTCTTAATCAGCTTGACTGTAGTGTGAGGCCTTCGGTCTAGCCAGGATTCGAATTTGTAGTACTCTGTTACTTGTCGTACCCGTCTCCAGCGCTTTTTATGGTCCGTCAGAGATCATCCGCCCCGCGCTCCCATGGATGGGACTATCTATCCGATGATCACGAGAATAGAGGGGACAGGCCAGGTAGCCGCTGGGGGATCTGTCTGCGAAAATGGGCAATTTGATCAAGACTCATCTTTTCGGGAAGAGTCTTCTATAAACGTAGAGCCGCTCCTGGCAGAATGAGCCTTTGAGTATATACAGCGTATTAGTATGTCACTTGCACATTTTCATGTTTATTCATCAGTGTTGGTTTAGTGGTTTCTATCGCGTGTCTTTCCTCAGGTTCTGCTACTCGCACTCTTATGTTCGTCAGACTTCCCCGGGAGGTGGCAGAAGCCGATCTCGTCCAACTAGCGACTAAATACAGTCCGAAGTCCTGCTGTGAGGATGGCTGCGTGGAGTCGACTAAGGTGGCTATCCTGATCTCGAAGCCCTCCAATCACCGTGTTATTCAGGTGGTACGCGACTCGTGGGGGCGATCGCGCTGTTTTGCGTTCGTCCGTTTCACACATACTAGCTGTGCACTTCATGTCAAGCGACACGCGGATAGACAACAAGTAGGGAAACTCTTGAGTGAGATGAGTAATATTGTAATCTCTTCAGATCGTTGCTTATGACCGTTTCGGTACGGGCTGGACAGTAGGAGCGACTTGGGCTAAAAGCCCGAACAAAGCGGGTGAGAAAGGCACTAAGAAGAGGGCGAACAAGAGTCAGAAGAAGAGAGGTAAGGTCGTTCAGGATCCTGGACGAGACACGTGGTTCACGGTTTTAGAGAGGAAGAAAGCAAGCCCAACCCTGGAAGTCCCTCCCAATGTGTTTGTCTCACCGTCTGATGAAACTACACCAGTGACAGACATGGCGCAAAGGTTGAGAGACGAAGCCATTAGGTCGTTGACGTCCAGGCACCCGGGTAGCTGATATTCTCAGGTTGGTAGTCTAGATCGGTCTTTTTCTCCATGATCAGGAACTCAGACCGCTGCACATCTTACCGAGGTGTTTAACTCCATGTTGGGGATGCCGATGAATCCTCTTTATGCCACAGACTTCATCACTCCCACTAGCCGCCTATGGTCTATGCCTAACCAAGCTCATGTTGGAAACGACAACGCTCCAGTGCAGCCTGTCGGTCCTCTGCGTAGCACTTATGAGGTTTACGCTCACTAGCATTGGAACTCCTTCAGTTGTACCACGTTCTGTGTCTAACTTTTTCTCCGTTGACGATCTTCAGCGGAGCCCTCCTGGATCCGCCTGGCCCACTGGTCTTCAGCAACAGCTCTATTCTGGTGAGTCGGTCGCGCCTCTTTGGCGAGGGACTTTCCAAGGCGTTGGCAGATACCCCATCCACCAGTCCAGTTTTCACCCCTATCCCGGTCGAGCAGCAATCTAGTGGTGTCAACTCCCATCACCTCAGCGCGTACGGTCCGTGCTATTCTGGTAGTTACGCTCATATGGAGCTGATCGGCGAATCGCTCCATCGTTGTTGTTCAGGCATCCCTGGATCCCATCCATTTGGATTGTGTAACTCCCTTTCTAGCGATACTACACCTCCTAGTGCTGCATCTTAGGGTCTCTCATATGAGATTGCTCACTCTATATATGCAATCGGTAGTAACTCGTACGAGTTAATAATTGTTCATCGTTGCCATCGCCAGCTCAGTCGCACTATAGTAGAGATCCAATCGTTGAATTTTTTGCTACTACTTTTGATCGTGTACTCGAATGAGAGCCTCCCATTCGTAGGAGTAGTTTCTTTCGTCTATCGTGCTCTATTATGCAACCGATATCTTCTTTCTAGTATTTACCTTTTGTGAGTCGTGGAAATGATTACTCCAATGCCATAGAGACGCATCGACTTCCTGGTCTCCAAGGACGAGTCCCTCGAGCTAGGGTTTTTAAGTCGGTTGCGGACTTTTTGTGTGTCATGCCCCATACTGGTGACTTTTCCGACGTGCTGCCATTTTCTGCGGAGCCCCCAAGTGTATTTGATCGCATTACTTCCCTGCCCGATACAACCTACCCTATTTCAACTCTAGAAGAGTCGTATTTTTTAGGTAGTTACTAATCTTTGACATGGTATCCACGTGGAATATGATGAGACTTTGTGTTTGCATGCTCTGGGAGATGGAAGTGTCGGGACTCGAGGACGGGTTTTTGGTTGGAAAATTATTTCCAGTGTGCGCACATACTAGCACATACACATAATCGATTTTACTTTACCTGTGGAATATGTCGTCGTGCCATATTCGTGTCTGTTTGCTGTTCACAGAAGTCATGTATTGGTGATTACCTTCACAGAACTGATGCTTTAAAATTTACGAGTGGTGAAGTAATCGTATTCGACTGCAACGATTTGAACACAACACATATTCTCAATACTATCTATCAATTAGGGCCATGATATGATGGCATTTAACAGTGGTGATTAGCATTATGATTGTCTATAACGTGTGGATGCTCTCCAACTATCCACCAGGAATATTGGCGGTGACTGATACTGCCAAGCGAAGAGAATCACCCGTGCCTTTAGCACAGATTGTATAACTCCATTGGAGAATCAATATGTTAGAGCTGCACGTGCATCGCACTTGCGGCTCAGACCCTAGAGCGGTACTCTCAGCGCGATGTAGGGATTCGTACAATACCCAAGGACTAGGGCAGAAGTCCACCTAGAAGGGGAAATTTGGTTGCAAGCTCGTTACTGGGATCTCCTCACAGCATTCCAACACGCAGGATCTCGCTGAATCCCGCGGCTGCTACACACGCAGCCACGAGTAATAGGACGACGATTACGGTGAGTATGGCTGCTTTGACGATGTTGCCTGAAATATTAAGAGAACGAAAAATTCTCGCGAACTGGTGACTGGTAGTCCGCATTCGTGATGGAGTAGAGACTAGAGTCCGAAATTCCTTACTTTCGGAGGAGAAAATGCAGTGGTTGAGGGCTCCTACGTGTCCTTGGTGTTTTACCATGGTGATCAGAAAAATGCTTAGGAATGAGAAAGTCACGAATCTTCCCACATCTTTCCGTGAAGATAATCCCATGGCACTTTCGGATGCCGAACCACTATCGCTCATCAACGCAATGCAGTTGGGAAAATTAGACATCGGGGGACCACTCTTCGCTCACTCCAGAGATGCTGTAATCGTCCATGCCATCTCCCTCAGGAAGCTAACGGGACAAGCAGTGGATACCAGTCGAGGCTCATACGATTCCAGTTTGCGAGCTTGATCAGCTCTAACGCCCAAGCGCGGCTCACATTCAAATCTCGGAGCAACTGCCGTTTCTGTTTCTCCTTCTCTAACCTGATGAAGAATACGACTGATCTTGTGAGCATCACGAGATCATCACAGAAGCCTATATAGTTCTCCTGTGGCCTCGATCAGTTGCCCCCCCCCCAGGAAGCGAACCCTCTTACTTGCGAGCATCTTCTTGTAATCTCCTGAATTCATCCGTCACGTATGGTACCTACGACTCGAATAATCGCCACATATCCTTCTGCATTCCACGGCAAGTTCTATCACTGTTTTTCGCGTATTTCTCATCTTGAGTTCCGACCCTGCTGAGTCTTCGAATGGAATTACCGAGTATTACATGATATGCAGACGTCGGGTTTCGAATCATATTCAGCAAAGGGTTTTTAGCCATGGCCGCATCCTTGTCACGAATGACCGTTTCCAGGCCGAATTTCACGCTATCATCATCTACAGAAAAACACATTATCTCTGCGAGGCATAGTTCCAGAAGTCTCTTGGACAAGTTTCGAATTACACAATGGAGAATACAGAACGCCTCCCGGAAAAAAACAACAAAGAGCGCGATTCGGTCGAAAAGATGGTGGCAACATATTACCACTATCATCATGCTTCTTCACTACGGGATTCACATCCTCCATGATTTTACGATTGGAGTACCTGATTGGTCCTTCCTCCTTCTAACCACGATGGGTTCAGTTGAACTCACTCGAGGATGTCTCCCATCGTTGCCCGTTCAGGCTGATCCGTCTCCGCTTTCGCCCCGCTCCGACCAGGTTCGTGTTGCATGCTTAGAACTCTCTCATCACCCCAGTTCTCCCAGAATTTTACCCCTACCAAGACTCCAATTAATGACAATGCGCATTCCACCGCTGTACTCAGAGATGTCTCACGCGACACAGGGAACAAATATCGTGACAAAATCGACATAACTCACCGAGAAGTTTCCTCCGGACGAGTTCTTGCAAGTGAAAGGCTGGAAATGTGATGTATGGGAAAGCTTCAGCCAGTCGAGCGAAATCATCAAAGTGCCTTCAAACACAAATGGACGACGCGATGCTTCATAGAAAGACCAACTCACAGGCGTTTCCAACGCCCATCACGAAAGAGGCTCAACGCCCGTCTGTTGTTCGAAGGGAAGATCGGAGCGCTGTCGGAGCCAGGGGGACGATAGTTGAAAAGGGCTATGAGTTCCTGCTTTGAAACCTAGAAAGATCGGTGCCTCGAAATGGCAGAGTGCGAAATAGATTTGAGTAATGACGTCTACTTCCACTCTTCGGCAGATTGAAAACTCATCCGAATGGAGCCGAATGGGCACTTACGAATCCGTTGCGATCCGTATCAACTACAATGAAGAAAAACTGGATGATCTCCTCCCTCGAAAGGGCGCAAAAGCTCGTGAAAGAGACGATGAAGTCGTCGAAGGAAAGGTTACCTAAGTCGAGACGGCTCAATGATATTCCAGCATCAGTTTTCCATCGTTCACACGAATCATCTCGAGAATAATTACACGAGACTCACCGTCGTTGCCTCGGTCCGCAAGATGGAACAAGGCGAGGATTAGAGGCGCCACCGTTGAGTTTGTTTGCTCGCCGACGAGTGTGAAGCACTCTGTTATGGTCCAGTATCCGTTGCCTGAATGTTGCGTTCTTCAGTCATTCGCTCTAGTGATCGAGTCGTAGGCGATTCTCACGATTCTTATCGATGGAAGTGAAGACTTTCCATAGCTTCTCCATCTCGGCTAGCCCGATGTGATAGCGAGAAAGGATCTTCTTGGAACGATTCTCGAGTGGCGGAAGAGGCAGCCTCTGACCCATGTAGGCAAACAACAGAGAAACTTTCACATTTCCTAGGATGATCGCTTGAAAATTCCAAGATGATACTTTAAATCTTGCAATTCTTATAAAAACTTGCGTTTCCTCAACGGGTTCACTAGAGAGTTGTCTCAACTTCAAATTTCTCGTTGTATTTTCGCTCGTACAGTTGCACCTTCGTCATGTCGGACGCCTCTCGACTCCGAGCCGGTGGTTCAGGAGCTCGGAGAGGGAAAGCCATGGACGACATGTTGGAAGAACTAAAGGAGAAGCACAAACGCCAGGTAGTGGCTGCCGAGCTCGAGAATAGCTGGTCGGGAAGTCATCACCTTCGGAGGGAATCTCGTTGGAGGGATCCCTGGGGTTATGATTCTGTGGTCCAACTCAGCAGCTGCGAGACCACCCTCCTCAAATCTTTCCCGCTTGCCATTGTTTTTGAGCCTTGATGACGTCAGGCTGCTCGCCGTGCTGACGCTAAGCAGCTTGAAGCCAATGCTGAACGGGTCAATGTTAAAGTGCCTCATGAAGTAGACCCCGAGAGTGGAGAAGACAACCTGATGATGTACTGGGTATCACCCTCTATGCGTGATATTATCGCGGCCAGGTATATCGATAAGGTCAGTAAGTACGTGGCTAGGCATGGCAGAGAGTTCGAGAAGTAAGACCGCTAGCGATGCGTAGAATTAATCTCTATTAGAGCCTCTGTAGATATCTTGAGACTCTCGCGAAAGGAGGCGATAAACGGCTGCAATTCCTGTTACAACCGCTCGACTCTCCTGCTGGAGTCTATTACCGATGGAGAGTTTGTGCCTATCTCAATGGAGACACACAGGTTATAAGATTTACTCTATGGGATTAGTCGTAGCTCGAAGCTCGCAGACACAATACTCGACGACGCCTTTCATGATCTATGGTCAAGGGCATCTGTGGGTGCCGCCCGGGCGCTCTGAGACCAAGGGTGATGACAACTCGGACAACGCAGTTAAGACTAACGAGAAGTAGAGGGAACTTGAACGGTCGGGAAATCTTTCACCGTCTGATTCTGCTAGGTTCGAGTCAACTGTGCTGTCGGAGGAAGATCGCTCCTACTTACTGAAGGAGCTGCTGCCGAGTCTGACTACCAAGCGCAGGAATATCAGGGAGGCCATGGTATGGTGCATTGACAGATCGAGGGCTGCCGACGATCTAGTATGTCAGCTTTACCCTAGTAAGCCATGTCGTGCCTGGCTACCCATTGTATATGATCATCAGATATCATTCAAGGGTCTACGAGGAACTTATCAGCAACACCGTTGAAGACTGTTGCGTCGGCATATTTCATCAACGATCTGCTCCACAATGCGGGAGCGTCGTCGGCGAAAGCTGGCTGGCAGTTCAGATCGGCCCTGGAGAAGATACTTCCAGCCTTAGCAGCCGATATATCGAAAGAAGGGGTAGCACTCGGGATTCGGGGGTAGCTCGTGGCTAGGGGTAGAGGCAATTTCTGGGGTCTTGCGCGTCCTCAGATCTTCGCCAGTGTGAGTTGCGTGACACACTGTGGAAGTTTTCATTTGCTCTTGTGCTGTTCGAGAAGACACCCGAGTTGGTCGAAGCGTGGCAGCGATGTGCGGCGTCGTGGACATCGAGAGAGCTTTTTGATCATCACTTCGTGCGAGGCATTCTTCTGGAACTTGAAGGCCAACCCAAGGCAGACGATGACGATGAGAGGGCCGTCTTCACGGAAAAGGACTTAGAGCAGGTGGACGAGTGGCAAGGGTATGACGATGCTCAACTCGACAAGGTAAAAGGCAAGGAAAACAGTAGGTTTCATTTCGTTTTCCGCGTATAGGTCTGCGAGACGCATGGAATCTCAGTAGTACAACGTAACAAGGAAGAGAAGTTAGCCCAGCTGAAGCGATGGTTGATGGAGGTTGCGGGCGACAGACAAGAGTTGGACGGTATGGATGTCTCCGATGATGACATCTCAGAACTCAGCCAAGAAGATGAGGAGATGTCTGATGGAGAGCCGTTGGAGGAGGATGAGTGTGAAGCGGTTCCTGACAATTGGGAGACTCTCGATGACAATCTGGGGGAGGAAGATGTTGATGGCGAACCCGTCGAAGCCGCTGAGCCGTCTACTGCGCTCAGTTTTGGTGTTTCAGTGCCCACAATGGGTCCGAAAGTTCCAGGAGAACGGAAGCCGACAGCCTCAGTTGCTACAGTTAGCAATGATCGGGTACAAGTAGTTGCCGACATATCGAGTTTGATGGTTGAGCTTCCGCCCCCCAAAGTGACACCTCCGAAGCGGCGTGAGCGCAGTTGGAGTAGGAGCCGCCGGAGGAGAAGCAGGAGTCGTAGTGACAGTCCTGACAGAAGACGGTCACGGAGGAGATCGAGATCTCGGGAGACAAGTCGTCGACGTCATCGCACAAGGCGTAGCGTCACACGCAGCATAAGTCGCCGGCGCTCGCGTGGTAGGGCGCGGCATCGTCAACGTGACTAGGAATTTGTACACTTTGTGATATTTCAATTATTTTCACAATATTCGTTATATTGAGTTAGTTGTGAGTTGGCTATTAGAAGTAACCCTTCTCGGTTCACAAGAACAGTGACTAAACGCAACAGGTTCTCAATAAAAATCACAATTTTAAGTGCTATGCACGGAAGCGGTATCTTCTGGATCCTCTGTGATTACAGGAAGACCACCAGGACTAGGGCCGCCTGACACACGCGCCAAGGTTCGCTGTCTGATCTCGAGGGGCGGTAGTGAGGTCGGCTGCCCGAACCTGTACAAGTCTTGTGCGCGGTCAAACTTCAATTCATAGTCGTTTACGCGGCAGCAGCCCATAGAAGTTGATGGGCAGCCGCTCCCTTTACGGTGTTGAGCTGACGCATCTCACAAACATATTGCCATGAGAAATATGAAGCCGTGAAACTAACCTACAATTCACGAAATTGCATCGATTCTTTGAGGACTGATCACGTACCGCAGGACTGAGTATGAGCAGAGAGTTGGCTAAGGTGAAGGGGAACGGAGTGGGCATGAAGAGCACCGATAGTAGCTGCAGGGCTTGAGCTGACCCCTGCAGGAAGGCGAAGACTACGTATGTCTTCAGTCGGTCGGGGTCTGAAAGGATCGTCTATTGAGAGCTAAGCGATTCCGAGCCCACTCCTGTCAGGTAAGGCATTGACGACGCCGAGAAGCCCCAGCAGTCCATTGTATATCCCGCTGTAGAGATCCATCGTGTAAGCTTGAGCGAGGCCCACACCAACATGCGCTGCAGTCAAGGATTGAACAGCTCTCCTGAAAATCCCATCAAAGCTTGAACGGTCATTACTCCATAGCTGCTCACAAGAGGAACCACGCCCGTGAATTGTCTCGCTGCGTTGGCTCGACCTCACATTCAGGAGCTACTGAGGTCTGAGTCACTGGCGGGGGCATGGCGCGAATGAGGCTTGCGGGAGGAGGAAGTGGTGGCGCCATCGCCACCATCACACCTGATCGCTACACGTGTCTTAACTTGAGACTATCAACGAGTATCTTCTTGTAAGCTAGTTGGTGAGGACAACCCGGTCAGGAGAGCTCCGGGTCGAGGATTTATGGACCCGTTGAAACGTAAGTTTCCGTTCTTCGGACTCACCTGCTGGAGCGGCTACGCGAGTCGCCGACAAGATGCCCTGTAGGATCATCGTTGTGGATGTGGCGAGGTCCACGAAGCCTTGATCCGTTTCTTCCTCGCAAGAGTCCTGCTGAACTGTTGTTAACGTCGATGCTGGTATGAATGCGAGAAAGTCGCAAGTGTCCTTCGGCCGGGCTCGGCAGTTATCCGGCCCTCCGCACTCAAGTGGTCCCGCGTCGAGAAAATCCAACATATTCCCTATCGAGATGGCAAGAGCGACATTGACGAACTCCAACGCAAGAAGGGCAACCGAGTGGATAAAAAGTCAGCTATGACAAAGCGTTTCTAAGCTTCAATACAATAGACATAATAGCGAAAGCCATGGCACGGAAAACCACTGACGCACTCTGCATGGTGCGATCATCCTCTTCAGCCTTAGTCGGACGAGTTGTCGTCCAAACTGAGCAGCAAATGGGTATGACTGCCGAGGAACTTGAGTCTGTCCACATAATCCGGAAGGGGTTCTACTAAATCGTGAACCTCGGACGAGACATTTTCGAACCCGAATGAAGACACTTCAACTCTGGGTTTCCCTCCTGGAGCGAACTCCTGAGGGTCCCAGTCGATTTCGAGACGCCATTCGATAGTGTCATGCTCTCCGCCTTGGTCGAAGTTCAGCCAATGACAGTTGCAGTCGGCTCGAACAGGAGGCAGCCTTCCCCTCAAAGCTGGGAAGCCTACCAAACCTTCATGCGGCACCGCCATAGACATGTGCTGTGCGTTCTTCCCAGTAGCAATAATGGTAGTACGGACAACTCCCGTCTCCAACGTGACGGGTCTTTCCGCACGAACAACAAAGTCGTTCCATTCGCCGTGGTGCTCGACCTTGACTCGGGTCATGTCCTTGAGAACAGACTGCAAAGGAAAGTAGTACGGCGCGCCATTGCCGTAGATAGCCTCAGTATTCTTCACACTCCACAGCTTTTTCGTCGACTTAAAGACATCGCCTGTGAGTGGCTCGAGATGGTTGATGTCATATGGACTGATGTAGAGGTATGCCTCATGTGTGTCCACATGGTTGACATGAAAAGTAAACAGCCGTTTGGGCCTGTCAGGGCTGTAGGGGAATAAGTAGCTTCCTCCCAGAACAACGGTAGCCGCTATTGCTATCAGGAAGCCTGCTATCAGCGCCCTCTCGATCTGCAATGTCCCACCAATTCTGCGAGCGAGTGCGAATGGTATGTCTCCCATAGCGGAGATACAGAGGATAATAGGCGCGAACACGAATAACCCAACCAGAATTTCGGGCGGCACCACGGTACCGCTGCGAGCACAAAGAGGAACCTAGCAACAACCGTCTCGATAGTTATCCCGCGGGCTCTCACCAGCAAATCAAAAGCAGCAGGCATGAGCTGTAGTGTGACGATTATCGGGATTGTGTACCCTGCTACGAACGACATGAAATACCTCCCAGTGTACACATATCTGCATCCAACAATATGGTGACCGTCACGTGTATCGAGATGTACTACATCAGAGGGAATGTGCACCATAGGAAGGATAAGTAGCTCGATGTTGGTACTAAAAATGTGATTCCCAGGCAGAGAATAGCCGCTACGAGGCGGCAAGTCCAGAATATATCGCCTGGAGAGCTCTGAGCAGAGTTACCAAATTTCACGACCAGGGAATAATGTCCATCACTACCTCGTCACTTTTTCCAGCAATACGTCGTTTGGCAAAGAGGTACCCAGCGACAGCCGGGAACAGAAAAAGCGGGACTGTTAGCCAAGTATGGTTCTGGTACGCTAGTCTATATCCCCTCGGGATGAGGAACATGGCTATCAAGCCGTAGCCTAGTGATCCGCACAGCTCCGCGAAGAAGAAGGCTCCGATCAGCCATGGTCTTGGGGAGAGCTGAAGGGAGAGTGCCAGTTCATGAGCGCAGCTGAGCTATTACCGTCAGATTAGATAAGGATAGCATGAGCACGATGATCGCAGAAGTGATGTGCAAGGCCCATGCTACTCTGGTAGAGTAGACAACGAACCATCTACCGAGCACGTCGAAATACACCCCTGGCAATTGGGCGTCCACGGGCTTCTCTACTCCTTCACTCGTCATCAATGCCAACAAATCAAGGATTGTCTCGCCGTATCTTTGCATCGATTGAACGGATGCATGGGCGAAATCGTCAATACTGGTATGGTAAACATATTGGTTGCCGATGGTGGCGAAGTCCAAGCCTGGCACCAAGAGCCCCTGCTTCTCGAGGATGAAGTCGCGGTATACGCGATAGTCGGTGTCGCCTGGTACTACTCCCGCCTGGAAGACACTATGAATGAAACTGCTGCCAGCTGGTCGCTTCGCAGCCCTCTTGTATTGAGACACAAGCGAATGACTGCCAACCTGATCACCACACAAGCCTAAACCCTAAGATCAAACAGACCCGTCTTACTTGGAATAACACCTCCCGTCCATGGCCCCCGTTACACTCTAGATTAACGATAGCGCATACATCGCGAGCCCATTTGCTATTCCTAGCAAAGCCATGGGCGGCATGCATGAGGGTTTCCTCAGCTCCATTGAAGTTGACAATGAGATCGATCTCACTATCAGCCATGAGGTTCCGGGCCTTGAATACCCGCATGACCTCGATAAGTAGACCAACTTGCATAACGTTATCGCTGATTCCAGGGGCAGCCAAGGCAGAATCGTAGTGAGCACCAGCAAGAACTGCGCACCGACGACCTTTGGTCCGCTCCTTCTTCGAGTTCAGCCGAAATGCGATATTGGTAATATTACGGTAGTTTCCTATGACACCACCGAGAAACGACATGTAGAAAGAGCCATTCGAGTGGAAGTTGTCGATTTGGAGATCTTTCTTGGAAAACCCAATACTATCTACTTCTTTCAGGATAGCTTGCGGAGCGCAGACCTCGGCCGCGTGTGTGCCAGATTCGCGGTTCTGAAAAGTAATCACAGCTTCCAGAAACCACTTATATCACGTCTTGATTACACTGCAAGTACGTGACTGAGTAACCCTAGTCTCGATCGCATAGTGAAAGCACCCTCGCGAGTTCGCCTCTCGAATTCTCAAACCTACCACCTACTCCGCAAGCTTCCAGTTCCTGGACAACCTTCACAGCACGTTGCGCTGAAAATTCCGTCTCGGGAAGCTCTGTGTTTTCGAACTCCTCGCCCCCGATTGCCACCCAGTGTGCCTAACAGACCACGCTTTCCAGCGCCCCATGCTGATCCGTGTTAGAACCGGTTATTCAACATTTGATGAAAAACAATATCGGCTCACTAGGGAAATCCTGTACTTACCCCGACAACGAGGGCAATTAAGAGACAGCAGTAGGAAACGAACCAGGAACCTAAAACTCGTATCAGCTCTTCAGTGTGAAATCCAGTTGAGCCCACCTGGAAATCTCGGCCCGCCATGCTTGATACTCTTGATGGTAACAACTCGATGATTCTCCTCGCTTCGTCCGGTCGTCATGAATATCACAAATTACTGTGAGACTTACTAAGTATTAATAACACGCAGAGCTTGGGTCATTTTCGCTCGCCTGCAGGAGATCTTGTGGAGTTGTAGAGGAACCCGACATCTCTGTGTTGGTTTTTGCTCGCTCTCTGAACTCAGTAAGAGCTCGTCGAACTTCGCGGGATGGCACACGCTCAGTAAGAGGGCGAAATCTCGAGCTCTAGAACTACGTAACCATGCGTGCACGCCACTTGGGAGCGTTACGTTTCTTTGTGCTGGAATACCTCGGAGTGTGTATAGTGAGAAGCGGGTCTCGGAGGAATCGATGAAGAGACGCATTGAGCTTAGGAACGGCTCAGCACTCTTCGCACCTCCAAAGCCAAAATCAGTTTGAATCCACTGTTAGCATCTCCCTGTTGTCGATCCGCAATGACAGCCGTCGTTACTACGACAGCCCCGCGTGGTCCAACTGCCCAAGCACCATCACTAACACCACTGCAGCAGGAGATCTTGAGGTAATACACAGAGGTTGAGTTTCTACTAGGGGAGGGGAGGGATACCATCCGTACACGGGAGACTCCGACGTCAAGTATATGCTATGCATGTGCTTGCTTGCGCTAGTATTGGCATTCGTGAAATCTGGTATGGAATAGTCCTATTCGGTCACTTGGACTCAGTTGGGATTTCTTCAAAGATGTGAATGATGACCGGACGCAGGAAGAGCTGAAGAAGCTGCATGAAAATGAGGATGAACTCGGGTACTAGGAGCTGAGGTTGCCTGAGCTCTTCTCCATCGCGGCCTTTTCGATGCCATAGTCTTGCGAGCAGGTTCGACCATGTGCCGCTGAGGTTTGAGAATTTTGAGGAGTACAACGACGTTTTCTACCCTCTATTCCTCCGTGAAACCAAGTCGCAGCTCGATAGAGCTCGTCATATGGAGCGAGGAGAGACTGAGAAGTAGAGTGGCATTCCTTTGTTACTCAGCAAAGGACTCAACCATCGTGGATGTTCGAGATTGATCCTCTTATGCAGATTCTCTCACCTCACCTTCCGGATTATCAATGAGCGAATAGGTTTCGTTCGTCTCGAACTAATACGGATGTCCATGGTAGGCTGATTGAAAGCTGCGAGCGAATCGTATTATGCCCGACTCAGGCATCGAGAGAACAGTACGGTGGCTCGGACTTAGTCCTGATGTCGAGTTTAGAGGATCCCCTCGAGGACAATCCAGTACACGCCTTAGCGTAGGCGTCGTGTCCTGATCACATACCGTGTTTATGGTCTGTTGTTTCTAGATACGTGGAAAGCTTCGTCGATGGTCGACTATCGCTGCGTTTAAGGTGGGGAGGCGAATGTCACAGTCGTTGTGTTACTTGAGTGTTTTCAGACTGGATCTGCAAACAGGTCATACAAGTGACAGACACATGTTGGAGTTCCGGGAACGGAGCAAGCGGATTGCCTCAGCTATCGCTGAGAATGCCGACTGGTATATTACGAAGGTAGGTGGCCGGCCTCGTGGGGCGACAGAGAATCTTGCCTCTCAGATCACGTCCATGTCTACCATTCATCGTGAATACCAAGCCATGCAGGCTCTCAGGAGATCGCCTCTACTCAAGTGGGTGCTAAATGATATCGAGGTGGAGGAAGGCCAGTGCGATGTCAGCCCGAAGGCGGAGCAACGTAGTATGGGGGAGGTGCTCATATCTCTCGTGCATGAAGTATCCGGCAGAAATATTCTTGTCATTGCGATTGTCTACAGCATGTTTGTTTAGCCTCTGCTAAGAAGCGTCGGAAGGCAGCTGAAGTAGCTAAGCCTGCAACACGGAAGCAACGTCGACTGAAAATGCCGCCTGGACTGAAGACTACCATTGAGGGAAAGTAGTTGGGGTTGTGGGGAAGCTCCCGCGCTGGAGTCTTGCCTTGAGAGGAATCGATCGTGTTTTATTATGCAAATATTTTAGATACAACGACTCACAGCGGCATGCTATCATGGAAGCTACTAAGAGTGAAGGGCTCACGCTGATTCAGGTGGGGCGTTCGTTGAGAGGTCAACACTTGTTCAGTTGGTGTAAGGTCTGTGCATTTTGATCTGGGCATTTTCAGGGTCCTCCGGGTACCGGAAAAACTACTACTATCGTTGGTATCCTCTCTGCCATTCTCAACTCGGATGATGCAGAAGAAGCGGAGGAGACAGACCCGTCTGAGGTTGGGTAGCGGTTGTTATGGTAAACAAACATTTGCTTGGACTCAGGCGTCGACCGCGCTCCCGCGTGAAATCATCGACGATGGAGGAGAGCTCAGTAGTAGCGATATTGAAGACGATGCTGAGGTAATGTGTATGTTTCGAGAGAAGCATCTGGACATCGGCTCAAACGCTCAACCCCATAGGAATGTTAGGGATAGTCGTATTGCTTGTCAGTTCGAGAAGCAGCTAGCGAAGCGGCGCAAACGCAATTTGGAGGAAATCCGAAAGGTTGAGATGAAGTGGGCGTACAAGGGCTTCAAGAGCTGGCAAGAGACAGGTATTACTAGGGCGGGCGTACGAGGCAAAAAGTCCTCGTAGTGTCACCACCTACCATTGATACGTGAAATTACATCGAATATAGCGGACAGGTTTTCCAAGTAATCGCGCGCACTCGGGAATATTCCTTTGATTAGTGTGGGAAAACGTGCCGCGTACATATGTACTTGTGAATTTTTGGTAAGATAATGAAGGTTGTTACATGCTCCTACTCCGTGTTGGAATTACCATAGTGCGGCGAGAAATTTTCTGAGCTTAGCTGAGGAAAATAAGCATACGTTCTAACACTGTAATCGGCTGTTGAAATCCGACGACTGCTGCGGAACTACTTCGTCTGTCAGCACCAAAGAGGCTCTATCCACCCCAGCCGAACAACCCTAAGGACGCCTATCCTGAAGATCCTGTGATGAGGTTATTCAAGGAGAACACGTCGAATGCCAAGCCGAAGCGTAAGGCACATGAGCTCGTGTTAATTCATCTTCGTTGTGCAGGTAAGGTCCTTGTATGTGCACCCAGTAATGCTGCTATTGATGAAATTGTGAGAAGAGTAACGTCAACGGGAATATACGGCAGAGGTGAAATACACACCTTCACAGAATCTGTTCCCAGTGCCCTTCAGACGGAACGTTATACACTCCTTATGTCGTCCGTCTTGGTCCCAATCTGCATCCTTCGCTTCAGCAGTAAGCGAATCGATGCTCGCGTTGGAGAATTAGCTCAGTGTGGTGTAGGTATTCTCTGGAATCGATCATGGCTACTAGACGTAAGGCAACTTCGGGGGGAGCCGCGACCAACAAGGAGGATACTTATAGGTACTACAGCCTGGTAGGTTTTCACTCGGACGGCTCGTCCTCAGGCACCGCGTATCGATTCTAAACGAAGCTGTGATCGTCTGCGCTACTCTCTCCGTTAGTGGCGGCAGAGATTTACTGAGTTACCCTGGCAGCTTCGATACCGTGGTGGTTGATGAGGCTAGTCAGGGCGTTGAAATGGGTAAGGCCTCGCTCGGGTGAATGTGAAGAATGTTCTCAGGGACACTGATTCCTCTCCAAATGGGTTGCCAACGTATGGTGCTGGTCGGAGATCCCAAGCAGCTACCCGCCACAGTATTCTCTGCCACAGCTGAGCGATTCGGCTACGGCAAAAGTCTTTTCCAGCGTTTGCAACAGTCGGACTTCCAAGTAGATTCTATGATTAACTCTGCAGATGTTATTGACCAATCTGCATCAGGTGAACTTGCTGAGTACGCAGTTCCGTATGCATCCTGCCATCGCGGAGTTCCCTTCGAACGAGTTCTACGATGGTGGCGTTAAGAACGCTGAGAATATCATGGAGCTCGTGGGAGATCAGCCATGGTCTCATATACCGGTAGGCGCACAGTTGCAGTAGTTGATACGATGACTCCCGATTGGTCAGATATTCGGTCCTGTGTCGTTCTTCAATGTCCCTGGTCAAGAGGAGAAGTCTTACACATCTCTTACTAACGAAGCCGAGGCTAACTTCATCATCCACATTTTCAAGATGTTGCAAGTTTGCTGGCCTAAGGAACCATGGCGGGAAAAGTTAGCAGTCATATCCCCTTACGCTGAGCAGGTTGGCGCTCCCTCTTAGGGGCTTCTACAGTGTACTTCTAGGTGCGCCTTATTCGGCAAAAGTTCAGGCAACTATACAACATGGTCGAAAGCAAGGTGTGTCCAGTGGAAGTGAACACAGTCGATGGCTTCCAGGGCAGGGAAAAGGATTGTGTTGTGGTATCAACGGTAAGCGCTTTCTCTGATGTTTCTCGTGGTGACACCTCGTTGAATTGCTGATAGGTGCGTGCCGATCCTGATGCAACTTCGGTCGGTTTCGTTCGAGATGTTAGACGAATGAATGTTAGTCTCACCAGAGGAAGGACGAACCTATGGGTCTGCGGTACGTCTACCGAGCTCGTATCACCTTCGAGGAGAGGTGGATGGGTGTGAAAGTTTGTGTGTCAGGGCATCAGCGGATGTTGTCAAATAATCCTCACTGGAAAAGCTTCATTGTTAAGCAGCAGAAGGCGAAGCGGCTCTTCAACGTAAAGTTTGCTCATAGTATCAATTTCGCTTCGGTTTTTCACACATGTCTCACCCTTAGCGGGGTCTCAGCGGGACGGAATCAAGTTGTTTTTCAGGTTACGCCAGGCAACGTCGATGGGTTCTTGCGGAACTGGATGTGGGCTTACTTCGTCCGTAACAAGAAGAACGGCAAGGTCATGAAGTACCGTCCGGAAGCAGCTGAGTTCCTAGCCGGTGATACTGGAAACTTGCGATCTTGCTTTTCCCTTCCACAACTGCTTACAGATGAACACCTCAAGAAGGGTGCTGCCGGGAGCGCAAGTGCTGCGGACATACTGCAGAAATCCGAGGGCGGTGCTTTCAAGCTGAGTGCGTCGGAAATCACTGCACTGTAGGGACTGGGGTACAATTGACGGTGCTGTGGTTATGGTTGGTGTAGGTACGAGAAGTCTGCGATTGCAGCTAAGGCTAAGGCATTGGAAAAGGATGTTGGCAAGGACATTGAAGAGGTTTGCCGCTGCTCCCAGGGGAAGCCACGAGACGCTTTGTGTTCAGGTTGCGTCCCTTGATAGTCCTCTGGAGGGAGTATCGCCAGCGGCGACCTCTCCTGCAATCGATGCTGATATGGTAGTGTGAATTCGTGACGTGTTCACTGGTCACGGGAAACTCTCTTTTCCTCTTGTTAGCTGGCGGAGGGATCTGATTCCAAGGCTCATTCGAAGTCTAATACTGTCCCTGACGATTAACGTTTCTATCAGGACTCGCTCTCTTGTGTTGAAGTTCGTCACAGACTGTATGGAATGTTCGCGGATAACACCAGCTTGTAAATTCCGAGCTGATGTGGTTTGAGTCGGAACTAGCGAAGTCTGCCTGCTGCTGCTCTGGCTGATAGTGGTCACGGGGGAGGGGATACTCGCCGTTATATAGCTAACGATTCGTGCGTGCGATCCAGTGTTCTTTATTATCGATGGACCACGGCCTACTGAGTGAGGATTCGACAACATCGAGTGCAGGGAGTGGGGCTGTCACTATTTTATCTAAGGAACAACGGGAAGGACTCGATTGCGCTATACTAGGATACCTTATGTGAGATTGGAATCGTGTAGTGCTATTATAAATCTGCAATCTCAGGGAGTATTACCCTAAAGTAGGGCTGCAATTCAGCATAGCGAGCGGTGCTGAGGATCCAGTCAAGTTCAGAGGCTTGCTCCAAGAAAAATGGATATGCGCGGCTAAGCTCACGAGCAGAATTCTGGATTTGGAAACTGCACTTGAGGAGATCCCAACAGCAAAGAGGGGTGATCAGTCTCTTTTCTCTTTTGAACACTGTCCGATCTGCCAGGTCGGTTCAACGCCCTATCTCAGACAGAGCTTAGGCTACCCTCCGGGCCTTGTTGCGGCAGAGTCCATCTGTCTGAGCGGCCCGTTGTGACGTGTATGGAAGCCCTCCCATCATGCCCAGCTGTGATTGCTATTGGCCGAGTGAGAGCTCTCTCGGTATATCGGCTATCGTCGTTAACATATGTTGTTTCAGTGTGATGGAGTGGTGTCAGTCTATGAAGCCAATGAGAAGCGAGTCCTTGACGAGCTCCGAGACCATTCGCATGGAGTGACTGATCTCTCTTTTAACTCTGATGGTGGGGTCTTCTCCATCATTTGCATTTGGCCGACCCGTCCGTTAGGTTCGCTCCTGGCTACGGCAGCTAAGGATGGAACAGTAAAGTTGTGGGACTGCGTTTCCTTCAGGGGCGCCTGGAGGTGTCTGAGGACCTTGGTTGTAGATCTAGAAGACCGCATGATTGTAAGACATCCTATATTGCCCACTGCTACCAGTTTGTATTGCAGATGTGTCGGTTCGCGCTCGATTCGTCCTTGCTAACGTTGTCATTAGGAGGTAGCCTCCAACTGTGGGATACTGATAGTGGTAGTAATAATTCCAAGCGCGAAAGTGCATCTTCATGTTGGTTGTTATGGATCTTCGGTGATACTAGACGGTTCGATTGTCTTTCGTTTTGTCAGGACAATGCTCGTCGGGGGTGGTCATGGACTTGCCGAGCAGACTGGGCTCGTTGGCTCTTGCTTTTGATGCCGGGGTAATGTGGGCTCCCTGCCATTAGCGTGTGAAGTCATCCATGAACTACTCTCCTTGATCAGTGGATTGCCGTTGGCGTCAACGGTTGCCTGACTGGGTTCTCAGCACTTGAGGATTCCGATCAGCGACGTAGCATCTCATTGCCACCAACAGTCGGCGAAGGTCAAACAGTCACACTGAATGCGGTGAGGTTACCGTCTCTCGATAACGGTTATTAAGCTTCAGTCAATGGTAGACTTCTTCTTGTCCAGGACATACTACGAATACAAATAGTGCAACGGCCAAGTGCGGGCTCCAGCGAACCCCCTCTTGCTTTCACGTGCTCAAAGGATGCATCAGTGAGATGCGCAATGGCTATTTGCTGCTCTATCATCCGCTGGAGGGTCGTGTGATGCAGATACGACTGTGGGACCTCAGTACGCTGAACGTGCTGGCGAGCTATGATGGCCATGCTGGGGCGTGCCGTTGTGTCACACCGCTGGGACACTGGCAAGTCTCCGAGGACGCGTGGCTGCAATTTCTCGGCCGCTGAGGTGGTTGTCTCTTCAGGCACTTCTATAGCATTGGCGAAGATTCGGACTGCATCGGACACATATGGAGTGTAGAATTCGCAGAGTCTGGAGGCCGTATATCGACTAGAACGACTTTCCGAGGTCAGCTGACGGAAAACGGTGAGCGATACGAAGCTTCTCATCTTGATGAGTGTAGCGAACGCGTGTCAAAACGTGCGCGGTTCAATCCTCTCGGCAATCTCTCTTGACCATCTTCATTATCACGCATTTCTTACGGTGCTGGAATCACCCTAGCCGCCCGTTTGCACAAGGGGGTTCGTTAGAAGATCTCGTTAGATTTCACATGCGATTTGATCTAACTCAGACCAGATCGCATCGGAAATCACTGAGACGGGTTCGCTTTTGGCAGGTACATCAGCGGGGCAAGAGCCGCATAGAGTCTCGACCAGCCTGAGGTATCTACCCCGCTGCGCAGTTCTGAGTCGAGATTCACTAATAGTAGCTGCGAGCGGCGGTACGCTCTTGACATGGAAATGTGTCGCTGTCAATCACGATCGCCGTGATACGAAGAAATAATGACCCCTAAGACGCATGTCCAATAAGAGGAGCAATCTCCCTAAGCCTTCTTCTCCTTGTTTGAGTCACTCTGGTGTTGTGATAAAACATTTCGGAATATCGGGGAGATAATTCCGTCTGTGACCAAGCCTGACGGATTTTACTTGTCGGTGATTATGGCCATCCTGAGGAGGTGTTCACTTGATACTCGACCGTATGCTGAGTACACTGGCCTAAATGGCCTCGCATTATGTAGCTTGTGAGATTGGGTCGCAGGGTGTTTCCCGCGCACTATCTACTGAGTTGTGAGAACTCACGATCGAACACTAGGCTTAGTACACTGCAAAGAGTTTGAAGCGACGTATTGATACATAGTACCCTCACGTGTATGTTACTGCTGAAAAAAATACGATACGGCCAGGTTTCGACAATGGAACGCACAAGCAGAATGCTCACTCCGTGCAACGAATCTTTCAAAACGAGTTGTAAATCGTTGGGCTCAAAGTGTCAGGGGTAGGTTGAAGCAGTCAGATCCTCACGATCCGGTGAATATGCTATTTCGGAGGTGTTGGTGGAGTTCATGAGAAATGCTGTCTGTTCAATCTCCTCCAAATGACGCTTTACTCTCATGTTAGTTCACTGAGGTTCGACATCTTCGCGCAATGTCTGCGGTGGACTCCAATGACCTACTGGCTGGAAGGAAGAAGAACTTCGCTTCGTCGCTGAGTGTTTCCTATGCGAATGTGAAGCCCTTGACGATGATTCGAGCCAAAGGACAATACATGTGAGAGACCGACTCTCTTTCTCTAGAGCGTTCTGTCATGGCTCAACACCGCCGTTAAACAGCTCGGCTCGTTCAAGTCACCCGACTGCTTCCAAGTCTCATCATTTCGTGATGTAGGTACGACGACAAAGGACAGAAATACCTCGACTGCAGAAACAATGTTCCGCATATTGGCCATTGTGACGACCGAGTTGTCGGGGCTGTTTCTGAGATGATTGCCACTATAAGTCCGTATCACCTGCTGCTTTCGATCAGAATACCTGATGTTTGTGGAGATTTTGTCGACGTCAGTTCTGAGATTAGGCACGAATACGAGATACTTGCATCCCGTGAGGCAAGAGCTTGCGCAGGAGCTCCTCAAAAAGTTTCCGGCACCACTCAATAAAGTGTTTTTGGTCAACTCGGGGAGCGAAGCCAATGACCTGGCGCTTAGACTGGCCAGAGCCTACACTAAGAACGCCCGAGTTGTAGCTGTTGAGAGGGGGTAAGATCGGGTTATTGTTCAATTTCGGTGCGGCAAAGATTAGCGTCCTACTTTCACTTCAATCTTGACACTGTCCGTCGACCTGATCGGTTGGCCCATTCAACGGTCCGACGCATCTCCTAGCTGTTGTTCGGAACTGTCGTCATACCGTACGTCAGGTACCACGGCACAACATCTCTAACTATCTCCGTCTCTGCATACAAACTCCGCAAGTTCAAGCAAGGTTCTTCAACGCCCCAGCCCGACTGGGTCTCGATAATTCCCTGTCCCTCGAAACCGAAAGCTGCTGCGGAAAGTCTCCTGATGCTGGAGCAAGAGGCGAGAAGAGATGACCAGGGGTTGTGTGCATTCATTTGTGAAAGTGGTATGAGCGTCGCTGGAGTTGTGCTGCCACCAGATGGTTACATGAGAGAAGCATATGAGACAGTCAGAAAGCACGGTGGGGTATGCATAGCCGACGAAGTCCAAGTGAGCTTATTCCTCGGCCCGGCTCGTATGGAGGCCAAAGCTTTAGGTTGGTCTTGGACGTATGGGCACTCATTTCTGGGGTTTCGAGCAGCAGGGAGTTGTTCCAGACATCGTCACCATTGGGAAGCCGCTCGGGAACGGATTCCCGGTGGCGGCAGTCGTCACGACTGCGAATATCTCCGCAGCATTTGACGATGAAGGTGTGGAGTACTTCAGTACTTTTGGAGGGAACACTGTGAGGTGGGAGATTGACATCGCATATCCTTGCGGACAGAGTCTTTCACGCAGTTGTGCTGCAGCTCTTGCCGTCCTGCGAGCTATTGATGAGGACAACCTTCAAGGCCATGCACGCTATGTTGGAGAAGTTCTCAAAGGAGAGCTTCGCCGGGCTGCTCGAGAGTGCCCACATATTGGTGAAGTTCGTGGCAGCGGTTTGTTCGTTGGAGTAGAAATTGTGGAGGGCTCATCCACTGAAAATCCAGCGCCCCTTTCCAGTCGTATCGCCTCTCAATTGGTTGCGAGGCTCCTGCTCGACCATTCTATGTTAACAAGTAGGTCGGCATATTGGTGCTCCTGATCTATCTAATATTCGTGCGTCATCCGGTTTGTTTCAGCCCTCGACGGGCCTGGAGATGGTGTACTCGTCATTAAGCCTCCGATGTGTTTCACGGAGGAGAATGCTCGGGAACTCGTCCATGCTGTAGTCGATGTAATCTAATTCCGAGCGTCTTCCGAGTGTTTCACCTTGAAGAGTCCAATTCAATGCCACTTCCAAATCATGGTAAACGCGTGTTTCCCCTCTGGCTCAGGTGTTGAGGAGGATAGACATGGAAGACGGCCGAAGCACATATCAACATATACCCACCTAACCGCATCAAAGCATCATATGGTTGTTGACACCATACGCTCGTCTGGTGTCGTCAGTTGCTCAATTGCTGATGATGTGTTGGTTTTTAGACGCAGAAGAGTGTATGTGTGGGAATATTATCCGTGACAAACAACAAGTCGACTTTTTTATTGACTTTCTAACAATTTGGTTATAGTGTCTTTGAGTCGACACCTCCGCCACCCAACGTTTTCCTGAGACTAATCTGTCGACTCGATTTTTCTTCCCGCCGAGTTATTGTGTTGACCATTTTAGTGCCTTAATGATGAACAACAGCCAACCGCCAAACCTCGTTGAGCGATGGTATGCCGAAGATTCAGGCAAGGTCACAATGGTCTATCGCGATTGGAATGATGGGTCACGCCGATTCGCAGAATACTCGGTATAGTGTTAGGAGCGTGTCATTTTTGCTGTTTCCTAAGGAAAATTTCCTATTCACATTCTGATAATCCATGTGAATACATATGACGAGATTCCCGGTGAGTATATCCTACGTATTGACCCCTCCCAGTGATTCACTGAAATTAAAACTCAAATAACAACCGGTGAATGATTACATAGTTGCGTAATAAGTCGTATATCAAATGATCACACTGGTACTCAAACGTCATAATCGCATATCACAACTTAACTGCGACCCGAGACATCAGAACCTCCTATCACGACTGCGACTCCTCGACCGGAGTCGGCCCGCATTACGTCCCCCACCTCCAGTGGCTGCCCCTGTGGGAGCAAGATTGGAAGGTATACTGTTGCTCATAGAGCCGACGCCATAAGCCCCCATCGCTGAGCCGTAAGACGGAGCCGCGCCGCATTTGCGGCAGACAACCCTCGAGGCGAAGTTCATGTCACCACAAGCCGGGCAGTCCCAATCACCTAAAGAACGAGTGGGGTACTACACCAGTTGCCGGAACAGTATATTTCACCTTCTCTCCTCCCCGATTTTCCTTTTCCTCCCGCACCCCACCAGCCGGGCCATCCACCATAAGCAGCTGCCATAGTAGCAGAAGGATCCGCTGATCCATCGGGACCTATATCATGCACCAACTATGCCTCCCCTCATGCAAACCCGAGGGGACACCTTCTTACCTGCAGATCCAGAGTAAGCTCCCATCATAGGCCAGTAGGCAGCAGCCACAGCGGCGAGGTACTCCGGACTGGACGGATCGGGAGGTGGAGCACCCTTAGCTGCATAGCAGCTACGGCAATACTCATTCCTCGCGAACTGATGATCTCCACACGTGTTGCAGAACCTACCATATCAAGACGTTAGTTTTTGGTGAACCATCGGATGGGCTCGAATAAAACATCCATTGATAGACCCGAAAACGGATTCCCAATTTCATACAGTGAGCAGGACTTACCAGTCGCCTTCTCTGACTTCCTGTTTACTTCCGCCACCTTTTTTGGGCCAACCTGAGAAACGGCAGTTATAGCAGAATTGCAAACTCCACTACTATAACATAGAGTACGTATTAAAGCACTACTGATGTATTCAAATTCACGACCTTTTAATTGAAGAACGCATTACTGCCACTAAGTCGGCACTGGTGAAGAACCAAACAAACTTGGGGTCGAACAGAGGGGAAACGACCCACCCATTTGGCCCGTGCTGGCCCCTCCCCAACCCCCGCTGTAACCGGAAAAGGTCTGTTCTCCATGATTCTCTCCCGCCTGCCCAGTACCAGCCCCATTGCCAGTTGCCGAGGTTGTTTCACGACCACCGCCCTTCCCACCATAATAACCGTCACCCCAGGCCCCTCCACCACCACCACCGTAGCCTACGTTTTCGGTATAAGGGTCGCTGTAGCCTGCTGGCATCGGCATCTGTTGTTGAGGCATGGAGTATGCATCAGGTCCTGATGACGGCATCCCTTGGCCAGGCGGGCCCATCATGGAAGGAGGGTCGGTCGGATAGTATGGTGGTTGCATTATTGGATCTGTCGAGGGCGAAACGAACTGAAATTCGTAAAATGCAAACCCACAAATCAGAGCAGAGAGAGTATAAAGCAACAACTCACCGTAGACAGCACGAATGGTCCTGAGGGCGGATAGTGCTGAGCTACGAAGGTCAAGAGCAATGCCAAGCGCTGCAGTTGAGGTGAATCCCGGTCCGGGACCCAGTTCCGCTACAGTTGATTGAGCAACAAAAACGCGCGCAATCGATAAAGCGCACGCCATGACAATCGATTTGCCGCGCTCTATTGCTCTATTGGCTTGGAATTGGCACTACAGAGTCAGCAGTGCGCTCCTCGAGCATGATGTCCACTGTACGGTAACTTGTCGCTCGTGCTCTCCTGCTGTGAGTGGATAGTTTTGTTGAAAATTTGCACCAGGAGGGTGTAAGGGGCGTCCATGTTTGTGAGCCCGTCGACGGTGTGTAACCAATCGCCCTGCCAACATGCAGTTGATCCTGCAGGGAGGCACCGCCTGGAGCTTTGCTTTCTCTCTTCTGATTCCATCAGTCTCCTCAGGAGTGCCGTTTCACTATATGACAATGATACGAACCAGACTCGGCAATCCCCAGACGATTTTAGTGGACCGAATCAAGGCATTTCAGAAGAGCGATAAGGCCAACAGGTATTTCGCGATGGTGACTCTTCAGGACGGCTCTGGTAGCTCATTCTGTTCCCTAATAATTCCGTTTGTTCCTCGTGGCTTTCGAACCGAGCCGCGACTAACCACTCTATCGTTTGTACGGCTTCTCAATCAGGCACTGTGCTGACTGTGGCGAGCTGGGTCCGACCTATATTTGCACTGATTTTGGAACGTTCGTGTGTACAGAATGTGCGGGGATTCAGTAATGCAGCTGCTGTGGTTGGCACTAATATCTCGTTATGCGGTTTGTCTTAGTCGGGAGTTGACCCATAAAGTGAAGGGAATCTCCGTCTCCAAATGGACCCAGCAAGAGGTCGAGCATCTGGAGGCTCACGGGAATACAGTAGCAGCTTATAATCCAACTTACTTCCATTACCAAATTGTCATTTCAGAGAGATCGCGAGATTTACATGGCAAATTATCGTCCGGGAATCGACTTGGCGGAACCCAACAACCAGGACCGACAACGTTTGAGAGAATTCATGAAGCTCAAATACGTTGACAAGAGGTGGTCGCGTTTTCATACTTCTGGTCGGCACAGTTCTTCGGTCATTCCTTTGTCTTTCAGGTGGGCAGCGTCTCAATCAGATCGTGCGGTACGGGCAACTGTGGTTGATCGCACCACCGGGTCCCGACAGGGCTCGGTCACTGCCTCCCATACTTCACAACCGGGTAGGAGCGATAGGCCTCGAGACTGGCACCTGCGTTATATGGGTTCATCAGATTTGATCGATACGACGACCGCGGTGGATAACGCGGAGCGGAGTTCCATGAAAACGAAGCATCACAAACCAAGGAAAAATTCAAGTAGTGGACGGTCGGATAGAGTCTCGAAACTCCATCGGTCTCAGCGCCTAAGGCAGAACCAGCAGCTACCAGTGGGGACTTGCTCGATGATGACTGGGGCTTCCAAAGTGCCGGAAGCAGTGCTGCCCAGCAGACAGGATCGTCGAAGCACGGTGCACCCGATGAGCTACTGGTAGTAGAGACGGGACATTTCTCGCGTTGTGGACAGTCGAAATAGGGATGGTTTGTTGTAGTATGTGCCTCAGTCGTTCTCGCCCGCTCCGGTAAAGCAAGTCCCACAATCTTCTCCAACTCCTGTGCCCAACGTGAGGAAGAGTTGGTAACGTCTTCCTACCTGGCTCTGTTTCTCCAGATGCAAACGACAAGCACGATGCCTGTTATGCAACAGCCTAGCCCAGTGACTCAGGTGTATCAGGTGAGGGAGCTGCGATCGGGCGATGTCCTCATCCTTCATACCTTAGCCACAGACAGTTCCGATCACTTCGAGTGTGTCCCCCAGCTCTATGATGTCTGCGGACTATTCGCAGGCTGCCACTACGACTTTCGATGGAGATTTGGGCGCTTCTATTCGTATGCAATGTACGTCTTTACTCAACTCTCTCCGACAACTGCATACGGTGGATCCTGCGAAGTCTGAGACGGCGAAGCGGTTCATCGAGGACTCACTGCGGGGACTAGGAATAGAGTGGATGTCTGGGGTAAGTCAGCCTTACACCGATCAGGTCACTTCCTTTTCTTTAGTCTTACAGCAGCGCTCCGTTGCCAACAGCTTCTACGGCATCGGTATATGGTGCGGTTGGATATCCTGTGTCAAGCAATCCATCTGTTGCATCAACGGGTATGCATTGTGCATCTTGACTCCTGCTCATCTTACATGTGTAGGTCATATAAGATCGAACTCCAACCCGTTCGATGCAATGGAGTCTACCTCACGGGCTATGCCACCACAGGTGCCGTCTCTGTCGGGAATTGAAGCTCGCGGTGACGATTGGATCTTCAGGTGTCGGTGCCCAGAACTGGCTCGATCGACCGCAAGGACAACAACCCGTTTGGAGAGATCGCCGCCTGGCCTCAGAGTTCTTTGCGCGGGAAATCGGCAGGGGCGACTGTTGGAATTGACGGCATCACTCCCAGGATGAATGTACCACCTTCAGCGCAGCAGCCTATTTCTCCTGGTGGTATGAGCAACTTGCTCGGAGGACTGAGCCCTGCTAGCACCTTCCAGCCTTCGTATTCGAATGGTCTCCCGGTTAATTCCCAACAGACGAGAGAGGAACCATTCGTCTGGCAATGACGAGCCAGCGATCATGCGACTTTTTATAATGCTTGCCATACGACAATTGATGCGCGTCTCTCATAGCATATGTAGTATCAACATTCGCAAAATACATTTCCCATTCCTTCGATGTTACGTTTAGTTCTCGATATTCCCATAGCTTGTCACTATTTTTGCTGACTAACGCAACTGAAGAGAGAGTGTCTGTGAAGTCGTATTCTAGTTGTATATTTGTTTCCTCCAATATGCCGCAGAACGAGCATATTGAGGAGCATCGTAAGCGGTTCGGCCGCAGATTAGATTACGAAGAGCGGAAGCGGAAGAAGGGTGAGGCACGCGTCTATCATCAGGCGGTAGTCTAGTCTCGACTGCTTCCTGTTTGCATAGTCGCGCTCAGCTCACGAGAGGTCCCCTGATCAGATGCTCGTGCCGTCCACAAACAGTCGAAGACTGCGCAGAAGCTTAGAGGTATCAAGGCCAAGCTTTTCCACAAGAAGAGGTGATTCTCTTCGTGACCACGGTGGTGCTCATTCGGATAATAATTACAGGTATGCCGAGAAGGCGACTATGCGTAAGACCATCAAGAAGCACCAGGAGAAGGAAGGAAAGGAGAAGGCACCCGAGGACAGCGTTCCTCAGGGAGCCGTTCCTGGTTACTTGTTGGATAGGGAAGGTGAGAAAGGCATCAATATCGGTCGAGACGATATTTCTCTATCAGGCGTGAATAGAACCAAAGTTCTGTCCAATATGGTGAAGCAAAAGAGAGCGGAGAAAGCGGGCAAGTGGCAGGTTCCTGTGCCTAAAGTCAAGGCCATGACAGAGGATGAGATGTAGGAGTCTTTCGTTAACCAATAAGCTCTGTTGGCTTGAAAAGTTCCATCGCTCGACGACCGCAGACACAGTTTCACTGAAGTTGGTTTCTGTCAGGTTCAAGATCCTGCGATCTGGTAAGAGAAAGAAGAAGGCGTGGAAGCGCGTCGTAAGTTTACGGGCATCAGTGTCAGCTCGCTGGGCGGACTTATCGCTGGATTACACCGCCTTCAACTGTTAGGTCAACAAGATCTGTTTTGTTGGTGAAGACTTCACTCGTAAGCCCCCGAAGTATGAGCGTTTCATTCGGCCATCCAGTCTGCGTTTCAAGAAGGCGCATGTTACCCATCCAGAGTTGAAAACAACCTTCTGCTTGGTGAGTATACTTGCTGTTACTTATATGGCTCCCACGGTTTGCGCCATTGGAGTACTCTGTCTCATCCTCATCCTCGCAGGATATCGTGTCTGTGAAGAAGAATCCTCAGTCGGAGCTATATTCGTCCCTCGGTGTCATCACCAAGGGTACGATCATTGAAGTGAACGTCAGTGATCTCGGACTTGTCACGCAAACTGGCAAGGTTGTTTGGGCCAAGTAATATATAATCACAATAAGACTCTTCTATCGGCCATCCCTTGAGAGAGTCCGGCACTACCTTTGTTTCCCAGGTACGCACAAGTAACCAACAATCCGGAGTTGGACGGCTGCATCAATGCAGTACTCCTGGTGTAAACTATCACTCTGCTCTGTCAAGATGCGTTACGTTATAATCCTACGTTACTAAACCGCCGGTTTCCCCAGGGGGAGTTCTTGTGTCAGTAGAGTGTGGTTAACTCGGGACTAGGGCGAAATAAACCCAGGATATGGTTGATTGATGTGGGGTGTCCCTATACATGTCCACATCTCGTTCTAGTTGGGAAAGACATTTTGATGTTTGCTTTGATTCTTCAGTGTACCTTTCTAATTTGTAATATTTCTGTTATGATAGCTTGCTCTTATAGGGCTGATGCCGTATTATTATTATTATACATGTCCACATTAATGGTGTTATGAACATTGCATGCCTGGGGGCTTTTACAACTCACACTTCATGCGCTTCACATACTACCATTTCCGAGCAGTTAGAGCAATCGAAATGTGTAGATCACAAAACGTGTGTACATGAATATGTTGGGCGTAACGTCTGTCTCTGCAACTCTTTAGAAAACACAATATTCGCGTCAAAAACGACAGAATATTTGATCGTGGCTAAAATGCGGGGGTTAGCGGACTAACTGAATAACTCGTGCTACTATCTAAGTTTCGTGCTTTCTTCCACCAGACGTTCCGTTTACACAAGAATAATATTTATCGAGAAATTATTTTTTGCGCACATCATGGACATGTAGTCACAATCATCTCCCTGCGACGACTGCAAGAAGGACAGACTCAATTTGCTGCAAAAAAACAATAAGAATGGAACCCGGACTGACTCGCAAAACATGCAAATTCTCAGTACTTCTTCCAATTTTGATATTCGCAACCCAGCCCGTGCGGTGAGGTCGTTTTCCTCGTCGATGCGCTCTTCAACTTCCTGGATCTCCCTGAGCAGCCAGGTGAAACTTGGGCCGAAGAGAATCGACGTGAAAAACGTGGGAGGGAATACCTCAGAATGGGATTAATAACATTCTGTGTTCTTTTCTGTTCTCCGTGGAGTGCTGCTCGAGCCTCTTTGAATTCTTCTTTCGCAGCTTCGAGGTCTCTGTCCATCAGAGCTATATCCTGGTGGATCAGCTCCATTGATTTCCCGAGTGGTGCGCATCTGGGGTACTTCAGATTGCCGATAGTTAGCTCGATTACAAGTTACGCGCCACAGATCTTCTGTATGAGATCCTGCAATAGAGGGAGTTTGTCGACGCTGCTGCTCTGCGGTCGTTCATCCCATTGTTTGTTCGCTACACCCGTTACAGCCATGGGTACTGAAGACGGAATATTAACGCAACCGCGCCTCGATAAATATGGTCTCCAACAACGTACGCTCACCTTCGGCTTGAACCTCGGTGCGCCTCCTACGCAGCTTGCCCATACGAATGTTACTCGTGCCTTCTGCGTCATGCAACTCTGAAAGTCCCATTGCACTCGAACAATGTTATGGTCGGGTATTCGTCGGCGAATTCAAGGCAGATATGATTCGTAGACTACCCGAATCATCAACGCCTGCCTTTTGGTCTTTTTGAATCTCTAAAATATCGCGAACTAACTTTCCATGATCCTCGGGACGACCCTCCAGGTTATTGTCGATATGACCAGTGGACGATGGGCGTACGCTTACGTCAAATTGAATCTGATTAAGCCTATCACATGTTTCTGAGAACGAGGATGGGATCACTTCGTCGTCGTCATCAGTCACTCGTCATCGTCGTCGTTTCCAGTCGTCGTCTGCATCGACCTCGCCATCCCTGATCACGGTTGGTGGTGGGAGCTTGGCGCCCTCTGGCTCTGCCGTGACCTAACGGGCAGAGCAAGTGGCACCAATGGATGTTGGGAGCGGCGAAAATGCTTGGCGTAGTAATAATGACGAAGATGGCTGAAGACTGAGGATATGAGTCCTTGATTCCGCGCAATGGCACATAAGACTTTGGTGCATACCTCCCGCTCAGGCGCAGACGTCTTGATCTGAGGTGGACGCCGCGACGCGGTCCTGGGGCGCTCTTGTATGGTTGTCATCATAGTTTCCAAACGAAGTGCCTGATAATAGACAGACGGATTGCTGCCTCAAAATTGCTGACAAATAATCCCAGTGACTAGTTTCCTAGATCAGCCACATCGGACCTCCTCGTTCTCGGACACCGCGAGGTTTGAGTCGCTCTGATCAGTAAGTTTTTCGTGGAATGCCTGCTGAGAACATCGGAGTATAACGAACCGCCCAGACGAAAAGGTTTAGTCAAAGACCAAAACGCTCCACGATGGAGAACATCGGAGTATAACGAACCGCCCAGACGAAAAGGTTTAGTCAAAGACCAAAACGCTCCACGATGGGTTCGAACCACCGACCTTGTGGTTAACAGCCACACGCTCTGCCTACTGAGCTAGCGGAGCCGATACACATAAAACCAAGTCGAAGGTAGATTTTGGTAAAGCGAGCAAGTCACCTCTTGTTTGCTCTTTTCTCTTCTGTCTGTACCTCTTCTTAACTCGGCCTGCTCTTCTCGAACTCGATCGGATCGTTGTCTAGCCTCGATTGCTTCGCGTTCAGCCTATGCAGTGATTTGTGATCATATTAGTTGAAAGTGCATACGCAGTACTGTACCGCGTATCGTATCGCCGGTTAAGAAGGTTAAGAGTCTTAGAGCTGACGCGTTCTACCTCTGCCCTGTGTCTCGCTTCCTCCTGCTCTTGCTTAAGCTTCTCTGTTTCTTGCTCAACCCGGCGCCTCATAGCCGCTTCTTCCTCTCGACGCTCTTTGATCGCGGCTTCGCGCTGCTCAGACTCTTCATTATCTGTCTCGCGCTCTTATCCGAACGGCGAGCACACGTTGCATCACGTTGAGCGTCTGGTTCAGTAACATTTTCCATGTCAGTCCTGTCTTTCACCATGCCTGATTTTCTCTCTACCTGCCATGAACCAGAATAGAGGCGTTATCGCCAGCAATCATGTTAACAGAGCCTCTCGGCATCGCTTGAGTGGCCTTTTCATTCGCAGGTGCGTGATCTCAAGCGATGATCAGCGCGAACGCCTCATCACGCCTATGTGGATCAGGCGAGTTTACGTATACATTGCAATAACGAATGAAAAGAGACATCCGAACAAGGCCGGAGTGTTTGGCAGAAATTTCTCCTCACCTCAATATCCCCTTGCAGTACGACACTCGAACGGGCGCCAGATTTCGCGGAGAGAGTAAGGATGCCACCAGCTTTCACCCTGAAGCAAAAGGTCTCATTAGCGGGGTAGAGCCTCCCCTAGGTTTGAAGTACCAACCCCGGGACCAACCAACTCACTTGTCGACAGCCATGCTGCTCCTGGAAGCAGCCTTAGTAGCGGCTTCATGAACTCGAACGAGGAAACCCGTTAGTCCTCTCTGGCTCAGAGCCCGTTACTGAAAGTCTAGTTGGAGAGGACGGCAATAAGCCTCGGGTTCTCCGTAGATCGATGAAAGTAACGGAATTGGAGGCTCACCTATTTTCGACGGGTTAACGTCAATCGCCTCGGCACTGAGATCAAGTGCGTGAGCCACACAGGAGATCCACTTCGACAAGAACTCTACTTTTTGCTGTTTAGTCTGGTGTATCGAAGACAACGAGTACAACTAGTGTTTGAGGACAGTCACTACCGTTATTGTCTTGTGATCGAGCTCATCCTCGTTGAACAAACCTTGACCGAAGCCAGTGACATTCTGCACTTCGATGAAGATATCATGGAGAAAACGAAAGGGAGGCTTCGCAAGATACCTAACAGACTGTTACTAACAGTGACTTCGGGAATCCAATGCACTGATTGGCGTTCATGATTGAATGACGCTCTCACTTATCAGCCATCTTCGGCCTCTTTATCAGAGTTCCGAGGGAATGCTGAGTGTTCACTATCCATTGCGGAGTGGCTTGGTCAGACATCACAGAATCGATGAAAGGAAGAGACACAGTTCCGAACTACAAGTGCGGATGATCGCATCATCAGACAGATGAGCTTTCTATGTAGCGCCCTGCTTCGAACTCTCGCGTGAAAGTCTCAATGGCGATCTGGCATGGTCTGCAATTTGAAAACTCAAGCGTGCATGCTCGGATCAGTTACACCATATAAGCAGCTTAGTCAACACAGAAATCATCCAATCTCGGACTGGCATCCAGAAACGTCACCAGAAACATGAAGCATCCAACTCCCCTTGCTAATTCTGAATTGTATGGCTCGGATCCACCACTCCAATTTCCCGTAATAATGAAGTCGCATAACTTCCGCGCGGTAGAAAGAACTGAACCATAACAACATCAGCAGAGAGTTTCATCCGGCCCGAGCTTACTTCGAGAATAAGGTTTGACTTCCCCGTCGAACCCTTCCCTACTTCCTCTTTGGCAGACATCGCCAGAGGTCTGACCACCAGAGGCCTCGCAATAGATACGTTCCGCACACGGCATGCGAGGATCTCCGTCAGGTCATGTTCCAATCCTTCACGTGCTCGCAACGGAGCCTCCCCTCGCTCTATCGAATCAGCCACTAGATCGGTGTACCTTATACAGTTCCAAATATCTGATGATTCCAGGTCCCTCTTACAACTGCTCCACATCAACTCCTGCGTCCTTTATAGGGCAGATTCCCTCGCGCTGCAGGCCCAGCTGCGGTAAGCGTACATCGCCGAGGCCGTATCTGGACAGCCACTGGCTATTCTGGATAGCCCTGAAACTATTCACCCACTGGTTAGCTTCCTCGTCAGATTCAACGCGCTTGAGCTCCTCGAAGTTTTCACCCGCTCCGATAGCCACAAGATCTCCAACTCGAACCCGGAGGCCGCCATCTCGTATGCGCCTGCGACGCACAAGAATACGTCCAACCCGAGGCTCGTCAAACATGCACATTTGGACCGAATTTCGCGTGGGATTTGTAAGAGTCTAGTTTATCGAGAGACGAGCTCTGTCCTCAGTGATTACCTGCTCGCAAGACGGTTCCACAGACAGGCGGAATATGCTGTTGGGAACAAATGCAGCATCGCCTTGGGAAGGTTGAGATGCTTGATAGCCTCACGGTATTGAGGCTCCCCAGCATTGTCCCCAACATGCTCGAGCACCCGTTCCCATCTAAAAGTGTGGAGACATACCGAAATCTCGCGCAGTTATCGGTCTCACAGTGTGAGCTTCTCTCGCATAGCACTGGGTAGGGTCCTTATTCGCTGAAGAGCCTTGCTAGCACGTCCATCGCACAGCCATTCCTCGTATATCTACAAAGTGATGTCACCTTCGATCACTGACATTTGCCCACCCCATGAATGGAGCCCTTGTCCACATCGGAGGGCCAAGCCCACAATTGCAATGCCCGTTTGATGTCGCCCGATAGCAAGGACCCGCCAACAAGGACCTGATTCAGCTCCCGAACTCTTCAGAGGCAACAAGTCCGCTACTGGCAGAGAAACTCCGTTGAGTTCGAAGCCGAATCTCTGCTTGCCAAAGTAGTTGATGAATCCAACAGTTTGTAAAGATTGCAGCTTCTTCGACGCCCCACTACAGACACCTCTGATCCGGAGCCCGAACCAGTTCCTGACAGCGGAGGTCTCCGCTAGAGGGCACTCCACCTTACCCCATCAGCATGCCAGATCTCAGTTTCCGGCCTGTACTGTCGACCTGGAAACATTCGGCACGTACTGATCCGGTTCCCGCCAAGTCCTCGTTGAGTTGCTCTATAGCAGCCCTAATCTGCGCCTCACTGTGTGTCGCTGGTACGCTGATGAACCTGTACAGAGTCCACAGATGACACACACATGCATGATCGAGTGACTGCACTAACTGATGGGTTATTCCACGTTTGTCTTTCAACCCTGCGTAATGAACTGAGTCCCTCGGCAGACGTAATCGCCGCTCCAGGCGCAGTAGGAAGCTCTGCAGCTCGACGTTCTGCTTCTCTAACACGAACCTCCACCGAGGCGCTTTCGATAGACTCAACTGGGTGTGCTCCCGGGTCCATCTAACTTCAACTGGAAAGGACCTCTGAGGGACGGTGATAGCTTCCTGGACAACTACCTAGAAACCTACCGATTCACTGCCACTCAACGCCTCGAATTCCAAGTCTCGTAGAATATTCTTCGCTACTTCAACGAAATCTTGCAAGACTTCGTTTGTAGATTTACCAGCACTTTTCCGGAATTCAACCGTTAACGTGTCAGGGGAATATCTGAGAGCCCAACAATCCAACGTCGAGCTCGTTCGGGGGTATACCCAGCGACAAAGAACATGATCAGCTGCTGCATATCGTCATCCCTCATGTACGACCTCACGTGGGAGTTCAACACCACGTTCACGACCAGTCCGACCTCGACATTATCCCTAGTGAATTTAGTGACGATAAAAACAGGTACCTACGGGAAGTTCATTCCTTCGCTGAACTAGCTAGGTCTGAGATAGTAGATCGGGTGGTAAACTCACCTTGCATGATAGAGTCTTCTTCAATATGGCTCCCTTAAGTTGAACCAGGTCACTGTGATCGAGGCTCTTTTTAGGCAGCGAGCACACAGGTGTGTAACCACCCTTAGCCGCCTGAACAGTCCGTGACCCTCCCGCCCATGGAAGCTCCAGAATTGCCCTCACGCGTTGTCTCTTGATAAGGTGTTCTATCTTTTCCACCGCGTCCGTGCCAATCTTCACACGGATGAATTCAGTCGCCTCTCGAGGATTCATGTCATAACTGATTGGTGAAAAGAGGTGCCAAGAGTAGGCGGTTTCCCCAATCAAAACCCAGCGGCCCGTCTTTGGAGACACTTACCCCCGCCGGAAATACGAGGCTAGGTCTTGGCCGCCACCGAGTGTACCACTGAGTAGTTCCATGGGAACTTCCTCGTCAAAGTCGTGTAATCTGCGGGGTGCACCAAGACCGGGCACAGTCGAGATCTGATTGGAGTACTCATGCATTTTTTGGAAGGCCATAGCCCTTTCCACTGCAGCCCAGCTTTTCAACAGCGGCTCATTGGACATTCGGGCAACCTTTCCATCTATACCCACCTCCCGCACTTGAAAATCTCGTACCTATTCAGAACTGTAGCGCACAGCCTGCGAGGAGTCCTCGAGAAACACATGAGTTTTGAGTGCGCCTCCAATACGCTCCTGGCCGATGAACTCAGTCAATCCGATACTCTCTGGCGAAGGGTGTTTCGGGCTAGACCGATGCAGACTAGTCCCTGCATCATGCTTCGTCACCACTCCGCGTAACTGATTCAGTGTTATGTGCGAGTCGCGGGACATCCCTTTGATCGAGCACCGAGGAGCTGGCCATTTGAACATAAACCTACACCGCATTGTAATGGGTGCAACTATCGCCCTGATCCCCTGACTGAACTCAATGCCTCTGATGACGAGTCGGTCGTTCCTGAGCTCATGATGCACCAACTTATAGACTGAGCTCATGCATGCATGCCTACTGAGTCCTACATGAAGGATCACATAGGCGACCTTATCAAAAACAGGATGGCAAACATACCTCACTGCCGAGGCTGAGCAGGCACGGGTCAGTGACCGAGTGAGGCGGTCCGACTGTCAACTCCGAAATCGTATTACTACGCGTCGGGTTGGAACACGGCGTTTTTCTGATACTTCCTACCACAATTCTTACGTAACCTATGGTGTCCGAGGCAGTAGAGATTCAACACTCTTTCACAATGTTCAATACGAAAAGCTCCATGTCAGGGTTGCCAAATATCGCCTAGAACTGGCGGCTCGTGGACGACTTGCTGATTTTGCGCCGATGGAAAACCCAAAATGCACAACAATAATCGCTTCGCTCCGCATATTCGTCGGCGCGCATGTTCTGGCGTGCAGATTGTCAAACAACCGTCTTGAAGTGTGCAACGCCTGCAGCGATGTCATTACTGCGTCGTGCTGCATGCCCGCAAAGGGTCGTACCCAAACGTGTGTGCGAGGCTGTTAAGAATCCCCTGATCGGAGGGCCAAATCAGAAGGCTCGTGGTGCTATAACCAGTGGGTTCGCCGGTGGAGGCGCTAAGAGATTGTGAGTTCACCTCTGACTCTCACCCGGGATTTATGTTCTTCGTGTGTTTCAGGGGAGGCAAAGGCTATGGTATTATGGCTGATTGGTGTGACCACGGCTACAGTTTCACCAAGGGACAGGCGATCACAGGTAGAGGAGTGCATAGTCGCGCTGCTCTCCGTCAACGCTTTAGGCATGCCCCATTGGCCCCTGTGGTGTGGTGGCGGCGTTCCTGACAAGTTCATCAAGATAGACCCAGATGTACATTTCAACCTACAGGTTTGTCTCGACGCACCGTCCATTTTTTGAGTCGCTACTGTCAGGGTTATCGTGAGCGCATCGGATGGTATGGATTTTTCACTGCATTCCTGCAAGCCAACTACCACGCCTTTGTCTACTTTGTGAGGTTCATTCCTATCAACATTGCTATTTTCTGGATCTATGTTAATGTGAGTACTCCTTGTGGGTCGTGAAGAATTGGTCCGATCTCCCATAGGAACGCCAAAGAGAACCGCAGGAGAATGTCATGGATCACGAAGAGTTCTTCAGGGACTTCGACTCTATCTACCTCGGACAAGTGTAAGTTCCGTTCCTCTCTGCTTGACCTCACCTGCGACCATCCATTCCAGGTTCGACCATCATCGATTCGCTGAGTGGCTAGCTCGTCGCCGTGCCTTGAAGTGGGGTTATGCAGATCAGATCCATATTCCTCCTGTGCACTAATGTCCGACATGGTCCTTCTGTGAGCATATCATCCGTATGAGGAGAAGAAGGTCGTTAGTATTTATTTTGATAAGCACAGGCAGGGGCTATGACGCCCCGGCCCGAACCATTTGAGGGGCATCTGTGGAAGATGCACGGCAGCTTGATTGTCTTAGTACTATCCTGAGTGCTGTGTTAACAGTGGAACGCCAAATTGGCTCGCAGAGATTTCGCTGGTGTTTCTTGTCAACTGTTTGTCGGAATCTCGGCGGTTTTGTTTTTCTCAGTTTTCGCCATGGATGAGGCTCTGAAAGTAGCATGTAACCGTCCTGATCCCGGGACGTGGGCTTCACCTCGTACATCGCGACCGTCCTCGGCCGAGGTTTGTCAGCTGGTGGAAGAGTTGACCCTAGAAGACTATACTCTCGAGCTCTCCGGTCTCGAGCCCTCGACGACCGCTACCTCCTATATCGACACGGATATGTTCTCAGGAGGGGCATGCCACCCAGAGGTTGGGAGTAAATTTTACTCTGAGCAAATTCTGGACGCTCCGGGGTCTCTGCGCACTCCCTTGTCGGAGAAGGATAGGCGTCACGTTGTGGACGAGATGATACCAACGGCGACATATAAGATGCTGAAGAAAATTTCCCCAGAAGTCCTAGCAACCCCTGGTCCTTCGGGCGACGCTCTGCGAATGCAGCTTTTGAGAGGGGCATGCATTGTATTTTTTTCAGCTGGGTATCCTGGGAAACGTTTTGTTTACGAAACTGCTGAGCGCCTCGGCGTTAAAGCTGTTATTATTGACTCGCCTGGATCCTGGGCGGAAGCTCTTCTCGAAGAAGGTGTCATTGCCAAGTTTATCCCTATTGACATGACGCAAGACTCTAAGTCAGTTTTTGATCAAGCTTACAAAGCCATTCTCGAACTGAAAGATGACCCTCTGGTTTGTGGTGCAGATGGCATTTGTACGATGGTGGAGTTGTCTGTCCCGGTGGTCGCGCGTCTGGCTGAATCACTCGGGATGCGTGGGCCGAGTCCAGCAGCGGTGGATACGGTGCGGGATAAGTACCGAATGCGGGAGTCTCTTCATAAGGCCGGCCTTGCTGGGGTGAAGGTAAGACAAGCAGTGTCTCAGTCAACTCCTTTGTGACATGTCTTCCGGTTTAACCCGGACCAGTAAACTTAGTTATTTACTTGTGCTTCAACTTCAGCATTTCCTCATCCACTCTGTTGAAGATCTTGACCGTGCTGCAGCTCATGTAGGATTTCCTGCTGTGGTGAAGCCTGTCTCCGGCGCAGCATCTCTCGGCGTGGAAAAGGTACGCTCGGGTCAAGTGTCTCCTATGCGATTGACGAATGCATGCTGACAAAGGACTGGTGTTCGTTGTGAATGAGGTGCCACACCCTTTTCTGCATAGGTGACTTCACGGGAAGATCTACGTCGAGTTTACGGCGACGTACAGGATCTGCTCTCGAAGCTTGTCATCAACTCCGGCGCTTTAGAGCGTGACAGTGTACCTGTCGGGTCTGCGGCGATCTCGGTCAAAGCTGACAAATGCATGAATACATCGGTGGTCCTAGAGGAGTATTTGGACGGTCAAGAAGTTGATATTGATGTTGTTTTATCTTCTGGTCTCGGTTGCACTTACTGCGGTATACACGATAATGGTCCAACCAAGGAACCCTACTTTGCTGAGACCTGGGGCGTACTGCCCAGCGCCCTCCCGAGTCAGAGTGTCGCCGAACTCAAAGAACTGGCATTAAAATCCTTAGAAGCGACTGGATTTACTGAAGGAGTTTTTCATGTCGAAGGGAAGTACACTAGCCGGGGGCCACGGTTGATCGAGATAAACCCCAGGATGGGCGGAGGTCCTGTGTGGATAGTGCACAAGTTGGCATTCAAGGTTGACCTGGCGGTACAGGCTATGCTCTTGTCGGTTGGAATCCCAGCGATTCCTATACATGACCCTGACTGTCCGAATGGGGCGGTGGTCTGGCTCTCCGTGAACGCCCCGAAGAGTGGTCACATTAATAATTTTGGTTTTATCAAGCAATGGCTCGAGTGGCCTCATGCGGATGTCAAGATTGCTCGCCCAATGGTCGCAGAAGGAGAGAAGATTGTGGGACCAGAGGATGGCCAGCCAAGCTGGCTTGTTGATATTATCTTCGTTGCTCCTAATCCGGAGGAGGCTACTCGCCTTGCTAATATGCTCTATCACGAGGTGGAAGAAGAGTGTGTCAAACACTACACATGAGTTTCGCCGCACTCACAATCAGTTCTGGAAGCCGTTCGCATGGTATTTTGAACGCTTGCGTTATATCGTTTATAGTGTGGAATGTGGCACTCGTCTGTCAAATTCGAAACGTCGAATACATCGCAGACACGTCACCGTCTCTGACAGTCTGTCAGAGTGGAACTAGGGGGTTCGGAGGCCACCGCTGTGATTCACATCGGCATCATGTGATAACAGACCATTCCGCTGTTACACACCTCTCGTTTCCTCTGATATTGTAGAATTGACCGAAACAGACCTGGACATCTCCTTTCGGACGCGAGAGCCCAATCCGTCAATTACTGCGCAGCACGATAGGTCTCAATCAGGCGATCAATTATCGGGAATCGATTGTCTCAATAACTCTTATACCATACCTCAAATTCAGGCGTCCCAGAGTTCCCACAACCCCGAGTAATCATCCCGAACTTGAACCATGTTTCTGTCCGAGTTGGAACAATAGGCGAAGTGGTTCATAACGAGTATGCGCTCGAGCGCTCTTTGGACAATTGATATCACCAACCATACTTTCATTGTTATCTCAATAAAGGTCAGGACAAAGCCTCCGGTAGGATAGGGTGATTCTGGAATATTCAAGCACATCATCTTCCAGCGTTGGCGCTCGATGATCCGAAAACGACAGAGTACAACAAACTCAACGCAAACGAACTTCACGGGGTTCCAACATCACATCTCTCATGACAATTCATAGCCTCTCAACTGTCTACGCAGATTGGAGCGAATTACGGAAGTCTTCGATTGAAGTAACAACCTGAACCACGAGTGGGACCACAGTTGCGGCGAGTAACAAGACGCCAAACCGGTCATTTGAAGAGCAGGCTCGAAAATAGAATGCATCGCTTAGGATCTTATATTCGGAGTCTAACCTGGAGACGGGTCGGTGGCATCTGCTTCTCCAACTCCTCAACGATCTTCTCCATCTTCGATGTTGCAAGACCTTGACTCCCTTCATCAGCGCAAGCCTTGTAAACTATGACGTGCTCTAGGGAAAGTGCCTACGAGGATAGATTAACCTGCCTAAGGAACACTGGCGAACGCGAGTGTAAGCGACGCTACTGAACCGTTACTTCTTCCAAACTGTCCAACAAGTCACGTGTAGACGGGTAGCTCTCCCCAGCCTGCTCGAGGTAGCCACACACTATCACCGAGCCGGCTCTCACTGCACTGATTCGCTTTTGCAACGAGTTGCCACATATACAGCCGCTTGCATGAACAACTGAGGGGAACAAGGGGAACCTAGATCCAATCTCACCACAACAACGAGCTCCTCACCACTGCTTCCATACGGGGCTGTCTCATCTACCATATCGGCTAATTTGCTAGAGTCTAGGTTTGATACGACCAGACATGCCGTTGGCCTGACGAACAGTATGCCCACTTGAGACCAGGCATCCCTCTCACCGTAGGAAGTTCTTGACAATAGTCTCCGCGAGGACCACAGATTCGATCTCCCCCTTAGTGATGGGGTTGCCGTCAGAGATGTCAACATGTTTAACACGGACACCAGCTTCTTTCAAATATTCCTCGAATTCTACCAGAGCGGCCCTAGCCTCAGCTTGCGCTTGCTCATACGCCTCCTCATTGAATTCGCCTTCCATAGCCTGACAATCAGTCCCATGGAAATTCTTCCTAATAGGCCCATTTATCGTTTGAGTTTTAGTTGGAGGTTACAGATACGAGACACTTCCATGAACCCACCTTCTCGGCCCTGGTCCTGATCAACTCAGGCGGTCCCTCCAAGATGGCTACTCCCTTCGGAAGACCTACCACCTTTCCGAGAATCATCGAGGCGCTCGCACCGTTTCCACTGAAAGAATAAGAAGATCCTCGACCGCTTTGCACGGCACTGGACAATCCTAGGTAATGCGATGGCACTAAGCGATGGGATACACACTAGCAGTTCCATGGCAGACCCAGGACCTACGGATAGCCATCAAATATAGCCATACCGCTTGAATGTGACGTGACGAAGCTGGACATCAACTGGGCCTTGACCTCATCGGAAGCCTTCTCAATCCCCGGACCCTCAGGGTCCAGTGCCTCTCGGATTTCTGGTGACACTGCAGGACCATCACCACGTCAGCTGATATTCATTCCGAGTTCTCTCACCGGCGTCTAGATTTTCCGACATATTCTCGGCAACCTTCTGTAGATTGGCAACGAAGGAACCCTCGATCCTATCCGAAAGCGCTTCAGCAACGCTACTCTTCCCAACGTAGGGCAGGCCCAGGATCACGAAGCTCTCAGGGAGACCATTGGAAGCAACCTGTGAAGACACGAACAGTATCCTCTTCATGGCTGTGCCCGCTGGACCTCCAAGAGATTACCATGGTCGCCATCTGCTCTACAGTACCGCTAACCACCGCAACATTTTCTCTCGCAGTGTCTCGCAAACTACGAATAAGCCTAGCAAAGGGGACGTTCAAGCCACCTCAGTTCCGCTTGCGGTTATACCTTCCATCGCAACTAGTCGGGCCAACGATGATTATTTGATCCACGACGAAATACTGCTTCAACCCAGTCACTGTTCTCATAAGGTTGTCTTTCTGACATGTCAACCACGTTGTCCTCTCATGCGTGGGTCGAGCCACGACCTGCGAAAGACACACTCTGGAGCAGCCTACTTCCTGGGTTCCTACGACAGTGCAGATGAGCTGAGCGACCATCTCGACGGGCAAATCCTGATCAGCCTCCGTAAGTGCATGCAGCCTCATACCAGTAGATGTAGCCCGTGCGATCTCGGCCTCTATAACCTGACATGAAGTTATCTCAATTTCCGTCGTGAACAAGATCTCTCACTTTGTTCACATCCACAAGAATGTGCTCTCCCGTCTCAGCTAGAGTTCGAACCAAGTCGCGACCACTGTCATCGTCCGCGGCCACAATTCTCAACTACATCGGAAATCAATAACGAGCAATTCAACTCGGAGGCTCCCACTTGAGGCTTCACACAGTCCTTGACTATGTTCTCCGGACTGGTTGAGCTCCCTTCGAGGACGATCGATGTAGTGACGTTGTTATACGTGGCGAGAAGAGTCTGAAAACACGTCGACGATGCCACAGGATACGTTCCGAATCAATAACTGCTCACGCCCATCTCCTGGCCACTATAGATACTCTCAGCCGCACGCTGGAGAGCGCGGAAGCTGATGTCTCCCACACTGCCAGAACTGATCGCTGCGCTCACCATGTCACCCAGCTTCTTAAATATCAAATTAAGAATCTAAACTCGTCGCAATGATGCCTGTATGCACCACATGGTGACCTACCTGATAGTTCCCAGGGAACTGTTCCTCAAGGAAAGCCATTTGCTGCTGCGTGCGAGGATATCCGACAACAACAAAGTTCGCCGAACCGCCCGCCGTTTGATACAGCCGTTTCAGCTCGGAGACAACGCGGGGACCGACGAGGGAAGCATCCGCAATCTGTTCAGCAAACGATCAAGCCACACTCTAGCAAATCACAGTACCTCGCCACTCTCCACAACAACTCGGCCCTCAGGGGTTCCCCGAAGGAGATCAGCCACGTACACTGCCTAAAAAGAAGACCCAACAACCTTCGGAGACCAGCTATATGAAGCACGATACCATGACCGTTACCCACACGTGACTGAAATGCTTCTCAGGCCGAAGATCTCTTAAAACGTCCATTAATACATATCATTGGGTATGCATGGTTATGATATCACGTTGATAGACGAGGTCCTACTTTGTATCCAAAATCTTCCTGCATGATCTTAGCAATTTCTCGTTTCCCTGAGCCCTGTCCGCCCACTATACAAAGGACGTTCGCGGAGAAGTGTGTCCTCGCCTGACAAGCCGCTCTGTTATGCATAAACTTCCGACTAGCCTTACTAGGCTGTAGACCTCGTCCAGAGTGCCGTGCGAACACACACGACGAACTCTTGAAATCGAGTCGTAGAACTCAAGGGCTGGCTCTGTACAGGCGTGGAAGGTGTCCAGTCGCTTCTTGATAGTCTCGGCATTGTCGTCAACTCTGAAGGCAGCATTTCATCGTCAAAAGTCATACATGTATCGACCAACACGGTCATAAGGGGCGGGCTGGAAGTGGATCACCTGCCGCTTGTTTTCCCTCTCTCCAGAATCCTCTCCGTCATCACCTCGTCACTAGCCTCAAAATACAAGACGAAGTTCACTGGGCAAATGGTGTGCTCAAACAGGAGTGCTTGATCAAGAGACCTGCAACCACCACAAACAGTTCGCCCACTTTTCGAAAATCTCCAACGGCACGCGTTAGCCTCAATAGAAGCATGGCTCAGTATTATGATTCACAGAGACTTCACCACTTCGTCACCTCGGATATCCATCAATGAGGAACCTAGTGCCTCTCCCCTCACTGATCGAGTTCACCATTGCCTGTTCCAGTAGCTTCAGTACAATACTGTCACCAATAAGACCGCCCTAAAAGAGCACGCAGACACCTTCTTACTCTCTGCCATAGTAATTTCGACTCCGACTGAGTTCCCACGATTTCGCGTAGGAAAAAACCCACAAGACGAATGTGGACCAACTACTTGTTCCATGATCGCCTTGGCCTCCAGTCCGATCTGGCTCCCCTTGGTGACTTCGTCTCGCAACAGATCTCCGGTACTGCGAAGTAGAAGATATTCCTCACATCGCGTTTGCCGCCCCTCCACACCTCAAGTGAACATATCCGAAGTCGCGACTTATTCGAGAGCAGTTAGTCCCCTTGCCGCAGCCCGGACCGCCGAGCACAAACACCACGGAGAGCTTTTCGCGGCCTCCACATAGTGGAAAAAACGGGTCGTTCTGAAAAAACACCCGTAAAAGTATGGGTCGCCATTTGCGGACGTGAGAGAGAACTACAGTCGAATCGATCTGAACAACAGACTCACTTTCCTTTCGAATGAATTGAGTTTGTAAACAGCTTCTAGAGCCGCAGGTTGGAACACACGCTGAGCCTGACAGATTCAACAAACAAATTGGCAACTGAGCGCCCCACAGGACCTCCCCACTGGGAGATACTCACCAAGGTGTAAACGTCGTCCAGCGTGCCGTCAGCCGGGATCCTTCTAAGCTTTCCCAATCTACCATAGAACTCAACGGCGGGTTCAGTGCAGTCGTGGAAAGTCTTCAGTCGTTTGCCGATGGTCTCAATGTTGTCGTCAACTCTGATCAAGCGGTACACCCCAAGACCAGCAATGCGTGCTCACCGTCCGCTAGTCTTGCCGCGTTCGAGGATGCGCTCGGTCATCGCCGCATCGGAAGCGTCGAAGTACAGCACTAACGATACTGGGCAAATCTCCTTCTCGAACATGTTGGCTTGGTCCAGCGATCTAAATACATCAAATCGTATGCCCAAGGATTAGAGCGCTCGGCCAAGGCCTCATAAGGCAAGTTCAATTACTAATGAATGGCAGACTGGAAAGTTTGGACCACCAACTGGGTCCACAGGGAGAAATCTTAGTGTTCTCTGAGTGGAGCCGCCCCCACTATTTATAGCATTAGCTGCATACACCACTAAGTGCAGCGGCTTTTCACTACCTAGGATAACCATCCACAAGAAACTTGCTTCCTCTCCCCTCAGTAACTGCAGCCGTCATTGCCTTCTTCAGCAACCTCAGCACGATAGAGTCATCTAGTAGTAGACCCTGAACGCTTCGCTCCGACACGTGAACCTTCTCCATACCGTACTTGTTCCATGATCGCCTTGGCTTCCTTTCCGATGTCCGAGCCCTTCTTGACCTCTTCACGGAGCAGATCGCCCGTGCTGAACGAGATATTACTCAGCTATTGGTGCTGGGCCAGCTACTCACCTCAGATGGATGAATCCAAACTCCTTGCTGATTCGCGCACAATTAGTGCCTTTGCCACAGCTTGGGCCGCCCAATACGAACACAACGAAAGGGTTGCTCGAGATCAGAGGGTCCGCTATGGATCGCACCACAGAAGGATCATCACCTAGTACTACCTCCGCGCTGGACAGTCTGACGGGACGAACTCAATCCCGATGGGAATACTCATAACGCTTACTTCCCTTGAAGAACTTCTGCCACACCTCCTGACGCTGGCCTCACTTCTCTTGTCGAGCGAGCACTGTAGCCTTCCATAGGTTGCAAGTCCTTCCCACGAGCCGGATTGTTGTCTTTCATCCACCTAGCCAGCCAACTGAAGGCAAACACTTTGACTCTCTCCGTAAATCACGGCTACTACGGCTAAGCCAATCACGCTCAAGAGAGAGCACAAGAAGTTTTTACTTAGCAGCATCCACAGGATTCGTAGGCCTGTCCTTATAAAGCTCCACAATGCCTTCAGCCAGCAAGGAGTGCAAGGTCCTCTGATTATCAGGACCGACTGTAGTCGCCTCTAGCATTCCAGCGAGGGAGCATGCCGATCGAGCGGGTGGGTCCATGAGAGAAATATCAAAAAACCGAATCTAGTCATTTCACTCGTCAACCTGAGACATCATATACATCACGTTTACACACACAGATGAGTTTCTCATCCTGACTTCCTTTCGTTTTTCTGCATTTCACGGAAAGGATCAAACTGCGCCGACGAATACTGAGGAATTGCAAGAGAGCAAGATTTTTTACTTCCGCCTGGAATGTTAGGAAAGGTTTGGTGTGTGGTTGCAAGCCTGGATTAACTCCTGGCGGTCTAGCTTCGTGTCTTTAGCTGATAAACAAGCCCGTCATCTGCCTCCCTCGCAGGGGTTAGTCTACTATCTTTACCGGTTCGGGTGGAGTGAGCGGACTGCAATCCACAGGCTCTGTCTGGTCACTCTTGCGTCTGCGCGTTTGATCGCTTCTGGCGAGTTGCGTACCTCAGCTCAGTAACGATTGTCTCTTCTTATAGTGAGTATTTCCAACCCTCACGATGGCGCGTGCCTACTGCGGACGCTTCGCGTTTATGTTGGACTACCCCAAGTCCTACCATCCTCCACGGAAAAATGAGGACGGGGACTATGTCGATCCAAGAACAGACATGCTTCCCAAATGTGCAGCGGAGTGTTCTGAGTGGCTCACTGAGTGAGTCTGTTAGAATACCGTTGCGGTTTCTCTCTCCAGCGTCCATGCGGCTCTGCTAGGCGTTTGAATCTTTCTTCCCTGTGGCGCGTTGGCTCCCGCAAACTTAATCATTGCTCGGAATGGTTCACTACCTTTCGTTTGCTGTTAGTCGTTCTGCGCAGTGTTATCTCCGTTCCAGGTACAACGCCTGCGTTCAGCGTATCAAAATGCGTACTGATGGCCGTGGTAACTGCCAGGGTCAGTACGAGGAATTCGCGATGTGTCAAGATCACTGTATTGCGCATGAGCTGTTTCACTACTTGAAATAGCGTCGTTGATGAAGCGTTCGGCGGTGTACTATCTTTTACCTTGCATCGTTGAAGGCTTCTGGGAGTATCATTTTGACGAGTCACGCACAAGCTGCGGTGTAACAACCCAGCTCATAACCTGCCATACTGGAGTAGTTGAGGACAATTGTTGGTGGATGCATATTGTTTTTGAGGTCCTTTTGATGAGATTTGGTTTTGGGTTGAGAAGTGCGCTACTACCGATAATTACGCGGCGCTTAAAGGTACTCATAGTCATCATAGATTTTCTAACATGCAGGGTTGAGTACGAACTATTTTATTCCAGTGGAATTTCCTTCCGTAATGACTCATTACTAATGAGACTTGCTGGAAATCATTCTTGTCTGGTCACTGGGTTCAGACAACTAGGGCGAGAACTGAAGCAATCCGACTAAGGAAAATGATGATAGAATTAATTTGCACTCCATTTAGCACAACCGATGTCCGTCAGTCATAATACGAGCAATATTGAGCATGGTGAACAAATGCAATAACAGCAGCCGACTACAAGTATGATGTCATCTTGCAATCTCCTAGATCCTCGATGAGCATTCACGTAGACTACCGTGGGTTGCCTCCACGTTGCCAGCTCTTGAAAGCATCTCTGTCGTTGGTAGTAAGGTTCAAGAGACATACGCCTTTCCTGTCAGCGAGTTTTCCTTGACCGAGCTGTCCCGTTCCATGACTACGATGTATTAAACACCAAACTATGAGTGGTACCTCTAGCTCGGAACCTTCAGTTGCAGGATATCTGTTCAAGAGCGGTTCGATCCTAGTCATGAGGCTCCGTTCTGGGGTTCCAAGCACGGTCTTTGCCCTGTCCTCCGCCCCCGATGCATTGCCAGCGACCGAACTGTCACTCGAAGCGTCGGATGGAAGCTCTCTGGTCAGCATTCCGCCCAGCAATCTTGATGCCTGGAAGAGGCATTCGAAATCGGGTGTTTCTGGTTGTTGCTGGATGATGATTTCCAAAGCGCCAATAATCAAGTCAACAACTGTTTGACTCGACCTGGGTTGTCCTTTGACCGGATTAGTTTTGTAATCTCTCAGAGCCTTTTTTACTGTTTCATCAGCGATAGTGGAACCGGCGCAGAGGTCTGCGAGCAGAGCAAGTATACGGCTCAGAGTTTTGGCCCCGCCAGTTTTAGCATTGGGTTGGATCTCCGCAACAAGAACCATGTGAACTCTCAGCCTGGCGAAGTGTCGCGCCCCGCTAGCCGACCTGTATTGTAACAACAGGATCGCCCGACACGCCTGCCTCATGAGCCTGGGATTGTGTCCAAGGGTGCACCATCGCTTTATCAGAAGCACGGGTATTCCTGCGTATCCAGCGTCCAGCAGCAACTCTTTGTTCAGTTGGATGACGTCCATGTGCTCTTCCCCATCACTCATACACAACACGGCTGGAGTGTCCAGCATCTCGGCAGCAGTTGCAGGATTCGTGGCGGGGGCCAAGACTTCGAAGCACTGCACGATAGTCTCCAAGTGCTCCCTAGTGGTTCCACTGCTCACACTGGTTTGCGCCAACAGCATTGCTGTTCGGCTCTCCAAGCAACAATTAACAGTCCGGACAGCCACCTCTAGTGGGACCATGCCAGTCTGCGTATACAGAGTTGACACCTCTGAGGCGTCTCCAGCGATCTCCATTATGTTGTCTGTTACTCTCCTGAGGATATCCAGGGACATTTCCATCGCCTCGAGCACGAGACGTGTCCCAGTGTTCGCCACGGGTACTATACCCTGTAGCACTTCGCAAACAGCCCTGCATATTGACGAGCTTTCAGCACCATGGCGACGATAAGCTTGTCTTATCGTGTGTATCCCCGCAGCCTCAACAACCTTGGTGGCATAGTCCTCCGAAAGTCTCGCCATGACGGCCAAGCATTCCAGCCCGATGGTCTGCACCTGTCGCTTCGTGACGAAAATATCTAGGAGTTGACAAACCAACCGCACATCGTGACCATTCTGAGGGAAGTCACGAAGGTCAACGACTTCGTCGTCGTCCCCTCTCCCAACGGCAAAGCCGCGAGGGACGTCTCTAAGTGTAAAGGGGACGCCGTCTGCCACCGCTGATTCAGGGAGAGCCGTGGAGTACACAGCCATAAGAGCCAGCATCGCCCGTATGCTGACCGGCTCGATCCTGTACAGCTCCAGTGCCTCGCAGATGCAGTATATCTGCTCGTCTCTTCGGTGCTCACTTCGACAGGCTGCGAGAAGAACCAGGCACTGTTCGATCGTCGGAATTGACTCTGACTCTCTGCTAGGCCACATGCTAAGCACGAAGTCCACATGACTGCTCTCAGTCTTCGCCTCCCGCGTAGCAGTCATAGCCAGAACAGCCAGGACTTGCTCGTTGAGATTTGGCGTTTCCTTACGCGCATAGGGGAGAACGAAGTACGTGGTAGTGTTCCACAGTGGCACAGATAACTGCTCTCGCATCGTGTTTCGCAAGGCCGGAGTGTCATAAATCTTCACGCAGGTGCGCAACGCAAAATCGAGAACTACTTCCCCCCAGTTTGGTCTCGCTTCATATCTGCCCGAGACGCATGAGATGATATCCATAGCGAATCTGATATAGTCTAAGGCCGCCAACGGTCTTCCCGAGTAGTCAGATTTCTTAGACCCCAAATATAGATACTCCAGGACATCCTCCCACTGTTGTTTCTCGCTTTTCTTGGTGTCATCCGCTCGGAAGAGCCCTCCGGATCGGCCATGAACGCCCATCGCGCGATGGCGCGAGAAAAGCGTTCGATAGACTGAGTGGAAGTCTCTATAGGGCGGTCTGGGCACTCTCAAAGGTACGTCATCTACTGACGGCCCGACACGGATGACTTTTTTCCTTGGCTTCTTTTCTGGAACTACTTCCGATGATAAGTTGATGCTCACTGGTTCTTCTGAGCCGCCGTCAGATTCTTCACCAAACATATTACGGAGCCAACCAGTGAAGGTAGAATACGCCGTGCCTTCAACCGCCTCTCCACGAGGAATATCTCGTTTATAACTAGCGGCGCTATCGTCCGCCCCAGGTACTTGTTTTCGTTCTTTCAGGGTCTCCCTCCGCCCCGCATCACGGAACGAAGAGAGGGTAGTAGTATCCCGACGACTGCCTGCAACCAGTTCAGTAGAGGGAACTTTGACTGGTTCATCCATGCTAATGTGGGTCTGCGGTGATATGGCGTCAAATGGGACAGGCTCCCTAGCCTGCTGCTGTTTCTCAACCCCAAGAATGTCTTCTGGACCAACATTGAACGTGTTTCTGGCGGGAATGGCCTGGTCCAGAAACGTATTCGGCGATAAAATATCGGCATCTCCGTTGATCGGACTCGGGCGTTGCAACTCGAACGATGGAGGCCGACATCTGGGAGAGAGAACGCCCCCGCCCATCCATTCGAACCGGTTCGTATCGTCCTGGCCGCTAGTCATGAACGACGGTTGAATGGGAGTGAAATCCCGACCAAGTTTGACGGTCGGACGCTCGGACTCTTGAATGGCCTTGTAGTAGGACTCCAAAACCGTTTTCTTGTCCTTGATGTCGTCATACATCTTTACGAGTGCTTCCAGCCTATCAACGTGCCCAACGAGTATCTCCGAGGGGTCGCCTCTCGTCTCATCTGTTTGGGCATCGGCGTCGGTCACATGTCCGCGACCTGCGCATGGTGGCTATGAAAAAAGGCAAGTCCCAAACCAGTGCAAGCTCACTTGTCTTAGTGGGTGATCTCTGTGTGGCAGTAAAGCTGGTAGGTGAAGGCTCCATCACAACTGATCATGGAATACAACTCCGATAGTCGACTAGAGGCGCCACTCAGGAACATTCAGTTACGCATTGACACTCAGAGACGATACCATTGACCGTCAATGTTAACTCACTTGAGTCCGATGATGTTGCCTGACATGGTAGAGAAGCCAAGTTCTGTTCCTTGGCCATCCTCAACAGATTCTGCCGCTCAGGATTCATGTTGCTGGAATTTCCCTGGCCCTCGATTCTCGCATTGTCTGAAGCAGGAGACCCTGCATACACCTGCGGATCTGACCCCGCTCATGCCTTCGTGGACTCTCATCTGCTGCTGCCGCCTAGCGAGTTGCAAGAGACGTGCCCTCTCTCGACTGCGAGGGAATTCTGACGTGAATGTCTCTGAGAATTAACCCATGCTTATATGCTGTTTTCGCTTCCATGGGTTTACCCGGAATCGGTTGATGCTGCGACCGAGCATGGGCCAAGAGGCGCTCCCGCTGAGAAGGTAGCGTTATAGTGGATGATGTGGTCATGTTCGAACTTTTCCCATGCTTGCACTCAAGAACGATGAAAACACCTTCTCCCAAGCGTAGCCTTTCACAATCGTTCTCCGAGTTCAAGTCCGTCAGATTGACAAACACAACGACGCCCATAGGAAGAAACTGAGTTGTTTAATCTGGACAGTAGGGAACAAACTACGATGACGTTTAGTGGCTGAGCTGCACGTTAGTTTTCTTGGAGCGTTTCTATACGGTTCTCGTCTTCGAACCGTTTCATAGTAGCAGCATCCGTCTTTGGTATCAAATGGAACACTACCATGCCCACCAAACGCCTGAGGTAAGGCTTGCATCACACAAACTCGACTGCACTCCACAGAGAAGACACAAGTTCGACCCGAACGACTCGAGTATCACAGCGCTCCCACCGGATACAGATTTCTTACCTGCCCTTAAGGATTTTCCCCAACCTCATATTCATGGTGTTCAGCTTCACCATCACGACAGTATCGTCACTCTCCTCGGCGTAGCACTCGAGGTACGCTACAAAGTTGCTATAGACGAATCTGACCGAAGAGAGCAGGAATGTACATGTGAACTGAGGATACGATGCTCACTCCTTTTTGGTGTCCCAGGGAACACATCCTCTGTTTGGAAACATATCCTTCGCGACTTGCTTGAGCTTAACGTCCTCTCTGACAGATTTCTGCCAATCCGTCTGCATCACGGAATCGTAGAGGAAGAGTATGGGCCAGAGCAAGAGCCCGCTAGAGTGTTCAAGGACTGGTGAACTAGACCCGTACTGACTGCAGAAGTCGTATATCACAGGACCGATGGATACGGACCGATCCTGAACCGGAATACTCCATACCGCCATCCCAAGTAGAGGCTTACCTCGAGCGCAGAATCGACCTCAGCCGTTTCGCCATGATCGTCTAACTTTTCTTTCTCACGTCGTTCCCGAGACTTCTTCAACTCGTCTATTGCTTGCCCCATCACTTTCGAGAGATCTTTGGAATCCGGATCAGTCTTCAACCCACTCCGGGCAAACCTACCAAGGTTGAACTCCATGTATTGCAAACTTATACTGCCACTCAATGTCCTCACTTCGCTGCTCTGGCGAAGAGCTGCAATTCCATACAGGCCACAGCTCCTCTGTAGGCGGCCTTCACTTGTGTCGGGTCCAACGATAGAGCTTGCTGAGCATCCGATATGCACTGGATGTACTTCTTCTGCTTTAGATACGCCTGCGCCCGATTCGAATGGACCTGATAATTGCAAACACCATCGACTATGCAGCCTGTTGAAGTCTCACAATAGCATCCAACTTGGGATCTTCGCAGTGGACCGACAAGGCATTCGTGTAAGCCTTGATGGCACCGTCCAGGAGGCCGGCCTTCATCTGCTCATTCCCTCTTTCCTTGAAATTCTCGCACCGTTCCCGCGCTGGGGTTTCCTCTATGAGACTCTGAGATAAACCACCTCACTCCTGTCGAGCAAAAAACGAGGCATGCACCCTGGGCCTACCTCCAACGCTAGAAGATTCGGATTGGTCTTCATTTCTTCTTCTGTTGGCGTATGCGTCATATAAAGTGGATGAGCCTCCATCTCCTCGTCAGTCCATGTAGGAAGGTCAGTCCTGGGGTTATAATTGGCCCAGAACTCTTCCTCTTCCGCCTGGAGTACGAAACAATACAGACAAAACCGAGCGTTTCACTAACCTCCATCTCTGCCAGCACGCGCGCATTGTAAGCAGCCACCTGCTTGGGGTCCTTGAAGTCCGGCGCGGGAAGGTTAGACATTCGAAAACAACAAATGTGGCTACGGAATATAACCGTCCGAGACGAACACTACACCCACTCTCTCTTGAAATGAGTAGGCGATTGCCTCACATCAATGGTACACTCCCGGCCATACGTCAATCAGACAACATAGCAAGAACGTGATTCGTGATTCTCGATCTCGGCCTGCTCCTATTCAGCCTTGCAGAGCCCTCGAGCAGGTACTGACCGTTCATCGTTATTCAACGTCATTCACCTGAGCCATATGAAGAACTTTTGATGCTGGGCACATAAAATTCTGATCCCAAGCCAATAGTACTGCTCTGCAAGATAGCCGAAACGGCTTTGGTGGCGGCAGCAACGGCATCGCCCACTCCTGCTCCGTCCGGTGGCGAATTTCGCGACATGTAAGGCTGTCTCGGTGGAGGGCTCCGATATCCGTGCGGAGGCATAGACTCTTGACCGTAATGTTGCCGCTGCTGCATACTCCGTCTCATCCTCTTAGCTTCTGATACCGCTCGAGCAGCTGTGGAATCCGAGTCGGCGAAACTGAGAGAAAAACTCGATACTGTCAGGTCATGCGGTGGTGTACAGTGCGTCATCACTTTCTCACCGTCGAATACAAAACGTTGATGACACAAGTCAGTGCGTGAATCGCCTACCGCACAGAAATGACGGAGTTCTCTTCCATTCTATAACGTCCATTGAGCTCTCGGATAGCGATCTCGGCCGGCCCAGGTATTTGATACCTATTATGAAGAACCGTCCTCTGCTGTAAGAGCAGACCGATCGATCACGTGATGAAGGCACACGCCTGTCCACTTTTGCTCTTTCCTTGCATCAAATGGACCGATTCGACATGCCCGAATGGACAGAAGATCGCTATAAGGTCATCCCGGTCCACCTGGCAGGTCCGTTCCACATGTTCACACGCTCCACTAGATCTTACGAAGTCGGGCAGACCGCCGACGAACAGTTTGCATCCAGCCGTGTGAGTCGGCTGAGATGGCGTGTGATGCGGCCGCACGCCCATCCCACCCGTAACAGGAGGACCCGCACTGTGCACATACGGTGCTGATCGCCGTGCTTGCGACTTGGCGTATCTGCACCGTCACGTCCAAGAGCCTTCTAGAGCGGCGCTTCTGCCTACTTCACCACCACAGTGTCTCTATCCTGAGTCCTCAGCTTGCCGATCATGTTCATTGCGGCTATTGCTCGCTCGCAAGAATCTGCACGTTTTAAACCAAATAGGAGAATACCACACCGTCACCAACTCGTCCATTACCTGTGTCATAGTACTTCACGAAAGCTGAGCTCTGGCCGCTCCTAGACCGGCCGCCAGACATCAGATAAACCTCATTGATCGTCCCTAGCAGCACACGATGCGCCAAACCACAGCTTCGCACAATCACCGACGTAATCATAAATACCCTTATTCCCATGTGCTACTACCAAATTCTTTGAACCGTGTGAATATCTCATCCTCTGTCGCATCAGGGGGGAGATTTCCGACGAAGAGTTTGAAGTCGGAACTCATTGAGATTAGCGTCGAGTCAACCTGTCTAGACAAGCCATACTCCACATATCGGATATCAACGGAATGAAGACCGCAATGCTTGCGGTCATTCACGCCGTTACAATTCAAACCCCAAGGCCTTGGTAACTCAACAGAAGAGGACTGATAGGTAAACGGTCAAATTAGCATCCATGCAGGCAGTGCGCATCAGTTTGTGAGCACCTTGATTCCAGCGCTCCCATGGAAGATCCCATGAACATGACACGCGAGTAGGAAAGCACACACAAACACCGTAATAGTGCACATAATATTATTCCGGGCTCGTCGTCACTGATAGGCCCATGATTGTTCTTATGACATAATACTAGCAAACTTATAGAATTAATGCCCAACGAGCACACGATGCAATGTACGTTTTCTCTAACTTGAAACTCTCTTCAACAGTTAACAGCGATCGCTACTGTTCGAGCAGCACCTGACGTATCACACACTACAAACACTACTAAAATTCGCTTCGGCGGAACCGTCCATGAAATTACCTTGCACCTTGCGAGCGCAAAACTGGACGTATAGAGGCCTGAAAGGAGATAAAGCACAGTACCATCGCGTAGGACGCAACGAGGAGATGGAGTTGGTCCACATACCTGCTTCTCGATGAGTTGGAAATGATCTCTATTGGGTGCGGAGGCAGACCGCAAGTGCTCATAACTGACGCTCTGAGGGTAAGGCATGAATCGGAAAGCTGGTAAACGGCATATACCGTATCTGGCCGCTCACAGTCCCCCTCCTCGTCAAGGCAGAAAATAACTCCGGGAATTTGCCCTTTCGAGACATCAGTTGACTCATGGGACTCCAAGCCGCCCGTGAAGGTGAACGTCACCCCAGCCTAGTGACAATATCATGCGACGTGCAATGAGCCGCCAAACATGTTGGCACTATGCGAGGAGTCAATGTTGCAGCCAAGATGGCCACTCGCCCACCTCAGTAACGAACCGTTCACCTGCGCTTCCGCTCGCTATGGAAATACAATCAGAATCATCCTGAAAGATCCAATTCGTTAGGGAGAATGAATATGGACAGACGCATGGTTAACAGATGAGTCTAGTGTCGATGTCAAGAACAATAGGATAGGGTAAGGACTTACTCTGGTCAGATACTCGACGTTAAATGTGTACCAAGTATTCTCGGCGATCGCGATAGGTTTCTTTAAAACCAAATTCTTCGTCGGCTTCAACTTGGATTTACTCCTACCCAGCGACGCTGATAGGAACGAACACAGTGCTACCTTAACGAGAATGCGATAACTCACTTTTTCCTTTAGAAAGAACACGACCAACAATTCCCGCGCCTTCGACAAACGTGAACGCTACGGGAACCTACAAAATTGTCATAGCAGTGCGAAACAGGGCGCTTCTACCAAGCCCACCTTCCTAGTGCGGCTGGTGAACATCTCAAAACCAATGATCGAGACCGGCGAATTGGTTTGGAAGGCAACAGAGTGATTCCTGAATTCACATATAGCTCTACCTCAGGACTCTACCGACTATCGTTTTATGACTACACATGGACTACCATTACCACAGACCGTGCTGTAGATATAATAATGAAGACTCTGTTGAACATAATACGGCTAAGCGTGATTTACTCGCTGGGGAATGCGATATTAAATCTGCATACGTTAACAGACACGTATACCAAATATTCGAGTTTCAGATCTGTGCGGTTTAAAGATGAACAGAATAGAAATTTCGCGAGTATAGCCAAACTCACTCTTTGCCAACCTCCAACGACAGACCGTCGAATCGAACGGGACCCGAAAACCTAAACAACACTCATACCGATATCGAGAGCTCATGCTCACCTCCTCGCGATCAACACTTCATCGCCCGCTTCTAAACAGCAGGTTGACCCGCATAGACGCGACACGCACGTAGGGTGCTTGAGAGAGACTTGTCGGCTGAGGGAAGTAGATCCAAAGTCCAAAAACATACCCAGTAAGGAGCCGTTATCAATAGGCCGATACGAGAGGAGCGAGAGACTATAAAAGCTGATTTCAACCGGTCACACCACACAGTACTTGAGGCGCTTCTCCTGTATGTAGGAATGCGTATCGGTCATTGTTTACACTCTAAAAACAACTAGCAGGAACTACGTCTGTGCGCGGAAGGTGTTAAGCGATAACATTCCAGGGAATAGTCGGGTGGAACGGAGCATGAGCTGAGAAATTCCAAGTCTTACTAAGAATCCAAGCTTCAACTTTTGTCACTATGCGTGCGTGACTTCACTACACAGTATTTTCCCAGATGGAACCGGCTGCAGGTCCATTCAACAATCCTCAGGACTCAATGTAGTACTCAGCGACTAGTAGGGGGGATCGGAGCTCCTCACGGCAAGTCTAGATTCTTCGACTGCCACTGAGAAGGGCGTTTGAATGCTAAACGCCTTTCTCAGTGGCAGCCTCCCAAACTCTTCCTCGATGATACCTTATACCCGAATCGCTTCACCTGTCGTCCTCTTTGACACCCAAACCGAAACACGCTAGAATCAGTTGTGTTCGGATGATCTCAGGTCCAAACTGCATGGTAAGGAGGACTTTCATCAACTTGCGCAAACCGTATCGCAGTATAGTTGGAACGTGTTCAGATACATAGGTAAGGACACACGCCGTAAATTTTGGCACATCGCGCATTGTTCTTATACGATCATTTTACGATGTTGATACGTGGGTAAACATACTCAACGAGCAGCGAAAAATACTCGTTCACTCGGAAATTTCTGTCTAATTTTGAGCTCTTCGGGTGAAACCGTCTCACCAAGGAAGTATTTGTCACCTGCTACTACGATAGTGGCATTCTCCACAGGTGACTACCTTCATCTCTTCGGTGTCGTAGTGCTCTGCATTACTCTGTATAAGAACAAGTCGTGTAAGGGTCTCAGTTATGGCACACAAATTTTGTAATATGAGATGCGTATCAAAAGTCGAAAACACTTGCTCCCCAGGTACTTGACTACGTTTGTATGCCGATATTTGGATCTCTTCGAGCGCAATCAGCGGGCGTACTTGGTGCTTTTCAAGATAACGTGATATTGGGAGTTGGTGGTTTATGAACAGTTGCGTTTTTTTCTCTCACGAAAAATAAATTTTATGAGATCTACAGTGACCCGAGACCATGAGCTGCAAATGAGTTTGTGCGACAGAGTGGCGCGTTTCTTCGTGGGTTACAATGTAACCGTTACATCGTTCGTCTTGGTCCAGGGTTGGGCCGTTGTATCTCGTATACGAGTTGTCGTCGATGTAGTTGATGAATTAGACTTGAAATTCTCTAGTTCCACTTCTCTACTTACACGTACACGCTGAGGTTATCTCAAGGAATCGAATGATACAACCCGCGTTTAGGTATGTGGCGAGTTCTGCTATTATTTGCTACATTTTCAAGGCTTGGCACATCACATGGGAGCGAAGCAAAGACACCTGCAATTTGGTTGTCATCATCTCTTTGGTGGGCACTCCCCGTTTCTTACAATTCTTGATAGTTGGTGTAGTGCGCGATCTTGGCCCTTCTCACCACGAAAGCCTTTGCCGTTCTCGAGATCCTCTGGACCTTCTCCCAGCTCTTGGAGGGATTCGCCATGGTACTCATGTGATCGAGAATCGTTTCTCTGGCTCCTCCCCTGTGCTATTCTTGGTTGACTTCTGGTTCCAGGTTCCTCAGTATGTCTTCTCGTATAGGGACAAGGGCAATCATGACCGTGGCGTGAGTACGTACGGGATGTTATATATCTCAGTTCGTATGAGTGAAGTTTTCATTATTATCCACTCCTGATTTGCTTCTCCACGTTGAGAGCACATGCGGTCCGTGAAAAAGCACTGGAGGCCCTTTCCTTGTTCATAGGTACTTTTATCCTGTGTGTTGGCGGCTATAGAGTGTTTTACGCCTTCAATTGGATGTACAAGAAGATCAATCTCGGGCGGAACTACTCGGATCTCAACTCCTGGCTGGGTGGGCTTATAGAAATACTCTTCTTCATCGACTACATCACGTGAGAGCTCGGCCACACTGGAGGCAGTTTACTGTCCCTCTAGGTATCGCTTCAAGGGAGTTTCTTGTCTTCGTACGATGGTTTTGGCGGTGGATCAAAAAATTAACGACATTTCAGAGAAGGTGGAGATGAAAGTAATGGGCAGCAGCTCTAGTTATGGTAAGTCGGCAGTAAGAATTTTATTTGGTATATACCGTTATTGTATCGTTTCTTTCAATTCTTGCTAATACTATACTTGAACGCAATGTTGTTGTAAGGAAATTGTTCTTGTGACGACTTCTGCTCCGCATAAGGTTGATCAGATCTACCATGTAAGCCGTTAATAAAGAGTTTGATCAAATTGAAATTAAACTCAACCCCGAATTCAATTTCAAATATTTGAAATTGAATTTTAGCGGTATTCTAGATTTAGATTGAATTATCGTACCTGTTCTGGACTAGGATCACAAATAGAGTTGTTGCAACTCGAGGAGACTTACTCGTATATCGGCTGGGCGTCTTGTACGAATATGTTGTTCCTCTCAGATAATGCGTCAACCACAGATGGGATGGTGCGGCGAAGAAAAGGCGGCGGAGAGGTGGACGAGCAGGCGATGCTGCAGGTCTGATTTCACTGAGTGTGAATTATGTTACAAGTGTTGCGGAGGCACGGTTGAGAGACTTTGTGAACTCCATCTGTTATCCTTGTGTTGGGGAGGTTGCTGGAGGGGAAAATATATGAGGGCATTGCAGTTGATATACGTCGGTGTATGATGTCTGTGATTAGAGCTAACACTGGTTGCCTTGGGGTTGCCTCGCAGTCTTAGAGCCTTGTAGAGTTATATATGCTGAATCTGTGTCGTTATACAAGCGAGTTCGATCGACCCGATGTATTCACGTAGAGCCACGATTTGTAGAGGTTCAGTGGATGCACTATGTACGCGGATATATATGACGAGTGTGTTCTTTGCGACAACATCTGAGTGTTGCATGCGTAAGGTGTCATTCTATGCGTGGTATGCATATGTGAGAGTCCGCACCTTGTGTTCTCCACTACTTTTGTAGTTCCTTTCTTGCGAGATATGCGCAACACATAAGTTTCGAATCTCTTCGAGGCGCTGTGGGCAGTTTCGTAGTGATTGGATATTCTGTGATATTACACGCATTTTATACCCCGCTTTACGGTAATGTACTTTTTCGGGCCAAGTGTCTCCTTAGAGTTCTATTGTCACGACCAGTGTGACTCTATGGCTCTGCGTCGTTCGTCCGCTCGTCTGAAGCACTTCTTCACGGACGGCGCCAACGACTACGTCACTGGTTGGGAAAACACGCCACCTTTGAAATTCCCTGCTAGTGTTATGAAGCCGTGTGACTACTCTATGACCAAGCCTATCCCTAAGCACTGGGTAGGAGGCGGTGATGTTGGCCGATGCGATAGTGGCGCCTCTCCCTCAGAAACTGCGTGGATCGGGCATACATGGTCCGGAGAATACGGATCTGATGAAGCTCGTATTGTGGAACCGACTGAAGCAGAAGAGACCACAAAGGGAGGTGAGCGCTTCCCTGGAAGCTCACATCTATGTGACCAACAGTGCATTGTATTTTCGCTCTCGGTTTTAGGTGCCCAACATCAACTACTTGAAAGATTCGATCAGGCTGGAACTGTCAGTCAACTGGTGGTTGATGAGTAAGTTTCATCTGTTGCCGTTGCGGCGTCTCTCCTTACGGTTTGTGATTGTGGGTATGATATCTCATAGGTTGTATCTTCCTATGGGGGCCATGGTTGCACTGGGGTCAGGAGTATCAAAAGGTGCATGAGCAGCCACCGTGGGCTATGAAGCGTATAGGTGAGTAACTGCAGTCATTCAGAAACGGCATTAACACTGTGGGGTTTCCGCTTCAGATGGTCTGCGTGGTGAAGGTTATTTCACTTGGTTCTTGGAGTAAGCATTGTCGTATCAGGGAAGTAGGATCTGTGTCTACGTCCTGTGGACGGGGAAGAAAGTACATGATGACGTGGCTCACGTCATCTCGTGGTCATCTTTTTGATATAATGATACAAAGTCGGGCTAGTCTTAATACGCTCAACCGAATGTTGCGTTAACTCTATGGGAGTTCCCGCGGCGTATGAAAGGTAAGACATGACCATATCAAGAGGAAGGACAACCGCCATCAGTTCTTCTGACGTGATTGACTTTTCTTGTGGTTACTTTTCTGAATGCCTCAGCTACCGTTGCCCCGTGTCAAAAAGGGAGGGGATGGCGACTTCTGGACTAAACTCAACAGACGACGTCAGTTTACGGATGAAAGTGCTGAAGTGTGGGAGGTGATAAAACAGCATTGCTGTGGGATCACCGGCTCTACGGAGTTTTTCTTTGGGCAGATGGTATCAAAATCATCAGTATATTGTAGTCGTATGTTGTGAATGAATCGAGTATTCTTTGGGGTACGTGTATTATTGTCAGACTCGAGGGTCTTCGAGTCGTGCGGACGCAGTGTATGAAGGTCACGATGGGTCAGCATTACGAACACCAACAAAGGTTAGCGACAGGATCGCTAGGTTATCATCGGTAATGCGCAGTGGCTAGCCACGATGGTGGTTAGATAACCAAGGCGTTCGGATTGTGATCGCACAGGGACGTCTCCTAGGTGCAACACGGTATCCAACCCGAACTGAATATTTCTCCTGTCCAGTCGCATTTGCTGACGGGTGAAATGCCGATGCGTATATCTCGAGCTGCGTTAACAGAGTTGAAAGGAAGTGACTCTCCAGGAAGTACTATCTCCGTCGTAAGATGTATTCAACGACTTCATCTGAGGGTTTATACTTACTTTGTTATGCATGACAATTTCAGGAGAGCTACTGAACTTTCAAAGGAGTATGAGTTTCCCGCGGGGTAATCACACTCATACCGAAGGCTGCTCTACGGCTGCATCTACTTCTAGTAGCGTCAGTAGTCACACGAATAGGATCTGCAATCTGCGTAACTCCAACGGTAGGGTTTCGTTTTGTTCACGCTTGATGTTCGCCGCTATAACTGCATTCGGTAGAGACCAGTCTTATGTTTTTTGTTTTACAGGAGCTATCGAGTCGTTTGATGGGAAGTCTACTTCCGAGATGCTGGAAGAGACACGAGATAGCGATATCGCCGACTCTCCATCCCCAGCGCCTGCTATACCGGAGGGAAAAGGTACGGTGATTGGTAGGGCCTCATATATGATATCTTCGAAGTGTCAACTGAAGCACTGGCAGCAGCGCTTTCACCCCGAGGTTGGTTATCATTGAGTGTATCTCTGTAGGCGGGGGCATACCTCCCCTTCAAATACCTCTGTCGTTGCCGCTGGAGTCTCTTGACACCGATTCAGCTACGCCCTGTGAGTGCCTCCACATCTGCGATTATGCAAGCATTTTCTTTGTTTTCAGCTCAGAGTGTAACAACTAGTGTTACTCGGTTCCGCATGAACTCTAACGTTTCAGCCGACAGTGACGAATCGCCGGCAGACGCGTACTACAGGGTGAGTCTCTACCATCGAGGCTTCGTCAGTTGATGATGGATTACTTCCCAGAGTCAACCTTTGTCACCCAACCCCAGTCGATTAACACCGTCATCGAGCTCAAACACCGAAGAAGAATCGTTCGGTCAAGATAACGCGGCCCTCCAGTGCGAGATAGTCCGCCTCCAATTGGAACTAGAGGAGAGCAGGCGAAAGATCAGAGACTTGGAAGAGCGACAGGAGGGCTTTTGGGACGAAGGTGTTTTTGATATTGTCAACAGACTGGCCATCCAACGGCCTGATCCAACGGCCAAGGATGAGGATTCAAACATGCATAGTGTGTCTATCAAGTCGCTTTTACCCTCTGATTTCGACCCCTCAATTCGAGATGCGAGACGTGGAACTAGAGCTAGTTCCTGCTCGAGTATATGCTCTTTCCATACAGCCATATCAAGTTTCAACTGGAGTGACGATGACAGTAATATCGATGCTCCTCGATTTTTGTGAGTAACTTACCCAAAAAACGTCTCTGCGTGGCATTGAGTTTCTTGAGTTCATAAACGAAACCACACTTGTGAGAAGGTTCGTGTAGTCGAGGATAAATACAGTGGGAAAAGTAAAATTCGGCGATGAGGACCTCACGAGCTAGTAATAATCAGTCTTCGCGCTAAATAAAGATGAGGTGGTCAGTTTGCATACTTTCCAAGTCTTTCTGCTAATGTGATGGAGCGAAATCACTGAATCCACTCAACACATCGAAACCTTGTTAATACAAGACGTCGCATGATGATTTCACCATACATGTAATCGTCATCAAGGTCATTAGTGACATCGATCACTCTGAGAGATCGCGCTCAATGCCAAAAGGTGGGGGACTTCTCGACGTAGGATAGACCCGTCGTCTGCTGCCGCTGAAGACCTCGGCTGGATCCTCATCTTTTGCCGTGGGTTCCACACAGTATCGCAGGACAGAGCTCCTAGCAAGGGAATCAATAGACTCGAGGTAAAATGAAGCAATGCTGTTGAAATGTCGTAGAAAATGAGCAAAGACTGTTGAGAGTACGATCTATGGTCCGGCGACAACTTCACACAAGTACGACTTCGGCCTAATAAGGCGATGATGCCACTCACGTAGGGAGCGTTTTGATACTTCTTCTCCTGCCGGAAGTGTGATTTCCCTCATCGGTGCTCGTAGTGTTCTTAGTTGAGGAAGGTTCCCACGAAAGAATATCTCCAGAACTGAATATTTGGTAATGCGTTCACGACTGAGTCGATAACTCTACCACAGTCACGAACTATGACTTATGACTCATAAATGGGTTTACTCGGAGCTTACTTTTTATAGCTTCCTCGCCTTTTCGGATTGAGCTGTCTCGTGAATTCTCCCCCTCGGTCACCAAGGTTTGCGATGATATCTCGTGGATACTCCTGATGATGTGATTTCTCCCTAAGACGAAATCGCAATGAAAGCATCGAGTTTGCTGCTAGTCGCATCCTACGTGGATGAATCGGGCTCTGCATCTAGTGCGAATGGGGTCTGCATCTGACGTCTCGCCTCAGACCCTCGCCCGATAGTGGCGGCTTTCTTCTGTAGAATAGCCGAGATGAACTCGTCGTAATTGGAATGAGACGGGTCCCTCTCATGCCGAAGGAGTAACGTATCAATATCCTCATCTACCCCAACACCGCATTTCAACAACCGTGTGACGAATTCATGAGTAGAGATGCGCTCATCGAGAAGACTGGCCACTGCCCTCCTGATCTCTTCGTCCTTAACACTATCGTCGATCTCGATTTCCCAACTGACGGGATCGCGATGCGGAGGCAGTACTGGCTGCGGACGAACCTGACCACAAATCACTCGCGAATCAGATCATACCATCGCGCGTGCCGGGTTTAGTCGCACCTCCTCCAGCTTATACGGCTGTAGATCCATTCGTTTTCTATCGGGATTACAACTATCAAGAGCTCGGACTAGTGATGCATATGTCATGGTACCCGCCGCGCCTTCTGTTTCGATCAACCTCTCCAACGCTGGAGTCACACGGACCTAAGATGGACCAATTTCGAGCGACTATTAAGCGTTCAAGAAAAGCTTACTATTTTCTTCAGCTCGTTTCGAAACTCCATAGTGCTCATCCTTCCGCTCCTGTCGAATGCCTTGAATAGCTTCAAGAGTCGAGATTCGCCTCCTCCTCCTCCTCCTTGAGTGCCTCCATCGGGCGCCCTCGAAGAATCAATCAATTGCTCCGGTATATCCGCCGTAACCGTTGGCATTGCAGGAAATCAACTGATGCTATAATGAATAGTTCACATTCGAGACTGTCCCAAGATTCAAAACGGAATCTCAACTGCTCATCATCCGAGCCATCGGATAAAACCTGGAGTAATTTGTGTATCATATTTTCTCCGTAGAAGTTTATGAGAGTGCGAGAAAAGGTGACAACGAGTAGCCTAAATCACATCAATTGATTACCATTAACGTCTCTCAACACAAGCTCGAGTGGGCGCATGTCACACTACGTCATTGCTATACAATCAGAGCCACGAGGAGCATACAACTGGGGGATCACCACAACCACCACTTCGTAGATAAAAAACGTATATCAGACGCCCACTGGGATGAAGCGAGCTTCACCGGTAAAGCCGCTACACATAACCTCCAGGATGGCGATAACAGCAATCGAGTGGCAAGACTGAATCACTTCGAAAGCTGCATACAAAAATCACGGACTCGATCAGCACTCAAAAGATAGTAATACCCAATGAGAAAAAATGAGAAGCTATGTAATATACCCTTGTGATGGCGGTGGAGCGCAGCTATCAGAACAACGTCGTTAATTACTGCTGCTGCTACTATCACGCCTCTCAACCTCTCCATCTGCAGTCAACTGTTCAGAGATATGCACTGTGGAACTCGGCCGAGCCGACGAAGCCCAGTCACGCAAGTAAACTACGGTCACACAAATGTTGTCCGCGGCGTGACGGGCGATGGCTCGGTCGATCAAATACCGGGCCGCAGTGGCAGGGGTAGACTGACTCCCCAACATATGCCGGCGGACCTGAGAGAACCCCAAGGGGTGCGAATTCGGAACGCACTTGAACGACCGAGCACTCACAGTCTCAACCGCTGTCTCGGAGCTGAGGACGTCAAAGAGGCCATCGGTGGCCAAGATGATGAATTCATCATCCTTCTCGAGAGGCATACTAGTGATCTCGGGCTCGGCAATCTGTCCCGCGTTCTTACTGCCGGAGGAAGCCCGTAGATCACCCAAGGAGCGAGTAACCTGACAAAAACTCACTGCATAAACCACAATGATAAATGGGAGTGTGCTACTCACCGCGAGGCCACCAAGATACTCGCTCGAAGCGTCCGGCAGGTATGGCGCTACGCGGCGCCTTTCATCCTCAGTACACGACTTCAGGTTGTGATCACGGGTCAAGTTAATAGCCTGAAAAACAGACGTGGAGTGGTCTTGTTATGTAATGCTTTCCCAGACTTACCTCCCCACGACGGCATAGAACGGCTCTACAGTCACCCGCATTAGCGACCGCCAGAGAGCCCGGAGAAGTAGATTCGTCGACCAAGCAAACACATGCGGTACTCCCCGATGTCATCAAGGGGTAATCATCATCCTGATGATGAGAGTAATGGTGACAGCTAACTTCAGCTGAACTGCTCACATCAACGAAGTCGTCATCAAAACAAGCCCTGAGCTTAGGCATCTCAGTCTCGCAGAGGAACCTCTCTAGGGCCTCTTCAGTGAGTGAGTAACTGACAGCATGACGATATAGATGTGGACCCTTCCGGACCATACCTCCTCGAGAGAGTATCTTCCTTGTCTCGTGAGGAGTCGAGTGACTTCAATATCACATTCCTCATATAATCCTTAATAAACTCTGCGGCACCTGCACCACCGTGGCCGTCGAAAACTCCAAATGCACCTGGGGTCATAACTGGAGGCCTCGGGCAGAATGAGAGACTCACCTCCCCCTCCACTAAAGGGAACGCACATGGACGTGTCCTCCATTCGGGATTTGTGCCCGATGTCGGCAGCATTGCCATAGCGGTCCATGATCGGTGGCATTTTGAGAGACATCGCACCGGAGCCCTCGCATGATGCGGTGCTAGTTTCCGAAAGCGGGGTGTGCATAAGATTATGCAAAAACGTTTTTATTCAACTACTGCAAAACTTTCCTGATAGGTCTCGCTAACAAATCTAGGAAGCCCTGTACTCCAGGCGCCCAACCGAACATCTCTTAGCCGCAGTTCACGAGCTATTGGCGCTGTTGTATCGGAGACACGAAATAACTACTAGTAAAGAACCATTGCAATGCCAAGACCGTCTCAGAAGCAACCTTGGACATAACTGAGCTACGGTGGCTTACCCTTTGTATCTGCATGATTCTCACCGACCATTCGTAGAGTAAACAACATTTAAGGCACAATTCCCTAGTGGAAATCAACGAGACCTCGCTCACGCTGGAAATGCTCCGCCGATCGCAAAGTGCTCCTTACGATTTAGGGCGAGCGCAGTTTTCATGTAAGACTCGCCCGCCCCCTACAAAAGTCGCAACAGCAGCACATGTTCGACACCACACGGCGCTTTTAGAGGCACAGTATGCCTAGCGCGACCATGCAACGTATAACAGTTGACTACAGCTCACACTTCGACCTGGTCAATCAAGTCGCCATACATCCAGGGTTCATGAGAAAGGTTGCTGCTGATATTTATCACAGAAACGCTTTAAATTCGACCCATAATTTTGTAAAAATGTGCTGCTTATGTAAACGCAAGTAGTCCGTGAAGGCTGCGGTGAGAGACTTCAATGGCGATACAAATTCTGATCCATGAGAGCTTTGATGCTCATGAAGTTTCAACGACTTCTATTGGCAATCACACATAGGCACACGATAGACGATAGACACATAACATCGTCACAATGGAAAGACTACTACACACGATTTAAAAAATAAAGGTCAGTGAAAAATCGAGGTAGACCTCCAGAAGCTTAATGAAAATACACGACTCAGAATTTGGTTGTACTAGAGTTGTTTTTACCGAGGAGAACAAAGACTCGACCAACGCCGCCATTGACTGTAACGAATAGCTTGTCAGAGTCATTCCCTCGTACTAGATCGGTGATCTCAACAGCGAACGCCGGTACACCGGGATAGCTGGCTCGCAGTGCTCTCATCCTGTGCAGTAATGGCTGCAGCTTTGTTACCACTTCACCCACTTCAGACCTATCAACAGCGCGCCATATGAACTCCACTTGACGCGCTAGAGATACCCATAACTTCACACGCCCTTTCACTTTGCGGACCAACACTTCCCGGTCTACCGACAAGAACGTCATCATCTTCGGAGGCAACGGCATCTGGTCGCCTGGGCTCTGGGCGTTTCCCGACCTCCCGCTCCCCTTCGTGTTGTTCTGTCCGGGCCTTTGCCCTCTCGCAGAAAGGCTGCTGAGTCGCTGCTCTAGAGCTCTACCGGGGACTATAGTGGTATTGCTACTGCTACTACCACCCCCAGGATACACTGGTGGAGGGGTCTCGTCGAGGCCGTACGCAGCCGACAGGGCGAGATCGAGCATAGAATGATCAGGGAAACCAGCCGCACGGTGATCACAAGCCATGCTCGGAGGGCATTGCATTGGAGTGCACATACCCAGCCCTCCGTTGACCGACATAAAGATTTTCCCACCGACAGGACTCACATTGAGAATATCAGATACTTCGACGGCGATGTTGCCAGTCTCCCTTCCTCTCGCGACCTGCACACTCGATAGTTCGGTTCGCAATTGGCGACTCTGAGAGCCTCTCAAGAAGGCTCCAGCCTTATCCCGTGGAATACCGTGAGGATCCCAAGAATAGCACGTCATCGCAGCCTTCAGACTGACCCAAACAGGTGGCTCGCCCGGCTGCAAACTTATTCGTTCTATAAGTTCCCGCCCACTCAACGCCCGAGTCTCGCCTACTGGAGCATCCACACAGAAGTCATCACTCTCTTGCATCCATCTACAAGCATAGATCTGGTCGAACCCCCAGCGCCTGTTCGGGTCAGGATCGAGTAGGCCCAGCATAGCCTCCATCACCCAGGGGTTCATCGGTCGCAGAGGTCCTTGTATTCGAAGGCGACCAGGGGTGTCACTATAATCCATCGAGGGGGCCCTGCCTTGATACACTTGATGCAGTATCACTCCCAAACCCCAAAGATCGACCTTAGCCGTATACTCCTGATGAAGTATAACCTCAGGGGCGGCGTACTGCTCCGTCCCAAAGAATTTATGCCGGTCCTCACCGTCGAGCTCCGAGCTCAGCTCTAACGCTGAGGACGTTCTCGCGAAAGCAGCCATACCGAAATCGAGCAACCTAGCATTATCATTGCTGTCGATCATAACATTCTCCGCCTTTATGTCTCTATGCCACACGGAGTGAGCATGACTGTACTCCAGTGCCAGACACAGTTGGAGCATCCACTTCCTCATGCGGAGGGGCTCTACGGCGCCGTGATACCGTTCGATCGCCAGGACATGAGCGAAAACACGAAACGGAGATGTTAGTTTGTAGTGGCGGAAACCGAAATCGGGACATGGGTTTAAAGCCTACCTCTACAAGGTCCATTCCGACAGGGTGCACTGCTTCAAACAAGAGGCAGAGGAGACAGTCGGTTAGGATGAAGTCACAGAGCTGGACGATGTAAGGGTGTGTTACTGAACTCTGGAGTCGTGATAGCGTCTCAGCTTCGATCTAATAGGGATACACCACAAGAATGCCTATTCGTTCACATAGCCAGCGCTTACAAGAACGTTGTTGTCGATAGGCTTCATCTTCGCCACATAATCAGAGCCGTTCTTCGAGCAGTAGACCACCCATGCTTCCCCTCCTTGCACATCATCGGGGAGAGGTCTTATGTCCTCGTATCTTGAAAATCGAAATCATACTTCCAAAATGGAGGATACTGATAAGCTCGGAAACAGCACCCTCGATCTCGCAAGAGATCCATCATCCGCTCCTGAGCCAACGCTTGCTGACGATCTTCCTCGGAGAGTCTCGTGTCATTAGAGTACAACCAACGATCTTCAAAGTCACAGCTATACTCCATGGACCCACCCAGGTCCACGTCACTGGCGTGCAATCGGCCTCGAGGGGCAGCACTGGTATGCGGAAAATCGAACTGCCTCGAACCTGGTCACAGGGCAACTAATGAGCTACACTAAAACCACACAAACACACCCCACCCTAAGCGCACGTACCTCCTCACAGGAAAAACAATACGAATATCCTGAAACGCGTAAAGTGTTCCGACAGCTATTACATAATGTGTCCTCATCTGGCTTGGGCAGGTTGATGATCGGGGCCGGCCTCTCCTCCCTGTGTCGCCGGTCGCCACGATGATGGGCCGGGAGACCTTCGAAGCAGTGCTCACGGACGTACTGGTAGTGTCCAGGCTGGTGGGGCATAGGAAACCAACGAGGCGGCAACTATAGATCTAGTGCTCTACGGAACGACACCGATAGATCCAACAGCATTTTGACTAGTTGGGGCTACCACAAATGCAATGACAATATAGAAAGAATGCTCGAATCTAGAGTACAACCACAACCCCTCTCGATAAGTAACACAGTGCACTAGAAACGTCACGTTCTATTAAAGTCGAGGCAGACTGCTCCCTGCAACACGAATAGGGAGAAAGATCAACCAGCAAGCACCCGCTGATGTTCCCTATACATTTCACTCCAACTCATCCGATGCAACTGTAGGCGTGCCTGCATGCTCTACTGCCCTTGAGCAGTCTCCTTGTCCATATTTTTCAATTGGGCGGCTTCGAATACTCGCTGCTTTTCCTGCTTCAAGGCATGCAGAATATCCATAACCTGCGATCATAAGCTGAGCCATATTCACATGACATGTGTAGAAGGCCGACCTGGGGGAGCTCCGACACCAAGTTTTTGAAGGCCAGCATCCACTCAATTATGGCCTCCGCATCCCTAGGTCCCCAGGAGGGATGAATGTATCGATCGAGCTTGCAACAACGACTGTACTGAGTACCGTAATAATGATACCTGACCGACTCGACTGATGCATGGAAACGACAGTCACGAGGTAGAAGGGGATTCCGCTATCCATCTCACCTGACCGGATTGGTGCACGGAAAGTCCTTCGACGGGTAGCTCAGACACTTTCCGAAGTCCAACTCGGAGGTCTCCTCTGACAGTAACAGCCACAATCGCGTACAGCACATTATACAGGATTTCCCATGCCTCTCGACTTACCGATGGTCTCCGTCTCGCTGTCGTCTAACGCCTCTGCTTTGCGCAAGCCAATATCGGGCACTTTCGCTTCGTATAGGAGAGTACCGATCCCACCTCCATTCCTCTTCGTACCCTCCAAACAGTTACCTGAGAACAGAATAGAAGACAGCAACGAGGTCAAGCCCGTAACACTGGCCGGATCACACACTCCTAATGCGATCACCACAACTACTACTACTACCAGGATCCCTCGCTCTAGTAGACTCCGATTCCTCCAACTGGTCTCGCTGGAGTTGAACCTGCCTAGCCTGCTCCCTATGAGCTATCAATGGGATCTCTGCAATCTAAAACAAACAACACCCATAAATGAACCACCAGCAGTATCACAAGCACTCGTTGACTTTCCTACGTATGCTATTGTGTCGTCCACTGTGAAGCCGTGTTCGAGCATCACGTCGGTCACAAACTCGAACGGGCTGCAGAGATTTCCAGAATAATGAAAGATCTTTACTCCTGAACAGACGCCACGTATGAGCAGCCACCACAATAATAATAAGGCGCACCTGGGAAAGTCCGACAGTTGTAGTGATGCCACTCGGCCGAGCCGTATTGGTTGAGATGAATCTGGTAGTTGTACCGGCAACTGATGTGACTCCATTGTTGATTACGACGACTAGCATACCATCTCGTGAGATACCTGGAGCAAAGCACATCTTCATTTTTACAGAGTGTCATAGCCTACTCCTGCTCAGCGCCACACGTAGGCCAGTGTGCCGGGTTGTTGTAATAGGAGACTTCGTCCATCATACAGTTGAAGACCTGAACTAATATTCCCATATACAAAGCTCCTTGGTAGGGCGGACCTCTTGCGATGGTTCCAAAAGCATGCAGCCACCGTTGATCCCCGTGATCTGCCTATGGCCGTTCCAGAATGTCGTCACCGGTACCTTCGCACCTGTTGCACAGTTGACAACTCCCGACCATATCCTGAACGAGGCCTCACCATGGCGCGGGGGAAAGGTTCCTCGCACGAGTGCCGCTGGTGGCTGGAGGTCGAAAATTTCATCGATGTTGTCTCGGACCAGCATATCGCTGTCGAGCAAGCAAACCTTCGAGTACTCAGTGAGTTCCAACACTCGAAGCTTCGTAAATACATCCTGGAACCTACGAGAACCACCAAACTGCCGTCTATCCAGTGAATTCACTCGGGCAATAGCAGCGGGGAAAAACTGTATATCATAAGATAGAACAGGGAGCGTGAATTCCACCACACGTTGGAGGCGTCAATTCGGCGGGCGCTTCGAGCGGTATAGCAAAACCGATGGATACCTACCGACTCCCCTTGAAGTTAAGGAACAGTCTAGTGGAGACGTTTCTGATGTATTCCACTTCCCTGCAGTCCCATACACTTCGCAAGGTATCGAGGAATTGCTCAGGTACATCGGCCGTATGCAGGAGCACCATATCCTGTTGCGTTCGACCCCGATTTCTCAGAGACCATCCAAGCACCTAGAGAAGAGCACCACGTGCTATCTGCGCTCAAGACACTGCCTCGGCTATTACCATTGCTCCGACGAAGTAGTCCGCTCCATTCCCGTACATAACCGTCACCCATGCATTCTTCGCATGACGGCGTCGAGGGGGAGGCCGGCGACTAAAAACAAGAGAGATATGATGAGCATACACATCGTAAAAATCAGGAAAAATGTCAGCTCTGAAATACCATGCACACCCTTCTTACGGTGGTCCGGAGGACGGGGCGTCGGTCCGTGGTTGAACTGGTTTCACATCAACGTATACTGGCTTGAAACAATTAGGACATCCGACCTCAGTCAAGTGGTTCGAGCGGACTCCGGAAGTGGCATCAGGGATAGGAATAGTGGTTCCAGTCTTCAAAGTTCGACCTCGAAAACAACTCGATTCGCTCTCTGGTGACCCCAACTGGAGAAAGCCGCACATATTTACTCTATCGGATGGCCTTCCGCACGTGAATAGACCCACCCAACATCTACGCATACCAGGACCCCCCAGAGGCGTCGTCGCAACCTCGCCCGTCGACTACCTTCCATATTCCAAGCTACCAGCCGAATGCAACTCGACTTCAAATCTTCATAATTCGTCAGATCCAATCGATGACCCTCCTCATCATGGGCGCTACTACCGCATTTCGAGGTGAACCCATCTGTGGACTCGTTAGCTTTGCGGGATGGCGATCTTCTCTCAGTCACAGCCTGCCACAAGCAGAGCTACTCAAAAGTCAATTAATAACGAGGTACGTCTCCTGAAAAGATAGAACACTCCTTCTCCTCCTACCTCATGAGAATCTATCAGTCTCCTCAGCCTATCCAGAACTGATCGCTGCTGCTCGCGCGTTCCGTTCCTCTTCACATCCTCGATGAGGCGTTCAAATAACTCGCTCTCTGGGCGTGAACCTGCAGGGACGTCGCTACTCGGCATCACACTAGCGAAGGAGCCACGACATCACCATCGGACATGGTGTCTGTGCTGAGGGCGCCTTGCGATGGGGCCTGGGTAACGGGGGCATCGAATGGCATGCTCAGTAGTCAACTACACACCGAAGCCTATACTTATCCAGAAACGAAAATCGTCGAGAAGTCGTAAAGGAAGATTCATTCTCACTCTACTCGCTCACATGGGATAAAACCATGCACATATTGCGTCACACCGAATCGAAGACTGAGCGCCTCATGAGCTTATCATATGCAGCACATCACGACACGTACAGTACCTGCTGGTAGCATCTCGTCCATCTGGGATCATATGGATATCGATTCGACCGCAAATTCATCGCAGAACAAATCCATAATGTACTCTACGTTCCCGAATGTGACAAATCTATCACATCTGTATAACATTTCCATTGATGATCTGACTAACTCACAACGCAACACAGCCGTGTTTCCCAAGTAGCCGCACTTCTTGTCCGTAGGAACACAGTAGTAAGCAGGCGGTCGAATCGCATGGTGGAAATACGGATGAAGAAAACAAAAAAAATCCTACGAGAAAATTCCCGCCAAGCCGCGACCAACGTCGAGACTTTCAACGATACCTCTTCAATGACAATAGAACCATCACAACCGACAGACACACAGACTATCAGTGACCCATTATACAAATCTCACATAACCTCACAGCGATGATGATATCAATGCTACGAAAGAGAGACTACCCTTAACATATACGGTCAACCTAATCCCCACGAGTGAGAGCATTTTTATCTACTAGTTGCGATTTTATTCGACCACAAGCAATGAATGGATTCTGGAGAAGTCTCTTCCTTCCTGAGGGGTGGCTTTCTCCGACAACCAAGGATCGAATCTGGCACAGATGGCGAATATTTCACAGACTTGACCACAATGCAAACCACCATCACGACATTTCATGGCAAGTCTCAAGCGATGATTATTTCACGCGAGACGATCAAAAACAATACCCCCTGTGGAGACCTTCTGAGAGCACCGTGGAGTGAGTCCATCAGCTCATGCTTGGCCACCGACCACACCTGCTGAAGAACGACATTCCCAGCACAGTAATACCCATGACTCTCCCAACGAGCATTGAACCAGGAACTCGCACAAGGTAAGGGATCACACACAAAAAAGGACCCACGAGTAGCCTCCAGGGTTGGGAAGGACGAGTCCTGATATATAATCGACTTGAATACTATAACGGCTATACAAATGTTATCGAGACCCATTCTAGCTGATCCGAATGCGTCGACTAGCCTTACTAGGAGTACCAGTGCTGCCAGTCAGCACTGCAGACTGCTGACTCCGCTTCAGGCGCTGCGCTTTCGCACGAGACTCGCGTTTTCGGAGTACGTGGGCGGGGAGTCTTCCCAAAGCCTCTTGCAGATCAATACCATATAGTGGTACTGTCTGTAGCTCATAGGTCAACAACACTCTCGTATCATCACTTGATTGCAACGGAGCGTCATCACCTTCGTCCACGGGCTCAGTACCCTGTGCCGAGGATATGGGATCAGTCGAGCATGACTTGACGTGGACCTGAAAGCCAGATACTCATAGAACTGCGCAAACTACATAGGATAACAAACAACAAGCGCTAATCGCTTCCTATCCGAGATTTAAGAGTAGTTACCTCGAATTTCATATGCCGAAAAAACTCCTCGTCGACGTCGAAGGGCTTCAAAAGCACGCAACAGGACCGGCTGGAGGCTGAGAAGAACAACCACTAGCGACGACATCCACCGAACGAAACACAGGTCTTGTTAAGCTACTGCATGTGGCAGAACTTACGGTTAACCTTTGTGGCGAAAGTCACAGCATTCCCTTCCACTTGGCTAGGCAAGTTCCCTAACTTCTCTTCAAGTCCCTCCTTGATATTCAACCACTCCACCTGAGCGCCCGAAGTGCTTCATAACGTGTCCGAGTCACTCGAGTAGGTACCTCCGCAGGGATGCTGTTCACTGAAGCCACTACCCCTCCATCATGAACGTGAACATTCTTCAGTGGGGTCGCCCTCGGCGGAATCTTAGCCGCTTCAATGCCAACGCTTTCCTCGATGGTCACGACACTCCTACGGACCAATAGTCGATTATAATCACTCGAGGCTGGGACATACCTTTCTGGCTCCGAATCTTCACGGGAATGACTACCATCACGCGCCGAATTCGGTGAGAATTCAACATTGGGCGCCGACGTATCCTGAACGCGGGCGTGCATAGAGAGCACAATGTTTCTCGAGTACTTGTATCGGAGTTTCTGAGTCGCTGGCGACTCGTGGCCGCTTCCTCCTGGGTGACACCGACATGGTTAGTAGTGAACGACCACCGCGCCAAGTTGTTTAAAGTGCGCTCCGCTCCGTCGATAGCTCGCTGCACTCGCCATCGTGATCGATTGCCACGCAAGGCATTGCGCTGTCACCAGGGAAGCACCGAACTGATTGCTGTAGTAGTTGACCGATCAGTCCTGTCCCATTATGACCACTACCGAGGCAACTGCGACTAAGCGACCCCCGTCTGAGGAGCCTACGGAGGCTACCTCTCCTAAGAAGCAGAAGACGTCGACGACTGAGCAAGCTACCACTGGCCCTGCTGTTGCTGATGTAATAATATCTTTCGCGATGGATGATTTTAACGAGCTCGGGTTTTGATCATATCGTTAGTTTCAGTAGATACGGAAGGAATCGGTGATTTTAGGCTCGGACATAATTTACGCTAGAAGTCTTTTTTTGATCGCTGCTTCGTGGTCAGCCGAACTTAGTTGTCACTAACGAGAAGTTTATGCCAGTTGAGAACTTTACGTGAACTGCAGTCGGTTGGAGACAGTATCAGTACCGCTGTGGTATTTCTTATCATCGCTCAGGTGAAGCGCCAGGTCGAATATTATCTCTCCGACGATAATCTCAGACACGACGCCTTCTTTCACAGGAAGATTTCGGAGGATCCTGAGGTACGCTCTTGTGTTTGGACGAGTCGCTCGGCTCACGATTGTGTCAATGTCAGGGTTGGCTGCCTGCTGATCTCGTTCTCTCATGCAACAAGATGAAGCAGATGCATTGCACCGCTGAGAACATCGAGCATGCTTTGGCGGAGGGCTCCCACCTCGAGCTCAAAAAGGACAACGACAAATTGTAATACACCCTTCACTTTCCTTGTCATTCTCCTCTCTAGAATTTGTGCATCTTGATGATTGGTCGTGGGTCGTTAATGTTACCAACTGTTAGGTTCATCCGTAGAACGACTCCTCTCCCTACGTTGAGTGCTCCCAAGGGCAAGAAAGGACCCGCCGGTCGCTCCCAGCTTAAAAATGTTACCGTACATGATGGTGGCGTTGTCGTAGCAGTGAGGGACATTCCTGAGGAGGTACTCAGTCTCGGCATTCCATAGGTTTCACTGTTCGTCTTGTAGGTTGAATGGCCTAACATTAAGAAATCCCTTGAGGAGATCGTGAAGGATAAGGTTGATGACCATGAGGGCAATGTGGTTACCTTTGCTACCTCTGTTGATAGTAAGAACAGTCGTTTCTGATCTGATTTAGTATTATTGATTCGCTGCGTCAGAGGATAAGCGATCTTGTTACGTCCTTATGAAGCCTTTCGATGACGACGTGCAGTTCTTCAGTGACCTCAAATTCAAGGTGAGTTCCCCGCGGCGATGCTTTCAGTTATCCAATCTGTGTTTTCATTGCAGGTGACTCCCTTCGCCGATAAGGCAGCCGAGGCTGCTGCCTCTAAGGCTGGAGAGGAGAAGCCTGAGGGTGAGAAGGCTGAAGCGAGCGCCTCTACTGAGGAGACTCCCAAGGAATTCGAGCTCAAGACCGATGTCGTCTACGGCATCGCATTGAAGGATGCTCTGAAGCGTCTCCCTGCTCATGTGCTCCGCAAGAGGGAATCTCGTGCTAAGGTAGAGCGGTTGAAGCGAAGCGTTTCCTCGGCTGCTCTCCACTCGGTGACGCAGTCCTCAACTGCGTTATCGTTCCCGCCTCCTGATAGGAGTAGATGTTGCTACTCTTATAAGAACCTCACACTTGATGGGCGAATTGAGGAGGCGATTAGGAGTAGAGTGTAGTCTGGGCACTCGACGACGTCCACCCCTGTAAGATGTCAGACTGGGAGTATTGCTGTATACTCGCTGGTCGCCTTCTCGTGGGAGGTTTCGTCGTCAGTGCGATCACTGTTTCTGATTATGTACTATTATTGTTTGTATTCATTCTACTGTACTGTTTGCAAATTAAGTTCGTGTATATTTGTACGCTGAGTAATTACCACCACTGTTGCTGCTTTGGCTAGGACCGTGCGCGATCCCGCAACAAGCCTATCATGCTCGGAACTCAGCGCTATAACAATGTCCAGACCGCGAACAATCGCGTGAGGGACGTGCTCAGGAGCCGCAAGGCCGGCCAAGAGCTGAAGCAGGTGACTCGAGCCATCCTTGCTATGGGAGGCAGTTTTGCCCGAAGGAGATGGTGATTCGTTAGGGCACTCCTGATTACGAGCTCATCGAAGCGGTCCTCAAGTTCCACCCTTCGGCGGAGCGTAAGCTTGCTGGGATGACGGGCATCAAGGTAGACGTCAGTCCCTATGGAGGTGAGGCTTCTTTTACAGATCGTCACTATTTGGAATTTTCTCTCTCTGTTAGAAACGCACTGCTTCTATGTCATGAGAGGGAATGGCGAGTCTGAGGACATCTCGGTGGTGAAGTGCTTCAACAACATGCAACAGAACCCTCCTTATCTCAAGGAAGATGAAGCCGCTGTGAAGAAGGAAGCCGCGCCCGCCGAGGAGAAGTCATCTTAAGCTGGTTGAGAGAAAAATGCGTCCGGTATTGCCCGAGAAGAATGCGTCGCCTTTCCTTACCAAGCAGTTGTGGTTGCTCGTCTAGATTAACGTCTCTGAGGACGTCCGGTTACTCTTCTATACGTACGTATCTGTTTGCTGTGGAGTTCTGTTTGGTCACATTCGTGGGGGAGTGGTTGTATTTGCTCTCACAGGCGTGTGATTCGCTTCAAGCCCTGATTGTTTAGGAAGCTATTACGACTCTCCATCAGATGCGCATTATAAAGGAGTTGCTGATTAGGGCGATCTTTGTTGGTGAAGAGGGCGGCGAAAGTTGGGAAATATCGGTTTCGTTTCTGACCACCACTGAGCTCGATATTCGCTCATCTGCGCTGATGGTTTTCGACTCCATAACTGTTATGAGACAGCGTAATTGGGGCTTTATGCTGCTGTGCTTCTGTGAATTGATCTTACGCTGATTTTGTGTCATTTGTTGTATCTGCGAATGACAAATCCTACACACACGGATTGAGTTTTCCGCAGTTTGGAGGCTCTTTGGTCTGGTGTTCTGCAACGAAGGGTCTTCAGAGTTTCAGCTAGCGACTCTATTGATGGTATAGGAATCTTGCTGATGGAGGACTTCGTACTGGTAGATATCCCCTTGTCTGTCTTCTTCGCCTTTCATTTTAGACTGCTCTTTACTTTGTTGGATGCGTCATTCTATGGTATATATTGACTCTAATGTGGCAATGAAACTCATACCCGTCTAGCCAGCATCGGGGTCTCAAATTGTTCTCGAACTGCACTACTTGTTCACGATAGTTATTTGCGACTCTGTCAACTTTCCGGGTTTGGAATTTACCCGGCATTCCGACGATGCCAACTAGAGTATATTCTATGTAGTGTGTGCCATGTCTATAGTTGACATGTAAATGACAGTCACTGCCTGTCAGATCTGCGTCCTTTTCGTGTTGTTTTGTCTGCTAGGTTTTCTGGTGTCATTTAGTAATTTACTCGATTTTCGGAATATGTCGAACCCTCCTCCTTCCTGCGTAGCCGACAAACACTTAACAAACGGAGCTGACGAGTATAAGCTTGTCGTCATCAAGGTTGGTACATCTACTCTAATGAAGCCCTGCCAGACCGTTGACATGGCCAACATGGGAGGTCTCGTCGATCTCGTAGCGAGCATTCAAAACCTCCCTCATCAGAATCACAGGGTGATCATTGTAACTTCAGCAGCAGTAGGGTTCGGGTGCCTCAAGCTGGACTTATCTACTCGTCCAGCCTCGGACGATCTGTCCCTCAAGCAAGCCGCCGCGGCTGTTGGGCAATCGTATCTCATCAGACTATACGAAGACTTCTTCAGCGTCCACAATCTCCGCTGTGCGCAAATGCTGCTTTCGAGACCCGACTTCGCAGCCAAGGATCGTTATAGAAATTTTCGGAATGCGATTTTCCGCCTGCTAGATCTGGGAGTTGTACCGATCATCAACGAGAACGATTGTATATGTGTGGATGAACTTCGCTTCGGGGAGAACGACACGTTGTCCGCACTCGTTGCGGTGAGCTGTGACGCCGACAAGCTGTTCCTCCTTACTGATGTGGACTGCCTGTTCGATAAAAACCCGCACGAGTTCCCCGATGCTAAACCCATAAGAGAGCTCAGTAGTATCGAACTTGCTAAGCTGGATGTTGAAGTTGGAGGAGATAGTCAGTGGGGTAGTGAGCTAATGCGCTTTTTCTGATGTCGCGTGATGCGATGTAACAATTTCAAGGTACCGGAGGGATGGAAACGAAATTAATGGCCGCCCGTACTGCAGTGTCAGCGGGCATCGAATGCATTCTAACGCATGGGGCTAAGCCGGAGAAAGTAGTACATGAGCGTTCTCTTCTCTTTGTTGAGCAGTTCTACGCGACTGGCTTGACCTAGGTTCTCGATTACCTCACTGGTGACACGTCCGACACACTGATGACCGTGTTCAGAGTATTACCTGACAGCATGAGATTCGTCGTCTCGGAGATGACCTGGCGGCGAAGGTGGATTTTGGCACTTCCGCTCAAAGGCACACTTACGCTCACCGCAGCGGCTGCTAATTCGATAAGAAACAAGCGACCTTTGCTAGCGTTTGGTAGGTTGCGGGTGCCTCAGTGGCAACCCCTCGTGGAGACGGGAAACAACGCTGTTGGTCTCAGGAATCTGTGCCGTCTCGGGAGTTTTCCACCGTGATGAGGGAGTGTCTCTCCTGGATGGCGATACGGGGGAAGAAATCGCTCGCGCTTTGGTGAATATGAAGAGCCAGGAGATTGACAAGGTGAAGGGTCATTCGGCAAATAAGTGGGACTAATACTGGTTGGAAGTCGGAAAGAGACTTTCCCAGGTTCAAAAAAATATTAGGTTACCCGGTAGTGTCCGAAGTCGCCTTCAGAGAGAATATCATTTTAACGACTGGGGCGTTGGCGGCGCTGGACAGCGATCAGGATGACGAGCAGGATGACGAGGATTAATCGAGATTGTTTGCTGTGTATGTGAGTTTAGATTTGATTCTCTTTTTGGTTAGGCTCCAGTCGGTTACTGTGGAGCCTGAACTGACAGTACTGCACTCATGATGCTGGTATTCGTGATATCACCGATATGAGTTTACTTTTCGGGACACTTTCGCTCCGCGTTGTACCAGTGCTATCGAACGATTGTTCATCATATCTTTCAGTTGTTGGTATCGTTGGGGTTGCGCCCTGGTTTGTCTCGAAGCATGTCAGGTAGTGACCATGAACATGGATCGCATCACAATCATCGGGACGATGGAGAAGAGAAGAGGCACTTGATTGTTCTTAAGGTTGGCACCTCGACACTGATGAAGCCCTGCCACACTGTGAATATGGCCAACATGGGAGGCTTAGTGGACCTTGTGGCTAGCATTATGCGGTTGCCAGGATATCAAGTTATCATAGTCACATCCGCTGCTGTCGGCTTCGGCTGCCTCAAGCTGAACTTAGCGACCCGTCCCAGGTCTGATCAACTCTCGTTGAAGCAGGCAGTGGCAGCTGCCGGTCAGTCCCTGTTGATAAGGCTCTATGAGGACCTCTTCAATGCTTACAACCTCAAGGTCGCACAGATCCTGCTATCCCGGTCCGACTTCTCGGCGAAGGACCGTTTTAGGAACTTCCGAAATGCAGCGAATGAGCTCCTCAACATGGGCGTTATTCCTATCATAAACGAGAACGATTGTATATGCGTGGATGAGCTCCGATTTGGCGACAACGACACACTATCTGCATTAGTTGCAGTGAGTTGTAATGCGGATAAGCTGTTCCTCCTCACTGACGTCGATTGCCTGTACGATAAGAATCCACACGAGTTCCCCGATGCCAAACCCATAAGGGAGCTGACTAGTGTTGATCTCGCTAAGTTGGATGTTGAAGTTGCGGGAGACAGTCAATGGGGTAATATACTACGAGCACGCCGAGCCTTCTCTGCTACGATCCTTATGCGTAATACAACATCTGTTGAATAGGCACCGGTGGTATGGCTACCAAGTTAGTGGCGGCTAGGACTGCTGTTGCTGCTGGAATCGAGTGTATTCTCACGCATGGTGCCAAGCCCAATAAGGTAGTATGGACATTTTCCCCGGCATTCGAAGCTGTAGTTAGTCGAATCAATTGGGAGATTTGAAGGTACTGGAATATCTCCGAGACGGATCCGAGAAGGAGCTGATGACAGTCTTCAGAGTGGCTTCCGATAATATTCAGTTCGCAGTATCGAAGATGACCTGGAGGCGACGCTGGATGCTGGGCCTTGAGACAAGAGGAGTTATCAAACTGGATAAGGGGGCAGCCGATGCTATAAGGAAAAAGAAGAGCCTCTTTGCGGCGGGTAGGAACGAAGGGACTCCTGGAAGAGGTGTCACTGGCCGTTCTACTGTAGGCATCATAGAAGTCACGGGGAGCTTTCATCGTGATGACTGCGTGTCGCTTGTGGACGGCGAGACCGGCGAGGAAATAGCCCGAGCCCTCGTGAATCTTCGGGACTTCGAAGTGAAGAAAATTATGGGCCATAGATCTTCTGAGTGAGTTCATAGTTCGTATTCGCAATGATTGTTCCATCTGGCTTGCTGTAGATATGCGGAATTGTTGGGCTGTGTTGTAGCACCGGAAGTTGCGTATCGTGAGAACATAATACTCACTACAGGGGCCCTTGCGGTTTTCGAAAGCGAGCCGGAGGACTCGGATCAACCCTCGGTCTAATGCTGAAGGATGCCCTGTGGAAAAGTCCTGAGAATGCCATACAAGGCGCGTCCTTAGCTGCCGAAGTGTCAAGCTGATCCCTCATTGTTGGATACATTCTGTCCATCTCTAACTGGTGATTTCGCAAAGTCGCGTTAGCAGTGGTGAATGGAGGGAGACACCTGAAGCTAGGAAAGCGCCTTGACATCGGAAGGGGGTTGCTGTTGCAAAGCATGCGTGAGTCATTTACGAGAACGGCGATGATCTTCCGATAACTGTCTGACCTTGTTCCTCGTCAGCCTTTCGACAACTGGCTTTCACTTAGTGCGTGGCTCGAGTGCATCTGCCGTTCATGATCTGCTCTCGGGGGCGACCATTGCTTTTCTGCACTTACCCGCTTTCAGTACTCTCAGCATGTCCAATGATGCTTCGGACATACAAAAGGGCGAGATCACATCGCTGACGCGAGATGTCGTGGACAGCATATGCGCAGCTCAGGTCGTGACCAGTTTGAGCCAATGTGTCAAAGAGCTTCTGGAGAATTCGTTGGATGCAGTACGTAGTCCGGGAGGTATGGATGGTGCTCACCTTACATTTGCTGAACTATGCAGTACTGTTCGAATTTCGCGGAATTCCGTCCGATGAGAAACCAGGCGTATGCCTGATTTGCTCAGACTGATACTCGGTGCTGGTCTTACGATCCTCGATTGATGAAAATGGTAGTTCGTGACGGTTCTACTCCTCTTCAGGGCGCTAGAAATATTACTGTCACCCTCGTTAACAACGGCGTTGATATGATAGCGGTATCGGATGATGGTTGTGGTGTGTCGGAGGAGAATTGGTCTACGCTTTGCAGTTGGCACGCTACAAGCAAAGTCGACATTGTAGAGAGCCGAACAGATGAGCTCCGATTGGGTTACAGCGATTTTGGTTTCCGAGGGGAGGCTCTAGCAGCGATGTGTGGTCTGAGCAATGGGGGAGTCACCGTCCTCACACGCACGGAAGACTCGAAATCTGAGACTGGCAAGGTGCTTGTGTATGATAAAACCGGTCGTCTTTCGAGCAGTGATGGGGAGGCCGCACGGGGCGTTGGTACTACTGTCACCATACGGGGGCTGTTCAGAGGTCTCCCAGTAAGGCTCAGGGAGTTCGAGAGGAATGCCAAGAAGCAAGTCACGGCGACCGTAGGGCTCATGCAGGCGTATGCTGTTATACGGCACGATGTAGCTTTCCGACTGACATGTGATGGTCGCTCACTACTGGCTACTAATCCTGAAGATGACATGGAAACAGCAATACGGAAGGTTTGTTGTATATCAGCAGCAGAGCTCGCGAGTATGACTCGACTCGTGTTGGAGGATGAGGGTGGTAGATGGAGTCTCAAAGGTTGCTTGTCTCCCCCGACTAGTGTGCTTCGTCCTGGAGTGGTACACGCACAATGGCTATATGTGGGTGGACGCCCAGTGGACATGCCAACGAGAGTGAGCAGATGCATTAACCAGCTGTATAAGAGGTTCCAGACGACGGTGGCTTTGGAGAGGAAGAGCGGCCGTACATGGCTAGCTGTGCTGTCGATTGTATTTGGGGAGGGCGTGGACGCGGCTGATGTGAATTCATCGAAGGACAAAAGGTCGGTGATACTGGACTTCGAAACTGAACTGTGCGACAAGATAACGGAGGCGGTCGAAGAGGAGTGGTCCAGCGCGTCGAGTCAGACTGCCGTTCAGGTCAAGACTAGCAGTTTGCAGCAGAGACGAATGGATGGCTGGTTGCGAAAGGAGGAGAACATCACGAGTAAAACCTCGACCAAAAGAGAGGAGCAGTGGACACCTGGCGAGCCGCAAAAACAACAGTCACCCTCGTCGCTGTCTAGAAGGGTCAGTGTCTGCTCACCACGTGCGGAGGTGATTGTGTCGAGAGCTACCATCGCCACACAGCGTGGTCGCCTCTCTGACTGTACTCGTGGTGAGTTCTTCGTGGGAACCAGTGCACCGCAAATTTCCTATCCCCACGAGGTCACCCCACACAGTAAATCTCGAAATCAGAGCGACTCGCCGGCTTCACCACTCGTTGTCCGGACGGTAGAAGACGTGCTCGCCGAGAGCGCGAAGAAGCAATCACAGCCAGATGTAAGCAGCCCCCTCGTGCCTATATCCACGGACGACTTGAGTAAGGAGGATCGCATCGAGGTGTCACCCTCGGTAGAAGAAGACCTGGACCGAGAAGCAGCAGACAGTGACATCGCGCGAACGATAGTGCTGTCATCATCAGAAGGCCCTTCTTCGCATAAGGGAAGCATCGAAGTTCAGCCCCTTGTTAAGGGATTACAGGGGTCTCCTGACGGGTCTGTTGTCATTCATTCACCAATGGTTGAAATTCAAGGTGTCGAGGATGGCGAAGTGGAGAGGTCCGACACCAAGAATTCCGACAAAGAAAATTCCGACGAGGAGAATTCCGACGAGGAGAATTCCGACGAGGAGAATTCCGACGGAGAGGTTGACGATGATGCCAGCGAATTGCTCCATACATTGCGGAAGCGACTGAGATCAGCGAGCCCTGGAAACGTCGGTCGGAAGCTGATGAAGATATCGAGCTCGCAGGAAGATTCTGGCAACGAGGAGTTTGACGAGGGCACTAATGCGACATTTCATGTGAAGCTTGGGAAGGAGGATTTCGAAGCTATGCGGGTTATTGGGCAGTTCAACAAGGGTTTCATTATAACGGCTCTCGAAGGCCGATGGCTGTTCATCCTCGATCAACATGCCTGTGATGAGAAGACTATCTTCGAGACGCTCAACAAAACGTCCGAGTTGAAGTCGCAGCCAATGATTGTTCCAGTGAGGCTTAGCCTGCCGCCTCCTCTTGAATCCTGTATTCGCGGATCACGGCGAGAGATAGAGGTAAATGGATAACGATAGTTCTCAACCATGCTCCGCTGCGGTTTACAATGAGATCGTCTTTTCAGGCTTGTGGGTTCCGGTTCAATTTCGCCGACGACGCCCCTATTGGTTCTCGAGTTCAGCTGACTTCTCTTGGCGTAGCGTCGGGACTGGGGTTTGAGAGGAGTCGCCCGCTCACAAAGGAAGACTTCGTGGATCTAGCTAGCTTACTGCTCGATCGTGGGGCGACGGGCCGATCGGATGATGAGCGTAGACATCGTCTTGGTGGCGTCTGTCGCTATACGCATGTGATTGCCAGTCCCGTCAGCATCGCTCTTCTGGTCATCCGCCCTGGGCCACTGCCTACGGCCTCCCCGAGTGTGGTCCATGCTTGCCTCCCGAGCATGTAGGACGGCCATAATGATAGGGGACTCGCTGAGTCGGAAGAAGATGGAGGGAGTTGTTCGAAAAATGGCAGGTGAGTTCGCATTATGTGCCCGAAATGTCTTTTGTGATCGTTCCCCTTTCAGCTCTCAACCAACCATGGAATTGCCCACATGGTCGACCCACCATGCGTTTACTTGCAACTCTTTCTGCCCGTGACAGAGGGAATGATCCTGTAATTGAAGAATATGCAACCGAATCATTCGATAATTTACTTCAACGTTTGTAACTAGATGACAAATGAATTGATGTCTTCGACCATAGCTCCCCACCTTTGTTGGCGTTCTAGTGAGTGTCTATCTCTGGTCGGCCAGCAGCCCGAGCTGATGCACCTCTCTGGCTCTCTCATCTCCTCCTCCTCCTCGTCATGCTCTGACCCCCGGAGGGTCTTTCATCATTGCTGGTCTCAGGCCCTCTCGCGCTTTTGAACCGCGAGAGCCATGTCGAGGACGAGAGCCTACATCGCCCTCACGTCCCACGTAAAACGACGAATGAACTCTTTCGAGCTTGCTTCATCAATGACTCTAATGGGGAACGCAACGCCTTAATGACGGTCATGTTGTGAGGTTTGATCTCGCTCCGCGATGTAGCACTCCCTCTTACCGCACGTCCAACCGAATAGGAGTAGTGAGTGGGGCGGTGCACACTCAATGGCTGAATGAGTTCGAATCCTTCGGAATCCTTGGCGGATCGCCAAGGTTTCATCACTGCAAAAGCGTGGCATGCTCAGCATGTCATTGTCTCCTAGGCGTGCTCAACACCCTGCGCTGAAGAACAATAGTACTTCTGCTGTTTTTCTATTGGGTTCCATACCTTAATGGGTTCTTCAATGACTTCTGGGCCACTTTCAGTGTATTCCGCGTTTCGACGACTATGAGCTCAGCTGAAGATTCTCGGAAAGCCACCACGGCCCCTTCGCTCAGTGACGAAGATTACGGGAAGATCCAGAAAGCGATGGACGAGGGTCGATACCCGTGCAACAACGGCAATTTCAACCTCACCACTGGGAGATGTGTCTGCGAGAAGAACTATGTTCACCTCATCTATGAAGATCGAATAGAGTGAGCATCGTTTGGTCTCTTCCGGTATGGCGTGTCCAATTCCCGTCGATACTGCATATATCGCATCTTCAGGATGTGCACCTACCAGGAGAAGGTCATAGGATCACCCTCCGTCCCGGGCTTCCACTTTGTTGATGAAACTCTGAGGCGAGGCGACCTCATCGTAAACAGCGTGGCAGAGTTTTTCGCTCGGCCTGTTACCTAGTGCTCCTCAGACTGACGAGAAAGACCTCCAGGCTAGTTATAACCCACTATTGTGGATTCTTATTGTAGTAGGCGTGGAGGTCGGACTGTTCACAGTGTAGGCAACCTCTCCTACCAATTCGGTCCATTGCGAGGTCGATCGAAGGCATCTCAGGTGGAAGATGTTGCGCAAGCGCTGCATCAAGGTCGTGCCATCGAAAAAATGAGGAGCCTTTCTCCATATTCACTGCTGAACTCCGCATGTAAAAATGAAGCTACAATGTTACTGCATGACTCTTCTAAGCCCACTACCCAGTGGAGAGGATGATATGTATAGCAATTCAGATCGAGTATCTCTGTTGTGTCGAGTGATATATGTGGCGCATGCTCACTCAACCAGTTGTTACCCCTACATTCTCCTCGTCATACCCCGATTCTAGTGTCTTACAGAGTGAACGTCCTATTGGGTCAAATCGGAGCCGTATATTCTTCATTCACAGATGTGTGCCATCATGCTCTCATGAAGACCACGATGCTCCAGCGGTTCTCTTCCGGTCTCAAGGTGGGTTGGTCGCCTTTTTCCCTTCGAGCACGCCATGTGCCTTTTGTGACAAAAGTTTTATCGTAGGTGTTTCCCTGGCTCACCTATTGTCGATGCAGTCTCATCACTCAGTTTCCAGGAGTTGCGGTTCGTCTTTCAGCCGGTTAAAATGAAGGATCTCCGGCCTTGGAGACTATTCGAAGCCAGAACAGCTCCATGTAACGTGTACGCTTGCTCGAAAACGAGCGTAACAGACTGAACGCATATACTGTTGAGTTGATTGACGAGTAAGGGTTAGAATATCGAGGAATTGGTGGAACAACTCCCCCAATTTCATGAACAATTGCGCAAGTTCGTTCTCAACAAGAATGTAGATCGGTTGGATGTTTGAGAACCTAATAGAACTACTAACTGGACCATGATTGTGCTTTTTCGTGGGCATTCACCATTGCCCCCTGTCTACAGTGTAGACAGCGTAGACAGTGTAGACTCTACACCGAAGGAGTGCCATCTATGTGACCCCAAGCACCACTTGGCATGCGGTATAAGGTCCGATTAGCTGTGACGATCGAACTTGGTTCGCGTAGGGAGTAACTTCTATCACTAACCATGAGAGCACACACACTCACATTTTGTATTGGCCGCGCTACGCCAGACGGCTTACTGATATTACATGCACTTGCATAACATTTTTTGGTGACATATGTGAGATTTGGTGGCAGTCTGTGAGGTAGTCCTCCTCAAGATAGGTTGTTAATAGAATGGCGAGTGGATTAGATGATTCCCTCATTAGAACAGGCAGTCCATTGGAGATGAACAATGATGACAGTGTAATACCGACCGTGATCGCTCGTCAAATCAGTATCATCGTCCTGGTGTTAATACCGATGCTGCGTTGTTGAGCTCCTCCTTGTCGTCTGGCTCCGAATAACTATCGCGAGACCATCCTGCTCTGTTGCGTCATAATGTACTCTTCTGTTATTGCAATCTTGGTAGTGGCAGGTTGTAGTATTAGTACATAGTAGCTGGATTTTCGTGGAAGGCGCAAGAGCCCAGGGGTGTGGCGTGTCGCTCGTCCTTGGTGTTTGAAATCTGCGAGCTTTCCCGATCACTCTCTGTCAAGATTCTCAAACCATCTCATAGACATAGCAGATCTCCGGATAGCGGAACTGGCAGAGTTGTTAGGCACCGCAACGGTAGGGACAGGATGAACCTAACATGGGAAAGATGTCTCCACTAGGTGCTTCCACGACGGCGTCGGGCTCTAGTCTCAGTGCAGAGGTTTATAACGATGTTCTGTTACAGAAGCAGGATGAGATCTTCAGTCTTGGTGAAGATATAACCTTGGCAGTGTCTGAAGGCCGATATAAGCGAGCGGCTTCCTTGCGGAGTGAGTCGGGGTGGTCTGCTGTGTTTCGAGAGTGTTGATGATGAAGCCTGCAGAGCGCTTGAGAGAGGCTCGGCAAGAGTACGATATGATGATAGAGAAACGCGTGGAGTACTTGGCTCAACTGAAACAGCAACAGCTTGCGGAATCATGGCGCTCGATGCGCTCAAGATTCGAGAAACGGTGAGAGCGGTATTGATTGGGCTCATCTCCACGGCTTCGATATTCTCTGGCATTTACTGGTTGCTGAGCTCTTTGTATTAAACTCACCAAGGTTCGTAGAGGAACGCAAACGGATAGAAGACTTAATCAACTCAACGAAGAACCAGCTGTTGGCACAGCATGAGTGAGTTCTCCCTCCCCTCCGGCTCCGAGAGTGGTACCGTCGCAAGTTCAGGCAGGAGCTGGTGGAGCTCGAGCAAACGTATGCGAATGAGGCGCTGGACCCCCGGCACTCGTGGGGCCCGACACTGCGGGATTTGATGAGAACCGAGCAGCGACTCGCCGCTATAGGAGACTTTGATGGCGCAGAGGAGTGAGTCGATCATCTGGAGCGGTAGTTTACTGAGTCGCTCAGCTGTCGCATGCGGGGACGAACGATACGACAGCGAGAAATGGAGGACTATCATAGGAAACGACAACTACAATATGAAACTACTAAACGGTACTGGGGGTTGAAAACAGGAATGGGTCGGTTTGATAAAAAGAGATTTGCATGGTGACAGGCATCTCCTACGGCGTCACCAGTCCGAGATAGAAGGGGTCGTCCGTCGGGGTGATCGCATGATAGAGTTGGCTCGGCGCAACTATACAACATCGCGGAACGCGTTAGACGCGAAGTCCAATTTCATCGCGAAAAAGGCTAGCACTACGCAAATCGATGAGCCATGCATCCTTCCTCCCAGGTTTCTCAAGAGTGTTACAAGTTCTCTATGTCGGTGAGGAAGCCGCCGGGGCACGAAACTACTCAGAAAGGGGCGCTAGGGTACCGAGGAGCGAAGTTTGGGCCTCCTCCTAGGAAATTGAGCATTCACCCTGATGGTGGAAGTCGGGACTTATGATGCTATCTATCGCCATGTCTCATTGTTACAGTTGCTGCCTGTTGTCCCCTTGCCGTTCCTGCGGACTCCGCAGTGCGGAGCAAAAGTGTTGAGTTGTAGTAGTCTTATGGTGGCATAAGAGTGTCCTGTCATATTCCTCGGTAGATGAGCGTCACCAGAAGGAGAAGAGATGGACGTGTGGCGAGACTTGGAGAGTTCAGCACGAGTCCTCCGAGCCATTGGCACGACGCTCGGGAATCTGAGTTGGAGAACTCACCGTTGCCCTCTAATATAAAAGTGGCTGAGGGCCTACTTTTACCCACTGCCAGAGCGGCGAGGCGACGGTCTTCGGCAATAGGTAGTGCCATAGTGGCACATCTTGTCACCTGTACTTTGTAAGATCGAAGTGACCTCCAGAAGGTCGAGCATAATATCATTTTGGCCATGGAACGCCAGAGTATGGAAGTTATTGAGTACGTCGATACGAGCTTGAGAGAGATCAAGCTGATGATAGGTGATGCCTGGTAGAGTCGATAAGGGTTATACTACATTCCACGAGAATCTAGGGCTGTTCCGTGAGAGTGTTGATAAAAGATCCTCCTTGTTATCGTTGTGTTCTCAGAGGAACTGTCAACCCGTCTATCGAGCAGATCCTCCCCCCTGTCTTCGGGTCAGTCACTTGCGTCGAAGCGGAGTGCCGATCGGGCACGTATGGTGAGTCTAATCGGCATCGCTTTTCCCAACCTCACACGGAAGTTCATATTTCTGTTATTGATTATCGGTGTTAGGAGCGTGACTCGGAGAATAGGCCCGTGCCTCCCATGGAAGCGTCTGTGAGGTCCGGCGAGGAGATAGAGGCAGAACGGGTGACAGGCGACTGACTACCCCTCCTTGGTGAAAATGGATTCCGCCTCTTTTCAGGAGCCTCGCGATGAGGAATCGACCGGTGAGCTACCTGACGACATGTTTCGTCCGGTGAGCACGCTGGACTTGGGCGCTGATACTGGTGGGGTTCCTTGGATAAGCCCAGCGAGGACGAGGACTATCGGGCGGATGAGTTCCGCTAGTAAATCGGATCGCTCTACAGTGGCTGGATAGGTGGTATGGCAGGCTCTGGGCGACCAATAACCACATGGGGAATGCTCAGAACTCCTGGAACGACAGGCCATCATATCGTCAGGCTACCTGCAGGGGTGCAGGATGATAGTGATAGTGACATTGACCACAATAAGAGTACTGATGATGAGTTGCCTCTGACCACCAGTGAGGAACCTTCGGTAAGACTCGGAGTATTTCTGTCAATGAGGACTTCAATAGCCCACAAAACCACAATCGATTTCGAATCCATCCGGCATTCAGAAGATGGAGACCGCGGGTTTTCGTGAACCCGCCAAGGAGAGTGCTTCCCAGAGGCCGGGGGAAATGACGGTACTTGCTTGCTTTTCCTCTTGCGTGTTATTGTTTGTACAGGGAATTCCTGAGAACGCCCCAGAGAGAATCTCTAACGATGGAGTTGTTGTTCAATCGTTGTCGCAGCCGTTGAACCATGCACCCACAGACGCCACCAGGAACTCCTCTTGTGTATCGACTGAGTGGGTCCTTCGAAATGAATATCATCGTCTGTTGTTAGTGGCACACTAGGTCTATTCAGGTTAGGAGGATCTCAACGATCAAACGTGGTCATTCGACGCTGGATCACTCCTCCAACACGAACTACTATTAGAGTGAGCAGCCCGATAAGGCAGTGGCAGGGTTCACTACGCTCAGTCCCATACTGCCGCAGCTCTGCGACCCAACCTACAGGGTTTGGCGATGACGCCTCCAGTGCTCTTCCCTCACTATCGTATGGTTAGCCCTATTGCAGCTGCTTTCACCCCGCCCACGGGTCTGGCTCGCCCTCCTGTACAGATCACACAGAGTGTCCCACTACGCCCTAGATATCATCCGTCTCCAGTGATAATTCGTCCGTACATTGTCAATTGTCTGCAGTCTTCATTGCAGGTCACGAGTACTATAACGAGAATGGGGACTCAAGACTGGATACCGCTTCCCCGTCCGTGATTCAACTAATTAGCTGTGCTTTTTTTCATTGAGGCAGTTGCCATGTGTGATGATATGCAACGTTTCGTAGTGTTCCAGTGGATATTGGAGGTGGCCCCATATTTCCTGATCCTTGAGTAGAGCATACGGTGACGTAACACTTGCAATTGTGCGACAAAAGTTCCCATAATTCCGCCAGACGTTTCCGAGCTCGTGTGACCTTTGATTAGCCTACTACTACGCTAGGAAATTCTTAGAAGTACTCCTTGAAGGCATCAATCATGTCCCTAAGATGAATCTGATACATACTCTAATTCCGAGGAAACATCACCATCGAGCTGTAATTTCCAGTGCAACAACACATCGAACAAACGGGTCAATGTTCTTCAAAGTTTGTTCCCTATTTCACTCAAACATCACGAGTCAATTCACTTTCAACAACACAACATACGCCTAATTGAGAAAGGCAACAGTTATCGACATATACTATCGTTAATAGAGGGTATAGTTGCTGTAATCAAACGAGTATCTCCTCTAAAAGTTGAGCAAGTGAGCAGCTACACAGCAGAATAAACTGCTTCTTCGGGTGCATTAAAACTGCTCAGCATGAAGTGAAGGAAACGGAGCAGAGAAGGCTCTTGTTTCGGGTGCCGATAAGCATGTTTATATCTTGTCCACTGAACCAACATTCTTAATCAGGAGAGTGCGAATCTCCGTCATATCCTCCATAGCATAACGAACACCCTCCTTTCCGACACCCGAGTCCTTGACACCGCCATAAGGCTCAGCATCCACACGGATGCTGGGAACGTCGTTGATCACAACACCACCGACCTCAAGATTGTCCCATGCGTAGAAGACACGGTTCATATCCGTGGTGAAGATACCAGCGTGAATACCGTACCTGCGAGAAATCACTTAGAATATACGTCTGTAATAGCTCCTACTTCGAATCGTTGACAGCATCGATAACGTCCTTGAAGTCGCTGAATCTGGTGGCGCAAAGAAGAGGTCCGAAGGCTTCCTCTCTCCACACAGTGGCGTAAATCGGTACATCAGCCAGGAGGGTAGGCTCAACCATGCAGCCATTTCGGCCACCACCGCAAAGAACAGTGCAGTTCACACTCTTCGCTTCCTCGATCCACCCGTGCAAGCGAGATGCCTCCTTTTCGGAGATCATAGGGCCAACAAAGGTGGACTCCAACTTGGGGTCGCCCATCTTCAAAGACTTGACCTTTTCAGTCAAGGCCTTCATAACCTGCAGAGAAGACGATAGGCAAAATCACTAGTGAGCAACGACCCCACCTCGTCATAGATGGTGTCGCGGATGTACAGTCGCTGAGTAGAGATGCAACTCTGACCGGACTGGTAAAAAGCACCAAAGGCAATGCGGTTGACGAGATAGTCCAAGCCTTCTTGAGGGATGGAGTCAACAACACAGGCGGCGTTGCCACCGAGCTCCAAGACAACAGGCTTCTTTCCGGCCTACCAAAAACAGATGCACGTTGACTATGCAAAACGAGGCCTACTCTGCTCTTCATGTCCCATCCGACTTGGGGGCTACCAGTAAACGAGAGAAGCTTGAAACGCTCATCAGTGGTGAACAAGTCGGCACCTGTTGGCAAAGCAGTGATAAGCTGCTAACCCGAGGATCAACTGACCATTTCTGGAGCATGGAAGAATCGAGAAGGCCTCGTTGGGGAAATCGGGACACTTCGAAAGGATCTCACCGATGATGAGGGCACCGAGAGGAGTGGCACTAGCAGGCTTCAAGACGAAGGGGCAACTAAGAGGAGTGATGGAGATCCCTTAGTTGGTGTGAGCAGCAACCTACCCCGCAGCGATAGCAGGGGCAATCTTATGAGCGGCAAGGTTGAGAGGGAAATTGAAGGGCGCGATCATTGAGACAGTTCCCTTGGGGACGCGCTTATAGATCTGCTGCAGACCCTTGTTGCGACTTGAGAGCTCCATGGTGGACCATTCACCATACACACGAGTGCACTCCTCGGCGGCAAGCTCGAATGTATCAATGAGACGATTTACCTGGTGACACGAGGCCCATTAAAATGAAGCAATCGAGAGGGCGAACAATACCTCTCCTCTGGCATCAACAATAGGCTTGCCAGCTTCGACGCAAAGGCAGTAGGCGAGCTCATCAAAGCGCTTGCGGAACTCGGCGACGCAGTGCATGAGGACAGCCTTCCTCTGATAAGCAGGCATCTGGGCCATCTTCTTCTCGGAAGAGTGAGCCTTCTCAATAGCCTTGTCGATCTCAGCCTCGTGAGCGACAGCGACATGGCACACTACGTTACCAGTGTACTTGTCAGTTACACCCAGCTCAGTGTTGGCGTAGACCGGCTCGCCAGCTAGGTAGTAGGGCCACTTCTCGGCGATTTTGGGATCAGCTACGAATGCCATTCTAATAGGGAGTACTTCTTATAGAATTAACTGCGCGAGGACCAGTCCACTAACATCCTTCCACAGCCCTCAGCTAGACCTATCTTTGCATCAACGTCATCTCCACAGCGCTGTGTCGAGAGTAGACACGTTACTGTGACCAACAGTGACGACTTCACAGATGAACAAATCAGGACATACTACAGCTGTAGTCACACAACGCGTCACCGATCGATGAGCAGGGCTCACCTTCACGGTCACGGTGAATTCACGGAGCTGCACTAATCCAGAGCATCACTAATCCCTAGAGGCAATGCCACGTCACACTCCGAGGAGCACAGCTTAACAAAAGTTTCGCCTGGCTCGTTGCTGTGACTACCGAAGTCTATGGGATTAAGGAGCAGCAGAACACAGCGTCAAGCCAGAACATGTTTTTGAACTACATGTTGACTCGAAACTATCCCCTGGGAGGGTGGGAGGGGAACCCACTTTGACCCATTTTGAAACATCTCAACCCACAAGGTTAGATGATTAGGTCAGCACGATACTGAGCAACGCCGCCGATCGCCAAACTTTTGATGCAATCAATGCTACGCTCCGCTAGGCTTCGCTCCGCTCATCCTAACATCACGTGCATTGATGAGCCACAAAAGTTTCGCCTGGCTCGTTGCTGTGACTACCGAAGTCTATGGGATTAAGGAGCAGCAGAACACAGCGTCAAGCCAGAACATGTTTTTGAACTCCATGTTGACTCGAAACTATCCCACTGCTTGTACCCCCATCCCAATGTGAAAACTTCAAAACTCATATTCATTTTGTGTGTATAATGGATTGAGCTCAGGTCATGCGTAATGTTCGCTAGCAGATACATCCGATAATGCATGGTCTATGACTTTTTCGACAGCGATAGCATTCACCTCGGGCATACTGAGATAAGCTTTGAAAGCGTTTGAACGCCAGCCGCCCATCCGCAATATTGTGGCTGCAGGGGTTCCCGCAGCAAGTAAATCCCTACAATGACCACGTCGATAGCAATGAGAAGCATAGCGACTGTGTTCAGGGACATGTAAAGCGGCCAGAGCTTGCTTAGTGTACGCATTGAATGAAGAATAAGAAAGAGAGGCGAATAGAGGCACAGATATAGTACACGTTCTCGAGTGATGTATAAGAGACGACAAAATTGCATGTAAGCATAAAAGTGGAGATGATTGACAAGTACAAAATCGATGGATTCGAGCACCACGCTGAGAATTTTTTCGTGAGAGAAGATGAATGGTGACAGCATTGTCGGATGTGAAATGTACGTCAGAAGACCTAAGAGTGAGAAGTTCGTCACGAACGCGGAACATTCCGATATAGGCAGCAACAGCGGCTGCCGCGAACAAGTATAGTTTACGATTCTTGGCCCATTCGACAATTTTCAGCAAAAGAGGACGACGAATAGCCAAAGATTCAGGGCGATGTGTAGACTTCTTAAGACCGGAGATGGCAGTTTTTATACGAGCTGAATCAAAGGGTGCGGTGTCCAAGTCCAGAATAATGCAGAACTTCTTAATGTGACTCAGGTAGTTGGCCGCGGTGAAGCCGTTGTTGAATGTAGCAAGCCAACGCATTAGCATCGACGCTGAGGGAGGTAAAAATTCGAAGGAGGTACCCGACAACTCGGACCATAAACGGCAAAATGCAAAGTAGTGACGTAGACCGGCGTTGTAGCTTGCTAACGTAGATGGAAGAACAGAGCGCAAAGGTAGTTCGAAAGCTGCTCTTTCGATGAGAGAGGTAATGTTGATGTTCTGATCTCCCATGTGTTTAAGGAACAATAGCTGTTTAGTCGGAGGGAAGGCTGCAATAATATCGTGTATTCTCTTATTGTTCAAAGTATAAGGACGTGTAGACGCAATTATAGCGGAAGGATCTACAAGTATGCGGCGTGGTACCGATGTGGATGTGTATGAAGTCTGTAATCGAGCACTTCGCAGTCGTTGCAGCTTTAATCTCGCAGCAGCAACATGCATTGGAAAAAGAATCTCGTCAGACATTGAGAGAAATGAAGAATTTTTGCTGACAAAGGAACAAAGAGTGAGTGCAAAACACAAAGCAAGAAACATACTTACACGAGTCATGAATATTGTAACATCACGTCGTGAGGGCATGCTGACAATTTCCATAATGTAGCAATGATGGATGCGGACTTGCCAACCTATACCGATCCCAAGAAAGGAAGTCGTGATAAAGTCTACGCGAAGGAGCATCGGCCAAGTTGAATTGACTTCGTACACCACCAATCCACATCGAAATGCCGAACTTTGCAGCTAAGAGCCAGAATGCAAGGACCAGGCGATTGAGCGAAGGCGATTTGGACGAACCTTTCAAGATCATGTGTTCTACAGATGTAGCGTCGATGAAGATCATTACACGATGATTACGGAGCATGGGACCGAATGTCGAGATTGCACAGAGGGCTGCACAGCATTCTTGGAAGACTATGTTAGGTGGATCAGAGCAAGAGATTGCCGAGAGAGACAAAGGTAATGGTTCTGAGAAATAGACATGTTTGTAGTGGGGGCGAATGAGACATGCTCCAAGACGGCAATCACCATCAGCATCAGAGTATATGATAGCCGAAGGAAGGCTATGTAATGAGGATAACGTCAAGCATCGACCATCAGAGAAGCTGCGTAGAAGAAAAAGTAATGATCGGAGACAATCGATGGCAGTGTGACTGAGGGAAGACGAACCAGACTTACGTCCAAAATAGATATGATCGTAAAGCACCCGAATGAAGGGTCTACCAGCACGGGAAGCAAAGGTAGAAGTAGCAAAAGTTAACTTACCGCATAACTTCAAGGCTTGACCGAAAGGTAGAACTCCCGATGAGAGAATAGTGACAAGAGAAGCACAAATACGGTCTAATTTTTCGCGCGGAATAGAAAGAGAAACAGCTCGCTTGTAGACAGATATTTTTATGCCTAAAAGGACCATGGCGTGAGAAGGTGAAGAACATTTCGAATTTTTCACTTTCCAGCCTAGAATAGAGTTCAGAAAGAGGAAGGAAGAGTAAGCAGAGTCGACAGTCGTTACATCTTCGCCTCCAGAAAAATCATCGATATAGCTAACGACGATAGTGGAAAAATATGCCCTGGAGAGGAAGACCAACGCTTGTGAGACTCGTAGATAGTTCCAGACACTCGATCTGGCTCCAAAGGCTGAGCGAAGTGTCTAAACAAATATAAATGGGCCGTAGACGGATTACGAATAGCGACAAGAGTAGAGAAAGTGTGTGGAGGAAACGACGCGACTTGTCGATAAGCACTCTGGTGATCAGCACTCCATATGCGGAGATCAAGATCATCAGGCCAGGAATCAGACAGAGTGTTGTACATCTGTGTAATCAAGTCAATGGTGGGTAAAGTCATACGACGATCGAAGTATTGGCAGTCGTTCAGACCCGAGGCAGTATAATCGTCACATGGCCTCGTTTTGGAGACCTGGCGTACGGGAAATCTTCGTGAAATCAAATAGCCAGTCGCATAACTGTCGCCGTCGATGGGGCCAGCCATGGTGTGGTTATCGACCTCATCAATAGCCGCCTGCCACAAAATGGCATCATCAGTACTCGGAGACTCGCGTTGCAAACGTTGGTATGTTAGGTCGTCCTTGAGAGAGTCCGTACGTAAAACAGTGTTGGGGTCAGTGTACGTCCATTTCTGGGAGACACCCTCAGCGAAAATGTTACCTGGGGTGTGGAAATTGCCATGGACTGCCAAACCATAGACCAACTCCAGTGCGAGTGACGAGTCACAATAGTTGGCACGACGTAACAGGACGGCCATGAGTGGAAGATGTAAGTGAGAACAGAAACCGAGGATTTGTGGATGCATTTCGGCTAACCAGAGTTGGCGAGTAGGTTCGAGAGCACGAGCAAGGCGGCGGATTTGTTTGCACTGAGAGCGGCGGAGACGTGGGACGCGATGTTGATTAGCGCAGACAAAGGAAATGGCGTGCTTGAGAGGAGCTGGTAGAGGATCGGTAAGATCGAGAGGATGACACAGAGCTTGAGTATTGCGCAGGTGCTCGTGCGGTGAAGTAAGATTCGAGCAATCAACAGAAATGGAAGTACGTTGTCTGAGAATCTGGGCGTCAGAAGAGGCGTAGTAGTGGATGTCATCATGGGATGTAGTTATCAGAGGATCGCACGCAGGCAAATGATTGTCTGACGGGAGGGGCAATAGCTTGATGGAGCCATCAGGCAGAGTGACAGGATGCAAGATATACTTCTCATGTCGGCGACTCAACCGACGACGCAGCGTACGTCTGTGTTTGTTTATTGAGGAGGAAGAGACAGACATGAAGGAGGTGTGTAATAGCTAGGAAAACTTGCACCCTTACTTAGCTACGAAAGAGACACAAGAGCCAATGATAAACATCGATGCAAAACATCAGCATATCATGCATCCATAGGGATAGGCGAGCTCATGCAGGAGTAGGTTTGTTACGTTTAGCAGCACGAGAGGAAGGGGAAGCTGCGGAAGTCCCCTGAGAATCACCCCAAGTAAATGTACGAGTTTGTACGGGTTGCTTGGCAGGAAGAGAGTCGGCGCGACGTCTCTGAGGAGTGTTAGCAGAGCGAGCATAATGAGGTGTGGACTTGTTAACAGCAATCCCCCAGGTATTAGAAGAGGAGGAGCTAATGAAGTCACAGATGTCATCGACAGAGACGGAGTTACCGAGCTTGGTATGGACGTCCTTGAGTAGAAAGGTATGGTAGAGCTCACAACACTGTGTGTTAACCACCTTCCCTTGGATAGTATCTCCCATGCTCGAAATGGTGTTATCACAGTGGGAGAGCAAAAAGCCCAGCCCAATGTTACCCGTTAGATGGGTGGTGCAAGCCCAAACAAGAAGGCAGTGGATGAGGGTTGAGAGCTTGAGTGAATTATCAGCATAAGTAGAGCCCTTGTCGAGAGAGCAGTAAGAGCGTAGTGGTTTGGAGAATAGCACACGAAGGCGATCCACATCCTGGAAAGACATGATGTCGATGAGGATATCGGGGGGGCAGTGAAGAGAGTAGGTCAATCCACGTAAAGAGTCACGATCACCGAGGAGCTCAGCCAACGTTGGCGCCTGACGCTTGATACGACCGGACGATGGAGTTAGAGTGAGCAAGTGAGAGAGACTGTCAAGCCAAGGAGTGTCTTGTTCGGGGAGAGAAGTGGTAGCAGGGGGAGCAGCACCCGAAGAAGTATGCAAGGCAGAGGCGATGCGGATAAGCTTACGGACGACCAATTTCAAAGCGGGGGCACAGTCGTCAGAGGAAATCCCGAACAGACTCTCGTAAGAAGGACCACCGAGAAGGTGGATATCTTCCAAGGTGTGAACGGTCGCGGCGAAGGAGTTGCGGAGGACGAGTTCGGTCAACTCGGAATCAGTACTCAGAAGATGCAGGGCATCGGTAACCGAGGACTGCGGGTGGAGCTGAGCCGAAAGGTCAGATATGGTTGTCATAAAACGGGACAGAGCTGAGTGAGGGAGATCCCGGAGGCAACAGATCGCGACCGTTCGAGCGGAAAAAGGGGCAGAACCCAAGAAACAACCACCTTGTAACAAGTGGAGAAGGATATGAGGCACGTGGCGATAGAGCCAAGGCCGGGAACCCACTTTGACCCATTTTGAAACATCTCAACCCACAAGGTTAGATGATTAGGTCACGATACTGAGCAACGCCGCCGATCGCCAAACTTTTGATGCAATCAATGCTACGCTCCGCTAGGCTTCGCTCCGCTCATCCTAACATCACGTGCATTGATGAGCCAATCAGGCTCAACGTAAAAAGCGCACGCCCTAAATATCTTTAGTGTCGTCGACGTTCTGTTCATATCGATGCAGGATTCAGTGGTAATGTCAGCCACTACCAGTCAACAAGGAGCTCACAACAACAGCAGTGATGGGCAGGCTGGAGGAGAGGGAGGAGTCAAAAAGAACGAGGGTGCTCAAGATCAACTCATACCACCCTCGTGAGAGGCTCACGAACATTTCCGAAGTAGCTCCACTCAGATATCCTTACTCTCTGAGGTCACCGGTTGCCAAGAAAAAACAGACTGACGAGGTAGTAGCGCAACGGACCGGATCGAGGAAACGTCGAAATAGGTCTCCTCGAAGACTAGCAGGAAAAGGACAGGATCGGCGACCAGCAGCATCGATAGTGCTGCCGCTACTATAGGCTCTGGTACTCCAAACCTCCGTTGCATAGGAGATAGCTCCTCGATCAGCTGAGCAAGAATGCATAAGTATGGAAGTTGCTTCCGCTGGTGATTTGATCAGCGCTAGGCAAAGGTCTAGGAGCAGGTCGAGGGTCCCCTCAAATGATGGAGATGTGAAGACCCAAGCGTGAGTAAAAAAGCTTGTTCTAGACTCGGACCGCTGTTGGTCTTAGGGTGAAATCTGTAGAGAAGGCTCCCAAGAGGCGAAGATCAGGTAAGGGCGTACCATCCTCCCCAGATGCTGACTTTAGTCCAGTGCGCCTCTCTCCCAGGGTTTCAAGCGCATTCCGTTTTCAGGGAGTAGTAGAAGAGAAGTGAGTGGCGCGCCAGAAGCCCCTGGTGCGGGTCCCCCTATTGCCGATGTATATTGGGTGCAATGCAGCAGGTAATGCCGGCTTTCTGAGCACTCCATATGGTCTCGACTGTCTCAGCCCTACCTGTGAGAAGTGGCGCATTGTCACTAAGGAGATATTCGACAAGTGAGCATCGCCATCGGACTAGGCTGAGTGGCCTATCACAACGACAGGTTCAATGAGAATCCGGATCTGCCTGTATACTGCGCACAGCTCGGTAGTGCATGCTCGGAGCCAGATGACGCAGAGAACTATAAAGCTCCCGAAAAACAGTAGGGCTGATAGGAGATCAATGCGCAACATCTGCCTTGCAGGAGAGAGAGTACAGCCGACGATATGCAATCGATTCCTCCCCAGCCCTCCGCGGTACCTGTTATTATCACAACCGCGCCTACAGATGAGATTCGAGAGGAGCAAGAAACGGTTGTTAAGACAACTGAGCAGGAATCCTCAGTGGATTCGCAACCCGTCGAGCATCCACTCGTAGGTTGAGCCGCTGAGGGTCTCGATTAGCCCGTGCTATGGCAGGTATGATCCTCCGAGAGTGAACATGCATGCTAGTATTTTATGCGTACATTGAAACGCTCCTCAACCTATCATCTCTGCAAATCTGAATTCCGTTCTGAGCGGTTTGCAGTTGGTGAGTTCATAACACCGATAGTGTAGCCATTCTCGTATCGTATCCATGCTCATTAATATCATCGATTCCGTACAATAAATTGCTTTTCAGACTTCCTAACGCCAAGTGTTGATCTTTCAGTCCATGAGGGGTGCTATGGTCAGTCTTAGAGCGTGTTGATGCTGTCTCTAGATGCGCCCGCACCCACCGAGGCCTCATGGGTTCTCATCCCTGTTGGAGTCGTCGATCCAGAAACTTCGGGGAGAGGTTCTAGGCGGGGGAAAACAGTTCCCGAGTGGGGCGTCTCAAGGATGGCTGTCGAGTAGAAACGATCGCATAACGAGCTCCAGTGTTGTCAGTAAGATACTATCGACATCAGGGTCGCGAGACCAAAACAAGGCTCATCGTCAATGCTCAAGATGCAGCAAGTCTCCCTGGTGAATTCAGAAGCTACGCTGTGATAGTGCCGAGCCGAGCATGGCTGGGAGCAGTAGCAAACGTTGTACTAAGGGCGATCTTGGGTTCTCTTATTCTCTGTTCGCTAGGGGTATACGAATTTGCCGCGCATGACGACGTCTGACGACGTGATGTCTGTGGCGGCATCTTGCCAGCGTACGCGCGGAATTCTCCACAGCAAAAACATTCTGTAGGTATCATGGACATTACTGTTATGCAAACAGTTGACGACCGGTGGCTATTCGTGTCAAATACTCACCAACCAGAATTGGGATCGTTTAGAGGCTCTACGAGACGGCCGGGTAGATGAGCATCTCGCGGAGTGGTGGAACGCTACGGGGCGGAACATGAGAGTAATTCTGTGGAGTTTCGAGTCTGCCGAGCTCCTTTGATCTCAGATAGCGTACACTGTCGTCGACGGTTTATTCCGACCGCATGCTAAGCCGGCGGACACTCCTCCCGGAGAGCTCAGTGATCAACGAGAAGGAATTCATCGCGAATGGATTTTCGAATCGAATGCCCGTCACATTTAACACTAGCTGTACAGTAGAGATAGTTGCAATGGAGCACACCGTGACGAAGTGAATGCATTTCGGCGGTGTTCAAATTATGTCGAGAATGACAGACGTTTGGTTATGGTGTTTTTGATGAGTTGCAATATTCAATCAGAACAATGTCCTTGCGATGTTACATTCAGCTTCTTTTCACTATTTTCTCGTATATGATGTTCGACTCAGACAGTCCGAGGATCATGGTGAATGACTCCCAAGTGGCGCTCCTTATATGGGAAGACGTAGGTCTCGAAAGTTCTTCTGAGGTGGATCATTTTCGGCATAGTACTGGTACTATTCCGAATCTATCTATTGCCTTTTCTGTTCTCTCTTGCTCTCCCATTTCGGTCTCGCAAGAATTGAGGCGGTCGTCGTCAGAGTCTTAATGCTTTATCGTGCCCTTATGACCCTGCCTTCAGCCCCGGACCGGAGCCGGAGGTATTGTCTCCAGGATTTATGGCACAAGAACTTGGACATTATAGATTCTATAATATAGGAAAGAATCATTTGTCATAGTAGTTATCCATACACCACTACGAGATTTCAAATACTAACTCCGAACATTCACCGCACTGAACCAATTGCCTGTGAGTTCACTGGTCCAGACGATAGGTCAGTTTCTCAACAAGACGTTCATGCATGGTACTCAAGACAGTGACCATTAAAGAGAGCTAAAGAGATGATTAATTTCCTACTAATGCATTCACTCTGAAACTATCGGATGAAGAATGCGAGTAAACGTACAGTTATCGTCGGGTGCTTTCTAATGCGTTGTTTTCACTTTCGAAATAGGACAGATATCGTAATCTACAAGTCACCGAACTTGAACGCGACACATAGCTCGATTCATCTCGCGTCTGTACAATTTCCTATGCTTCACTCTTGATACGCAAGAGTTGATGCTCACTGTGGATAGCTATGTTCAGTAATAGTACAACGTAATTATATCATCATAGATAGTAGCTCAAATGGGGATGCTGAGCTTCTCAAACTCGTGAGATTCAAACTCATGTCAAACCCTTGGATGCCGCCGAGAGTGGTGGAGGAACGACACGGAGTTCGATTTAGGAAGCACTATTCATATTTGACACGATTGTCGTGAGCTGCGGCAATAAATCGTCGATAAGGAAATGATCTTCATCGCGGACGTAGGTCCCTAAAAGCGTTGAGAGAACGTCACGAAGTCTTGGAGATGATCATCCTAGCCTTACCGTTGAGGATGTCTGCAATATGATCCCTCATAAAGGTGTACGGAGGAACAATCGGAAAACAGCAGATATCAGTGTCAACATCGTGCCATATGCTGCTGCCACTATCATCAACTATAACCACCTGAAATGACCATAAACAGCAATTACTCCGCGCGCCCGGTATTCACATCCACCCAACTACCTTCTCGTATCCTGCCGGGAGTACTTCAGTGGACTTATCAGTGCCGATGCCAAGCTCTTGGCTGCTATATATTCGCCCATCGAACAGACACCCACTGGGGTCTAGGTGACGCGCTATGAAATGTACGTAGTCTGTGCTACTGAAGATTGAAAGATAACTGCTACGATCCGGGTTTTCGAAGAGCCTGCTCACCTAGCCGCGCTGAATATGGCCAAATCTGCTATCTCGCGTGACTGCGATAGAAGCTTCCGCACGCCAGGTCGCAGCTTCACGTAACTATCGAGGGCTACTGACTCACCGATGAATCTGCAATCCGAAGGACTCACACGAGATCCCACGCGCTGTCTTCTCCTCGGTAGAGTAGGACCTCCCGCTCTCCCGTTTGTTGATTAACATAAACGTTGGGATCCAGCGGTTGTGGCACGGATGAGAACGGCATCGAGGAGGCTGAATAGAAATGGTATCACCAACATTTACCGATCAGAATTCACCCGCGAACAGAGACGGGCAGAAACGGTTTCCGTTCCCAGCGAACGGGAGCGGAGACTGTCGTGCGATCCTACTTCGATATAAGCTGCGACTGATCAAATTGGCATTATTAATTCCGATCGAGTTGCTATTGCCGTGATACGTAGTGCCGCCAGTCAGACGCCGAGCACTCATGGAACGGTGGAACGAACCTGAACCAAACTGCGATCACCAAGACGCGTCATAAGGTGGAGTAACATGGAAGTTGAGTTTACTGTGGTTTCGGTAGCACTGCGGCCCTCCCCTCCTCATACACTGCTCAGCTACCACTACTCCGTGGCGACCTGATGATACTAACGTTTGGTCTAGATCGAAAACGAACAGTGCGGATCGATTCCGAACTTCTGTTACGGAATCGAAATCATTGGTGCCTGAAGAACATGAGAAAGTTGAAGCATATCCGACAGAACAATAGCAATTCTCCAGCTTCCAATGGCACCCATTCGTGTGAGAATAAGTCAATGAAGTATATCAAGACAAGTAATCGGCCAATCAGAGTGGCCTCCCATAATCACCGTCGCGCATACGCATCCTACTACCCGCACTAGTAGCATTCGTAGCTACGCTGACAATATCGTCACCCTGTGATAATTCCGAGTCTGATGACAGTGCCCTCCGTTCGCTGGTAGTAGGCAAGAGCCACTTCGATATAAACCCGTCTCTCTTCTGTCCATCATATCTCCTATCATCGTCATCATCGTCACCGTCTTCTCCGCCAGGTCCACTGCCACCTCTCGAGAGCATTGAAAAAAGTTATGATAAAAAACTCCAACACCAACTGACGAGACTCCCATACCACCACTACCCACGAACTAAGACAGTCGGTCGCCCCTCGCATTCGCCTTCACATCTCGCGCCTGACACCCCCTAGTAACAACGACAACACCTTGAGAATGCCACGATGACGTTTAAAAGACTAGTGGATGTCAATAATTACAGTTAAATTTCGCGCCAAGCCGACACTATAACGTCACGAAACAACGTCGCAGTAGACAAGATCACCTTTGTTTCGCATACACATCCAGAATTGGAAGAGTGAACAGGAGTGCCATTATGCGGCTTTGGACTCTTTGCGCTGCAAATAGCCACTCTGCTCATACTCATCAAAACGTTGAATAATAACATCAGCATATTGGGAACACAAAATTACCACGACTGTTTCATAGTAACTCTCCCGCGCTTGCGAAATGAAAGACCTCCTGCCCATTTGCCTACTTCAATAATCTTATGTACGTTCGTGGCGGCGTAGTGGAAGGAGTGCCCTTAGCACTATTCATATTACAATTACTCATATCAGATGGACCCGAAAGTTAGTCTCCGATATTAAACACGATTATACAAATATCTACCTCTTTTTCGACTACAACTACTACCACGCCAACCACCGCAGAACAGTACTAAAATAGAAGACAAGTATTGAGGAGCTCCTATCCAACTAAGTACAAAATACTAAACCATTGGTCTCCTCATAGTACTGGCTCCAATGCAAACAGTCGGCAGGGGCCAGACTAGTGATAATATCAGCAACTACCAACGGATGACGATCAATACCACCATATCGATCGACCACTGAAAATATATCATTTAATCAAATACTTCACAACTACGATGGAACGTCAATACCGCTGCTATTCAACTTACTATAATTCTGCAGTGAGAGACAACGCATGTCCGAGTCAACGGGCTGGCGCGAGTTAGTAAACGTATCATCACTCCTTCTCGACAGAAGACACCTTCTCAGACTCCCCTACACCAACTGAGTCATTCGGCGCGGGCATGACGTTGACCGTAGGGGCAACCCCCTCATTAGAATCCCACTGGCAATTCGCACTATCTACCGATATGCTGGCCAACAACTGGGATAAGGCATCCGTGTCGAGGTCTTCCATACCACTGCTGTCATCAACCGCCACAGGCGTACCCGCATTGGCGGATACATTGCTTCCCTCCATGTCCGAAGGAGGAGGCGTCGTCCCGTCTCGTTCTTGTTGTTGCTGCGAAAACACATTCGATGGCGGCGTCACCGTCACGAAGGGAGTTTCCGGAACTGCTTGGGCTGTGGCCACCTGTAGTAGATGCGCGAGAGCCACGTTACTCATTTCCACTTGTCTTCGAAGCTCCTCGTTTTTAGTCGCCAACGCATGAAGGGTAGATATCTTGAGGCTACTTCGAGAGCGCGACCCATCAATTGGAGAATGACCACTCCTCCGTCTAGGATTCCCAAAGGGAGCACCCATAGTGTACCCTGTCGGTGGTGTGGGGAGTAGGGAGGACTCGGGAGAATTCCAGGGCTAGGACCCTCAGTAGCACCATCACCAGTCTGCGCCATGAGGCCATGGACGGTCAACAAAGCCCGCTGCTCACCAAGCACTTTCTCATGCTGCATGTCAACCCGGGCAGTGTCCATATCAGAAGCCTCACCTGGCTGTCTTAGTTCCTCCAAAGAATGTGCATAGGTACACTCGGGGTCGTTGCAATGGGGTTTGGTACACATCTTAGTCCTGGCCAAGTTGGGCTTTTTGAAGAGCTCACTGTCATAATGAGCAAAAGTACAGGAGGCACCGTAGTGACAACGACCCTTGAGGAAGTGCTTACAAACACGTGTTTTACGTAGTTGTTGGCGGATGGTCGATTCCCCTTCACCAGTAGGTGGGCCAGCGTACGGCGATAAGACAGAGGATGCGGAGGGCCAGTCAAAGGGATCCGATAGGGCAGCCCCAGGGGGCTGCGGCGACAAGATCTCCCACGAGCTTGTGTCGAACTCAGAAGGGACCTCCATCTGGGCTAATCCAGCCGCGGCTGCAAAGCGATTTGTTGTTCTCTTCTTCATCATGATTGTACACAGATAAGAACTACAGACAATAGTTGTGAATAATGCTCGTCCTGTCATACCGTCGACCTTCACGATGCTACTTAAGTAAACGAGCCGAACTAGCAAGTCCAGAGGAATATTCAATATATTTCCGACGCAAACTGTCTATCACTTACTGCGAGGAGCTATCGGGAACGCGTGGGCACAAGTGTGACGCGGAACCAGATATGAAAAAGCGCGCGCCCAGACACTATAATAGATCGGGGACATAATGTCCCGGACATCCCGTCGCAGCTTATGTCCCCGAGATAACTAACAGTTCTGCGGTGAAGAAACAATGTTCAATAGATTACACGTAAATCGACTATTTTGGGCAGTACTTCTCGTCGAGGACAAGAACCTGAAACAAAAAAGGACTACACCAATCCCATATCATCAGTGAAAAAGAAAGAACAAGGAATACAACAGGGCGCCTCCTATTAGCAGAGAGGCACTTATGATGGCCAACGACGTACATTATAATGTTTTCGACCGTCGAAGAGCATATGACAAGTAATGGGCTCCTCCATATCCCTCCCATCATTGTCTGACACCAAGACGAAGCTGAACCCAGCCCTGCGAGAATCCAGACACCCACTTCGTCTCCGAGGAACGTCCTTTTCAATCGGTGGAGCGTGAAACTTGTAGCACAATACATATTTCCCAGTCTGGCTCTTGGGAGCATCTTCATGTTGCCATACGTAGACATCGCAGTTGTAGATCCTGCCAAGATAACGAGACATGGTCACGCGAGAAGAAGGGACCTAGCAGTACATGGACGTAGCCACCAGCTCAATCTCCCCACCCCACGTGTTGTCCCGAAGGAGGTTGTTGCAATAGCTGAAGACAAGCAAGGCTACGAACTACACGCTGGGGAATCGCTACTGGTCGAGCGTCCGTGAATTAGACTCGGCTTTGATCCAGTCTTCGAGGGTAAGGCCATTGAGCTGAGAGTAATCCTATGCTCACACCGAAGTTGCACAAAAGTTGGTGACAATATGAAAATTCAGATAAATTTTCGGGAAATTACTGTTGGTTTCTGTAAACTTCCACCCGAATTCGCGAGGAAACTCTTGAGCTCAGCTGAGGAAAGCGAACATATTCCAACACGGGTAACTCACTTTCACAGTTGAAGCATTGTGCCTGAGGAAGCCTGACAGCTGGCGTCGTATAACATGCTGAGGCTTATTCAGCCAATACCCCAGCCCATGGAAAAGGCAGGAACCATCTGGAGGCTGGCGGATCTGACTCGCACAGTGGAGGTAATCCGATATAGAATCTTGGCGTTCACTCACCACGCGGCAAATCTTCTCGGACAGCGTCGAGCGGCCGATTTCAAACCTGAGTTAGAAACTCGAACACTGTTGACGCTGGCCGCTTTCGAGTAGATGAGCATTTAAGAGACGCTAACAAACAGAGAAAGACCTGCGCTATTACGATGTTTTCCGTTTCATTGCTTTCCTAAGCTTGGGGTCAGAAGGTATCCACTCCCCACCGTCATCATCATCATCAGGCTCCTCATCATCATTCACCCCACTAGCTGTCGTCCCGGGCGTTCGAGCGGGCTGGTCAGTAGCTTTCGACGGCACATCCCCGGCCTCAGGTGCAGCGCTAGTTGCCTCCACCTTTGCTTCCTGGTGGAGACCTTCCAGCTGAGACTCCTACAAACAAATTCGTGGTGATCTTCGAAATGGCAAGTACTTTGAAACAGCAACAGATGCACTCGCGAAAAATTTGATCCAACAGTGTTTTTCAAGCTTCGGTACTACGACAAACTACTCCCCCCAGAGTGAGCGTTGAACCCTCTTCCCCTAGTACCAACTCGGGTCGCCTGGCTATTTTCAGTCGCTGTTGTTCTGTGAGTGTCTTGCCGCTCTCCGAGGCCTCCACCAGTTTGTAGATATCGTGAAGCTTCTTCTTCACACTACGAATTTTTGCTCGACGTTTTTGACCAGGCGCTGCCTCATCTGAAACCGGAGGCAGTCGACATCGAGAACCAACGCAAGAGCCGATCCGCCGACACTCCTAGTGAACTACCTTCCATCGCTGTGGTCTTTATGTTTTCGGCCTCACTCGGCGCTGACTCGCACGCCTGTTCTTGGCCCGTGCTCTGTGGTCCATCCAGTGCACAATTATCAGATCCTGGAATAGCGTCCTCTGACTTCTGCGTGTTCTGAATTCTCTGTATTTCATCCAGCAAATCCTCTTCCCGAGCAAGCTTCGCCCTGAGAACACTCAACAATTCAACTGTAGATAGATGAGCAACCACAGATTTGCATTCGTGAAACACACGTCCAGCCATCTTGATCAGAACTAACGAGAGCGACCGCGTCTTACCTCTGGGGGCCAGTTAATAGCTCTTCTCTAATCTCCCCGTTTTCTATCTTGTTACGCAGAGCCCTCACCTCTCGAAGTTTCTTATTCAGATTCCGCAAAAGTGCGGTAGTGTTAGAGGTCGACATACAGATCGATGAACTTATCACTTCTTCCCTTCGGCGAGATGATTGAAGCACACGTCCTTTCTGTGGCGCGAACGACTAAGGCCGTACGACTTTCGAATGTGAAACGTCCCAACTCCATCCAATGCAACGCAACACTCAAAGTCGTTGCTAACCACAATCACTAACAGCAGCATGCTCATTGTCCCTCTACCTTAGAATCACTCAGAGCTGTGTTCCCGTTGAGAGCCTCCAGCTGAACAAGCACTTTTACTCCCACGCGGCCCACACGATGACGGTAAAACCACGACAACAATCTTACTTTTTGCTCACACAACTTGATAGCGAACTTGTATATTCGGGCTTGAGCTTCTTCATTAGACACTTTGTCCACTCCCACAGGATTACAACGAATCACCTACACTACGTCACACATCCCAGGCTCGCCAACCGGTACACTACTTCTTTCGTCAGGTACTTCAGCACCTGATCCAAAGACAATCATGCCAAACGAACAAAAACAACCATCCTAGAATCGGTTCGTCGTAGTCTTACTTCGTGTAGCTGTTGCGGTATCTGTATTTGCTCGGGGCAAAAGATGCGTTCCCCAGTGGCTTCAACTCCCGAAGGCTCCATGTTTACTTATACTGCCGATCACAAAACGCCCACTTCCATCAGCAACGCGATACATCGTCACGGGCACACATAGAAACAATGCACTGCACTTGTTAGCGATCAAACGACAGAGTTGCCAAGCACAAGCACGGGTGCCGACAGCACCGCTCAGTCTCACAGTAGAAAGATGCCTGCCCTAGCAATGGTCATTAATGTAGCTCTCGATGTTGAGGTGAAACTATTCATCTGAGACACTCCGACATCCGCGTGCTTTGAAACTGCTCTCCTTACGCTGTCAAGGCGTTGAGCTTTTTCTCACCGAGGGACAATTCGTAGGTCATATTCAGCTTCTTCGCCTGAAGCGATTTAAGTGAAATTAGTCCCAACGTTTTTCGCATCGTTATGCGTTACATCGTTGATAGCATCCTCAACTTCCTTCTTAGTAGTAGCCACTCGAAGCTGCTCGCGGACGGACTCAGGGTTGGGGCCAGACGCGACAACTAAACCAGCATCGTGGATAAGCTATCCTGAGAAATGCCACTGCGCTCACCACTGCTTTCACTCTTCCTCTTGTTCTTCAACTGTGCTTGACGAGCCTTAGCCTACACACCACCACTCGGAACTTCCTCCATAAGCTGATGTTCTTACCTCGGCAATCAGTTGTTGCAGACTTTGCTCCTGAGAGCGACGATATGTTGACGCCGCAGACTTCTTATCGGTAGCATTAGAGGAAGGTGATACAGCTGCCTTGTCGCCCTTAGTGAGGACCGAGGAGCTAGGACCAGCACTTCCAGGGCTGAACATGTAAGAACATACGTAATAGCCAATCACCAGGAAACATATCGCAAACTTCAGTCAACCTCACCTCCGTTGGGTCTTGCGACCCTTCTTATCAGTGGAGCTCGACTGAGTTTTCGGGGAGGAACTGTTACGCTGCTTGGGAGAATCGGTCGTAGGCGTGTTAGAATCAATACCCTGAGGCGCCTCCGTGCTCACTCCAAGTAAATACACTCCTATCGCTCACCATAGTCAACTGGTAAAGCTGTGTGATAACACTGACGAGTTGCTTCTGCTCCGACCTCTTCTGGGCAAACTCCGAGTGTTGCTCTTCATACCTGGCACATTACGATTGAACCTCGCTACCACTAACATTGCGACATACTACCTCTTCGTGAGATCAGATATCCTCTTCTTCAGCTCCTCATTCTCCTTCTCCAGATCTTCGCCGTTCTTACCTACACAATACTACCTCAACGACCATCACGACCATCAATGACATACTCGGGCTGTTCTCAACGCTCTTCTTCCCCTTGTTCTTCTTATTCCCACTGGTACTCTTGGGTGTCTCCTTAGGTGACTTCTCGGTCACACTTCCTTTCGAAGCACTCGCCTCTTCCTTCTCAACCTCAGTCGGCGTAGTACTAGTCTTTGTCGCTTCAGGAGTTCCCATCTCAGTTGTAATTGTTGAAGTGACCTTAGGTTGGGACACCTCAGGGACTCCACTTTCAGCAGACTTCTTCTCCTCATCTTTCCCTTCACTAGTGGACCGCGCAGCATCCTCCTTCTTAGCCACTGCGGCCTCATCACTGCCAGTTGCTGCATTGGTCTCAGACGTTCCCTTGGGCTCTTCCTCAACTTTAGTAACCGTAACACTAGTAACCTCCACTCCTGTATCGGTTACCTGAAACAAACATTCCCATGATTCATCAGTCGTTAGTCCCACCTCTTCGGCGACTGCGACGGTGGATTCCTCAGCCGCCTCTTTCTTCGGCGAGTCAGTTGTCAGCTTGGATAGAAACGAGAACATATCCCTCAGGGGGCTTCAGAAAAATAAAGCACAATACTGTAATACACTCGAATCTACCGAGGCCCCATAGTAGTTGCCCAACACTGCGCTGCAAGTTAACAAAATAGCCTACGATCAAGCCTAGACGGGCTGCAAAGACCAAATGAAATGATACCATCACAATAAGGACTCAGCCTTGACCAGGAGTGGAGTGCCGTAGCGCCTCCAACAACTGGGCAAATAACCATTACTATTTAAGCATGAGCAATAACATGTCTCCAGGCACCCAGCCAGAAGTGTACGGGAAGTCTTATAAGCACCAATACGAGATCAACACTTACCTAGACCCGGAGTAACGGCACCTCATCGAAGGTAGTCTCACTCACCAAGTAGAAAAGGAGTAGTAGGTCTGGATACGAGGCCTCTGGAAGCCGTACATGCGGTAGTCCATCGATCTGTAGCGATCGAAGCACATCTTCTTACACTCCAGTTCAACAGGGCGGCATTCGGAGCAGCTGACAAGAGTACGTAACAACTGAAAAACCTTCGCAAACTGCGCTCACAATTTATCCTGGGGATGCATCCAAGTGAAGTCGTAGCGTCTCTGATTCATGAAGCGCGACTCCAATGACACTGGCCTCGGCGGCTTAGTGCCCTGGTGCTTCAACTGAGAGGCAGATAATCGATGATTATGTCAGAGAACAAGTCCCGGCAAATACCGTACCTCTTGCAGATCCAGGTAGGCCGAATAAGGCGTGGCGAGGGTGCAGCAGTAGAAGAGGAAGAGCAAAGCTGACACGAAGCACTTACGCTACCGCAAGGGGCCTATTGTCGAGCCTACTCTTTCTCTCCCACTCAGTCCACATACCAGAATTCTTACGGAAATAGGGATCCATATCAAGGATGAACTCGCGACGTGAGTGCCACCTGAAGAGAAAGGCAGTGACAACGCAGTTGCAAGCTCCTACGACCCTACCTTGTGAGCATTCCCGTAACATCAAGCCAACGAAGGATTTTTTGGTTCAGGGTCTCGCTGGTGGAGATGTAGCCGATCCTCTGCACGTGACGTGGGACCCCACGTGGGCAGCTACGCAGAAGCGACGACATTTATGAGGATGTCCGCGAGCGTACACTGAAGGAGTCACATCTCAACTAGCTGGGCGCTCAAGTCACATAGCGACAAATACCCGAAACCTAATGGGCGCCCCCTGGTGAGGGATTCAACACAGCAAATACGTAGGTGTGGTTACACGTAGCAGAAGGAAAACGTAAAAAGTGGGAAGGCAGCGGGTAAGCTCAACCACTGATATCATCACAGAGTGGCCCCGAACGAGGCATAGGCTAAGGAATCTTCGACATTCGATCTGAATGGCGAGATCTTATCAACTCTTGCAATCTTGCGAAAAAACTCAACGTCAACTTTACAGTGAGAAATGTTAATCTCGCTCGCCCTAATTCAGCAAAGTGACTGTTTCGTCCCCGCGATCTAGTGGAGCCCTTCTCCTTAACGAACTCTATTTACGTTCACGGTACATCAAGTGGCTTGATGTGGGGACATTGAGGCATCGTCACTATCGTCGCTATCGCCGAGTTCAACCGGTGTAGAAGCAGCCTTCCGCATCGTAGACCCTTGCCTAGCGAGCCCTTTCACGGCCCGCTGCATACGCTTGCTGTGCACATCGACAACGCGCCCACGGTCAAACTTCGGCGCGAAGTAGTCTGTTATCCGCCTCTGTATCATCGTTGACTTCTCCTTCTCCAATACTGGCCTCAGCAACTGGTCAACCTGACGTGACCGAAACGATCCCCAACCAATCTATGAATTCAAATGCCTACCGATTCCTGCGTCATGTCAGTGTATCTGCTCATAAGACTCTCGATTTCCAAGACATCCGGTTCCGCCCATGAAAAGGGCTCCTTGCTGTCGTCCACCACTGGATTGCTCAGAGCATCCCAAACCTGCCGCAAATAACACATGATCGAACGCCAGAGACTCAGCGCGTCACATCTTGTCGAGGAAAGTCCTTCGGGAATGTCCACGTGGACCTGTAACCGCCATGGTCTCTCTTGAACTGCCGAAGTTGCAGAGAATCGACACTTTCCTCGCCTGCCACCGGCGCCTCGATCTCCTTCGGATCCTCCGACACCAATGCTGATGCCCAAATACGAAGCTGCAGCAACCTGAATTTTGCTTTCCTCCAGCGGCAATCACATCACATTCCTCACCTCTCCATGCCCACATATCCAGCCTGTATGATCTCCAGGGCATTCACCGCGCCAATTCCAAGCACTCCAGGAGTGTAATCACAGCCTAGTAGCATCGCCAATGAAACCTAAACCTCTATGCTCCATTGCTGATGCCACTGGCAATATGACCTACCATCGCGTCGTGGTCCCTGAGCCTGTCGGGCATCCTGCTGCTACTATACATTTCCACGTACATCGCGTCAAAGTACAGTCTCCGGAGCACCACTTCCGCACCGTACATCAATGTATCGCTATCATCAGATATCACACCATCTGCCAGGCCCTGAAAATCCATCATTGCCAAGTCATCCCGCTGCTCTCCTCTCCTCACATTACGGACCAACGCCACACACTGCGCCTCGGCCTCACAAGGAGCATCCACCCAAGGGATGCCGAAGGCTGTCAACAGAAGCTGAATGTCCTCTTTTAGCGCTCTGAAATCTACCTGAAGAAAAGCCCCGTTTTCCTAGGGCAGGAAGAGGCACTTACCTCAGTTTGTTGCTTCGCGAGTTTGTTAACGTTATCCTCTAGTAGTTTCTCCTCGACCCTCAACTTGCTCTGTAGATCATCAAGAGCCGACAACGGGACCTGCACACCGTTCAAAGGACACACTGTGCGACCGCAGCACCGACCTGGCCCCCTTCCTTCCGCCCTCTATACCTCGGCTTCGGCATTCCTTCAATATCAATCATCTTCCGTTCAATCTCCACCAGAGCATCTATATCGACGTCATCCAGCTCATCCAAGGCAGCCCTAGCTTCAGATGACTCCTCCCTAGCCACCTTCTCTACTGGTATCGGTTGACCAGTCCGTGGCTTCGGGAACCAAGCAGTTCCAGATGCTTCCTCGACAGCTTCGCTACTTGGTGACGGCTCCACATGCTCCAGCACTTTACTTTCAACTGCCGACATGGGCATTGGTCCCTCCCGTCGCAGGCTTTCCACTCCAGCTCCCAACTCCTCCTCAGCCGCTGGTGAGTATCCATCAGGCTCGTGAGTATCCGATATGAGCACCGACTGCTCTGTGATGCTGGCCACTGATGGCGCTGAAACCGACGCGGACCGCGACCGACTCAACGAGGAACTCTCGATCAGCGGTTCATCTGTGGGCGACAGAAACTCGACAGCTTGCGGAATGTCATCTGATTCAGGGACACCCATCGTCACTGGCAACTGAAAAACGCCTGACCGTCACTGGCCGCCAAATATCCCACAATCACTCACCTCAGCTGAGCTGTCGACAGGCTCGGTCCTTGCCGTGGCATTAGCCTCCCTTCTCCCATTATCCTGATACTCTAGCACGACGCTAGAGTCTATTCCATCGCTTCCGCGGGATTCACCAGGACCTCCAACGAGCATTGTTTTGTCACCATCACTTTTCCCCGAAGCTACAGTCTCGTCACCAACTTCCATCGTGACATTCCCTATACCATCATTTGCAGATATCAGAACAGGTACGCCTCGACTGCCATTTTCGGGAGAGCTTGGTATTCCATCTGGTGCCCTCTTCCTCTTGAGGTTTATCTTCAACTTCCCTATCCTCCTCCCCATCGGACTGCGAGTAGCCTCGATGTTTCCACTCACCGAAATAACACGGGCCAAATGAGAACCAGACGGCCCCACATTGTTGTCAATGCATCGAACGCCTTGGGGCTCCTCGTCAGCGAACATGTTATCGAAATCGACATCGGATGAGTCACTGCCATCACTCAGCGCACCGTCACCAGCAGCCTTCGGCACTTCCATCTTCACTTCAATTTTCACATCTCGCTTCTCCTCCTCGCAAGTAGGACTACCGTCCAAAACCTCCTCCAACGTCTGCTTCAGATCAACGTCCTGCGTGGAAGCATACTTCAAGTTGTCGAGATTATTCATATATTGACTCCGCGACTTCTTCCTTTTCTGACGCCATTCGAATTCCGGAGGAGGCGAAGGAGGTGACGGCGAAGAGGTTACAGCCTCAGGTGGTACATAAATGCCCTTGGCAGAAACGTCCTCTCCTGACCAACGATACTTCATCCCTCCAGAGTCGCCCAGCAATCATCAATATTACCTTTGGCGGCCAACCTATGCTCTTCTTCCTCCTTGGCGATCTCCAGCTTGGTTTTGCTGATCATCTCATTGACCCGCACCAACTCCATGAATTGCGCGGTATTACTCGCACTGTGGGAGAAAAAACCAAAAATGTTCACGCAGACCCCTCATGCCTCCTCCCTGCTGAACTTACAAAGCGATGCCTTCGGCCCCAGCGACTGCCTGGTGATGAATCGCCCTCGCACGGCCATCATTCATGACCTATACCACAACACACAGCCAAATGGAATCCACTGCTGCTAGGCCCATCCTCCTCATACTACCTTCTCCCTCACTTCTAAGAGCACTTTATAACGGACCATCGTCGGCAGTTGAGCTACTGTATCGAGATCGTACCCGCCGCTCTTGGAGTTGTCATCCTGGCCTTGAACCATGTCCTACTCAGCGTCACATACCCGCCACCTCATCGCACAAGCGATCGGACTACTTCCAGCTCCCGTACTGCCTCTTGAGACACCTGAATGTCATCTAGGCCCCTTCGCTCCGCTAAGAACCCGCGGAAAGCGGAAGGCACAGCCTTGTTATATCTGAGTAAAGCGAACTCATACTACATACTCCCTCGGCTGAATACCTCCATCGTCGTCTCCTTTGACTCGGCTCATTACGTCGCTCCTCCTCAGAGCTCGGCACGCCGTTCAAGGTCCTAGCGCTGCTCCACTCACTATCGGACGAAGAGCCACTGCCACTGCTGGACGAAACTGATATGCTGTCCGCTACCTCAGCGGCCGTACCTGAGGTGGAGATATACGACAAGCTACAGACTCACATGAGATGAGCTACTACCCTCCGGCTCAGCAATCTCAGCCGATGGAGACGAGCCGCTACTCTCGCCCTGCCTCTCCTTGTGAACCTTAGATGCTGCCTTCTGCAAAAGCCTACATCAAATACGGAACCACCAGGTGCTGTCAACGAGCAGGGAGGTGTAGTGCATTTGCTATCCACCTGTTTTTCACTAGTTGTTGAGCAGTCCGTCGCAGTCGCGCCTCGGCTTTTTCCGCGTCCCTAGCTCGCTTGGCTATTGTATCCCTCTTCAACTTCGGCGCCGGTCCGTCGAATACTATTATAGGCTTGACCTTCAAGAACAGTAACTTGCATAAACCTGAGGGCTCGAGCCATGGCCCTCCAGGACGGCTCGACGATCATTTACGTCTGAAAAACCCCAGCATGTGAGGCCCCTTCTTATTGGGTGGCATGGCTTTGACGAAATGGTACATCCAGATGGAAGCATCGATGGCCAATATCTACGGACTCCAGTTGAGCTCCTATAAGATCGGTGAATCAGCTTGCCTTGTTCGCCATAACATCCAGAGATACTCGGCGGCCATAGGGAGAGACTAGCTGCCATAAGCCGCTAACTCCCATGAAAAGGAGGCCTCCAACTACTCCACTGTTTGAAATGAATCCGACTCCCGCCGCCCTATTAGATCGCCCCATCACCCTCACTCAGTGAGGCTCACTGACTCACGCAAGAACATCAGAAAGAGTGCATGTAAACTACATCGAGTTCGCAAACGTCGTCGAGCAAAACCTGGTTTAGGAATTACTCAGATTAGCTCATAACCACGGCCACACATATAACCTGTCAATGTGATCGAAGCAAGGGCTCTCCCCTCGTATGCATTTCGATTCAGTCAGCATGTGATTCCTTTATCACCGGTGTCAGCAGAGCGTATTCAATTACTAACGGTGCCGGTAGAAACAATATCCGTTATATATTCACGGAACTCGTGCTATGAGATGGCAGAATTTTTTGCTTGGGAGGAACTCCCTCACCTCGAATGACGAGGAGGCGTCCAAATGCTACTAGTCGCTCTTCTCATTGAGGTGAGACTAGATGTTATCTAAGACTCTTTACTGACAGAAGTTCATGGGCATTTACGATATTCCCAGGGCCGCACCATGCTGAGTCGTTATTGAATCTTACCTTGACACCATCATGGAGAACCACACAGAAAGGCGGAAGCGAGGCGGCATATGTGCGGCATTTGTCATCAACGACGACTCTTCATCATCACTTAGTGCACCACTCCTGTAAAGTATAAGCATCTCATACGCCTCACCGCCATACATCATTGCCACATAACGGAGTTTCGGCGTGCGCGTTTTTCTTTCGAACAACTCTTAATTGGACAAATACTGATATGATGCTTTTACCTTTCAGCAGGCAGGGTTGTATCGAGGAACAAGTGATATCTTAGGCGTTTATCTGCGCGAATCGCGAAGCGTCAATAAGCCAAAGCTGTATACTTCATAGTACAGTGTCCCAACCCTCAGAAGGTTTACGCGCTAGTGGAAAATGGAGAAGTCCTTTTCGAGTCCACGTCACGATGAGTTGATCTTCTCGTCACTCTGGTGGATCGAAGTGTAGGTCCAGTGACAGCCTATGACCTGAGCTGTGCCCGATGGTTACGAGGTGGGGTCAGTTTGAATGTCGAATGTCGAAGTCGACAAAGTCGCTGCCGTGAAAAAGGCTGTTCATGATGGCACGGTAGGCGACCAGTAGATAATAATTCAACTCAACTGCCATGGTATGTCCTGATGAAAGATGCCATCGATGCGCTAGGATCGGCTGGTATCGGCCGATGTAGGATTAGCCACATTCGCTACATGAAGCGCGATGTCATTTTGCTTAGATAGGTTACCGTGGTAGACCTCTATAATCCTAAGGCACTTATCGCGTCCTCACTCCGTAATCGATGGTGGCAGATGTTCAGTCTGACGGAACTATCACTGTCGTCGACGCATGCGCCTCTCCCTGTCTAACGTGATGCACATTCCTCGGTAGATGAGGAACCGTGAAGTAAAAGGTGTTATGGTGCCCATGGAGTTGGCTCCAAAGCGGGCTGAAGTGCTGCTGGATTGGTTGATGAAGGCCCAGCCCCTACTATGAGTTGGAAAGGCCTCATGAGCGGTGGCCCACCCCTCAGCTGAACATAGCCCTGGTATCAGTCCAGAAGTGCATGTTAGTGATTTCAATGGGTAACCACGTGAATCCGAACTGCAGCGACTCAGGCTTACTTGGTAGATTCCAGGGTATCACTTTTATCAAACGATTACTAACGTGTCTCTCTAAACGTTGGTCTTGCCTTGTTAATTATGCTTGTGGACACCTCTGAAGCGCTTGCTTTGAATGTTTTATTATCGTCCTGTGAAGGGGAATCCCGGAAACTCCACACGAGCGGTCACTATGAAAATCCTTGTGCTACTCGGCAGCCTTGGGCTAGTGGGGTGCTTGGTAGCTTTCTCCCACCGTATCACCAGTGCCAGTATAAAGCAGGTGAGCATCCGTTTTTCCACACGTGGCACCAAAGACCCCAAAATAGTCTCACGAGCATCAATTATTTCTCTTTCTATGGTGACATGCTGTACTTGTTCAGGTGCAGGATGACGCGGATTCGGTAAAGTCGAGCATGGAAGGTTTGCGTAATCAACGTTCATAACAACTTATGTGCAGCGAAAACAACCCTTTGTGGATCAGGGAGGGATGCTGAACAGCTGGATGCAAATCTTCGCACCATTCACGAGGATTTGAAAAAAGCTGTCGGCGCCCAGAGGGAAGATCGAAATCAAGTTATGTCCCTCACTGATAGCCTAGGCGGTAATCAAGCTTATTCTACCCACTCGTATCATCGAGTCAGGTTTGGACCTCGCACAACTGAACAAGAAGCTCACTTCCCTGCAAGAGGAAGCCACCCGGAAGTTCTCTTTGTTGGAGAGAGAAATCGCACAGACAAGAGAACAGAGTAGAAGCTTTGTGAACGAGGTGTCGAATGGAAAGGTCGATCATATGAGGTAACCTCCAATAATGCTCGTATAATGGGAGCCGGCTCAGGCTTGTGGAAGACCGTAACGATCTTGAGGGCCGACTAGCAGCTGCCGAGAAGAGACTGGCAGATCGTTTGACGGCACTCGAAGAACTGGAGAAATCCAGACATAACCCGAAGGATGTCCAGGAGGCCTCTTTACTCAAACAACAGGTGCGGATCGCGGCATGCTCAACTGCAGCCACGTTATGCCACTGAGTCAGATCCAGGCCCAAGATGCACGAATCAAAACTCTTCTCGCCGAGAGTGCGCATCCAGTCAGGGCCCCTGGGCTTTTGCTGTGATGCTCTCGTGTAGACCTCGTGCCGATTCACTATCGATGAATTGGTGAACATCGCCAGACTGACATGACACCTGTATGGGTTAGTTGTTACCTCGGTCTCTGAAGGTGCAAAAGATGTAAGCTTTTGAGTTGCGAGTGTAAACACTCCACGCTTTGTGGATACAGCTTCTCACTAAAATGAGAATGTTAAAAGCCAAAACAGTGGTTATTACAAATATAGCATTCCCTTTCGCCGCACAACAACATTGTCAACTACAAGGTGGGCGAAATCTTGAGGAGTGAAGAAATCTCTCACCGTTCAAATTTTGTGATTTACTCGATAATATCCCTCGCTACTACCACGAACACAACATATACAATCAAACAGAGAATCTTGGTTTGAACCGACACTTCAAACCCAACAGCCTGTTAGTCGAGCCACGATTCAGTAGCTGCAACTCACAACATCTCTGGGTGCTTAAAATAATCCTCGACACTACTCACGTGCCAGACTCGGCAGCGCATACACGAGCAGCAACTCACTAGTGACACCGTGATAGTAATGTGGTACATGGAATAGGCGAACATAACACGTCTCTATCTGGAATTCTTCATAGTGATTTCTATAAACTGGCAGCAATAACGGTGTTACGATCAATGTGGGGTGTATTGACAATAATGAGAGTTCAAATCTTATAGACTATCAGGGAGTGTGTGTGCCACTGCATCCGCAGTTCTATCACTGAACACACTGTGAATTACGACGATATGCGCATGAACGCAAGCGACACATGACGCGATATCGAGGTAACTTCCGTAAATAATTCATTCGACAAATACTAGAAATAACACCTGCAACAGATAGGACCTCAGCTTCGTAACGTAGGATGGATCGCTAGGCGCTCGGTGGGCGCTACGATTCATCACACAAGTCAGATAATCACCACCACTAATACTGCAATACATAGTCGTTTAATAATAACTACGGCCCTTGCCCTTACCGCCCTTCCCACCACGGCCCTTGCCGTACGGGCGTCGATACCCTCCGAAGGGTCGACGCTGGGCAGCAGTCGCGCCGAATGTCTCCTTATCGGTAGCTCGCTGTTTGGCCCTCTGATCAAGAATGGCCGGATCAGTCGGACCTTGATTGCTTCTCGCTCTACGGTCAAGAGCGTCACAGGAGATGTCGTCAAAGAACCCTTTATTCTTACTGTAACCACTTCTGACTGTGGTACCAGCGGTAGACACAGCACTTTCGTCAGGCTTCTCAAGCTTGGACGCGTTGCCAGCATAATCGAACTCATCCTTCACCTCAGCCTTGGCTTCAGGATTCACGTTAGGGACTAATTCACCAACAGGACCTGTACGGGTAGGGGGTCTCCTGTGAGGTCTGTCACTGCGACCATAACCACCAGAATAACCACCATAGTAGCTACCCTTGCCATACCCCTTTCCATATCCCTTGCCACCTCCGCCGTACCCCCAGCTACCACGATCTTCCCAGCGACCACGACCACCGCGATCATCTCTCTGCTGACGGTTGCCACCACCGACCTTGGGGGCTTGGTTCATGCTCACGATGGCTGGATCCGTCAGAGGACCAGTCTTTTGACCAGCACCTTCTAACACAGTGAGATCCTTGATGTCCTTGCCTCGGAATATGATGAAGTCATAGACCTCGTCGCTCGGGGGAACGTGGGGGGTCTTGCGGCCCTCGGTACCAGACGACTTGACGTTTTGTAGAGCTATAGTAGACTCCTCGGTGTTGATCGTGTAGAGTATGCCTTCGTAGCGGATCTCGGCGTTGGAGATGAGGGAGATTCTACTCCCGATGTAGGGTAGTGATGAACCACTCATGAGTTTAAGCTGGTCGAGTTAACAACGGAAACGCTCAGCGAGCTTTCAAAATCTGAAAGGGGATACATCACAGACCATAAAGGACCGATTAATCATCAACGAAACCGACACAGGCGATGAAGAGAGTCACCAGCAACACGCAAACACAAAGTAAAACGTCAAGTGAGTCCATTATGGATCAACCACTATACATCTGCGCAACAACTCCGAAGACACATTCAGAGTTGTTACAACGAGGGCGTGGAGAGAGCTACGCACGCATGCGCATCTTAGGGGTACGTCGTACGCTCTTCGAGCGAGAAAAACTTTGATAGATCACCTATCGTCGCACAATTCCACCACACTAACACTCGCTGACAATATGGTGCAATGCTTCCTCGAAATCTTCCTCACTAGCACATGGAAAACCACGAATAGTCTTTGGAGAATCGATTTTGGGCGGGCGAGAGTGCTACGATTTGATACACTCTACGGAACTCCTTACGGCTGTCGTGATGATATCCCCCTTTGCTTCGTCATGCCCAGCCGCTTTACAGACAGGTGTTCTAGAATAGTACTTTTGATGCGAGTGATGCATACTGGCTTGCACGCTGGATAGCAAAGAGTTAGTTAGCTCTACAAGTCGATGAACAGAGTATATTCATCCGACATGCAAAATTCAATAACCAAGCTAGCTCGACGAGAATCCTTCACGGTTCTACTGAGCGCTCTCAGCCTACTTGCTGTTCTCCGAGGCTCCCTCTGCACCTTCATGCTTGAGCCTCCTAGATTGCGCCCGAGAATTTGGAATCATGCGTTGTGTGTTGTGTCTTTCACGCATTCTGATTCAGAATTTCGGTAATCCTCTTCCTCGCCAAGTTCGTGACACCAGCGGCAGCTCTGTCAGTCGCATCGAGTAATTCTGATATGATATCAACGACCGGTCTCCTAGCTTCGTCGATGCTGCGGCGCACAGCTTTGAATGCGACGTCCTGTCTGCTTGCACGACGTCCATTCACTGCCGCGGCCACTGCTGCTGCTGCTCTCAATGAAAAACTGACCCCTGAGGAACAGGCTGAGAAGCAAAGGCTCATCAAAGAGCTCACGAAGAAGCTTGCAGGTATGCTCTCTGGAATGCATCACTTTCAGGTCCCGTAGATCGTGGTCAATCGCTGCTTTGCTGCTCAGGTCCTCTGGCTGACGAGAATGGCAACGTGCCCACTGGGAAGGACCGTCCTATCGCTATCGAAGTGGATGGTCCGAGCCACTTCTATGCGAACAGCACCAAGTAGGATCTCGCTCGATCTTTCTCCCCGACCATGTTTTCTCGGTACAGGTACACGGCATACACGAAGTTGAAACACCGCCTTTTGACGCGAATGGGCTACAAAGTCCTGCACGTGCCGTACTTCGAGTGGAGGAAGCTCCGTGGTGCGAAGGAGAGAGAGGAGTATATGCGAACCAAGCTCAAGTGAGTCATGAGATTCGAACCAAGAATGTCTATCAAAATCTTGCAGGGAGGAACCCACTGAGTGGCTCGATCCTGAGGATGAGAAATACTACATGGCCCGACATGCAGAGATGGTCAAAGTCGTTGGAGAATCCGAGATCTCATCCGAGCCTACTCCGCAAGCCATTGATAAGGCACCATCTGTTTCTGGTGCTAGCACTCCTAAAAGCACTTCTAGCGGTGGACGTGGTATTTGATTTGACCGGACTGCCGCGTCTCTGACTCCCGTGTACTCTTTCAGTCCCGTTCGTCCCCCCTCCTCCACCTCCCCCTCGAGCACCTCCGCCACCAAGACCGTAGCCACAGTAGATAGGAGCGTTTCCGGGCATGATTCAGTCATAGTTTCATCATAATTGTCGTTCACTCTGGTCGCGGTTGGTGCATAATTACAAAAACATATGAGGATTTTATGTGATGCGATAGTGACGTTTCAGCTCATTCGCTGTTGTCGAGTTCAGTGGGATTTGTCGGGGCTACCAATCGGACGACATCTATGCTAATGATCACGAGTACTAAACGCCACACGCATGTTGAGCATCTTAGAGTATGTGGCCATCACTATTATTCTCTCGTTGTTCGGTGTACAACCTGAGCATGTACACGTTGTACAATATCGAGCATTGTCGCTGTATAGGAGAGTAGCTTTATTAGGTGATGCAACAATGTCAATCGATCTCTCAGCGGTGAGTCCGTTCCGTCGTCGGGTATATGAAGCGCTGCTGGAAGTTCCGAAAGGGAAAGTCACCACGTACAAGGAGCTCTCACGGAGGATTGATTGTCGGTAACGCGCATGCTGTGTTCTCCGACACAACAGTGTAGTTGCAGATCCTGCCAAGCTGTCGGTCAGGCTTTGAAGTGCAATCCCTTCGCCCCTGATGTTCCGTGCCATCGTGTTGTGCGAGCTTCACTTGATATTGGTGGTTTTCATGGCCACGTCGCTACGGATTCCGTAGTAGCGGAGTAGCTCGTCTAGTTCGATAGTACTCTTCACTGTGTCAGAAGGACGTTCAACGAAAGATAGCTCTCCTCCTCGAAGAAGGCGTTGTATTCGTTGATGACAACACCCGAGTTCGAGTCAGTTCCGAGTGTCTATACCATTTCTGACTTTGCCATGCACGTAGTTTTCCAATCTCGGCTATTGGCTTTGATTTTCATACTGATGGGCTCGCAGATGACTGCGTTTCTCTGGCTTCGAGCTCCCCTCTCACTATTGCTTCCGCCTGTCTTGCAAATCGACGTAGATTGGGGACGGGTACTCAACTCAACAAGATAGGCCTTGAGAGCAGCTTATTCAATTCTTTATATACTTGAAAGTGTTCCACATGAGTGCCACATGAGACGGTTCATGCAAGGGGTGCATGAAGATACTCACATACGACGCGCGCAACCAAGGAGGGGAATCCACCAAGATGACCATTGGCCATCGCCGAGCTTCTCGGCCTTCTGCTACTGATAGCTTCATCTTTGGTACGGCTAGAGCGTTAGATGATCTAACTATAAAATCAATCTAACTTAGATTGATTTTTTTCGACTAACCTCCACTTGTGCGGAGTGTTCAGTTGAATTGAATCAGGCTGAGGTTCTGCCCTGGCTACGTGAACTGCGTTTAGTGACGCAACAATTTGTATAATGAACTACAAGTGCAGCACTTGTAGTTCATTTGTAGGCCAGTTTCAGTTGTTTTTTTTATTTCAGTTGTTTTGTAAGCACTTGAAGTGCTTACAAAATTGTGCTGGAAGTGAGCTTGTGGTCAAGCGCAATTGGTCCTTATTTCCGATTGGTATTCGGTGAACTTTTGTTTCCGAATTCATGAATCATTTACATCTAGTCGTTGGTTGTCGTAAGTCGGAACGAAAACTTCGACTACTACGCCTCGATGTCGGAGTTTTGATCATCATCACGGAAGATACTTCTTCCGTGAGTTGTAGCCTGACGACCCCTATGTTGCATTATCCAGAGGCAGCAAAGACCCGCGAACTCCCGAACAATCTTGAGTATTTCAGAATGCCTTCCCATTGTAACAACTCGAACACTGCGTAGCTGGATAACATTTTCTATCACAAATTCACACATCGAATATCATAGTGTTGTGGCCTGACCCACGGATGAAAGAGAGAACCTTTAGACATTAAAGGTTGCTATTTACGTTACCAGAGTAAATACTGCCAATGATGAGCAAATGCGAAGGTCGATCCATCCACGCTTCAACTTTCGATCACTGAACCATTTCGGTTTATCATTGTCTTCTCATCATTGTGACGAACTCCTCGAAATCAATTTCACCATCACCGTCAGCATCGACCTCATTCAGGATTTCATCCAGGTGCCCTTCGACTATGTCACTGACAGCTCCATTATGAAGGACTTGACTGAGCTCCTTCCGAGTGATCTTTCCGTCTCCATCGATGTCAAAAACTCTGAATGCTGCCCACAGGCGATCTTCTTGGATATACTTCTTGCCTAAGTTAGGAGAGGTACTAGCGACAGCGTTACAATCCACACCAAATTATGGGCTTCACGCTGATTTCCTTACGATCAAGTGTAGCCGCTATGAACTCGGTGTAGTCGATGACGCCAGAGCCATCAGCATCCACTTGATTCATGATCTCCGTCAAATTATCCGGAAATTCTTTGAGGTCTGAATCAGATATCAGAATTCACTTTCTGGACACTTTCAGCCAGATGAATACGAAACAAATGTCTCGGTTCTAACTTTTGACGCATCACGACGAGTGTCGCGCCTCCGTTGTGAGCAGAGAACCGTTCGATCCCTACCAGCGTGATTTATGCCCTCCACGATTTCGTGCACAGTGAGCTGCCCATCACCGTTCTTGTCGATGGAGATGAATATCTGCCTCAGCTGCTCAATCTCTTCGTCTGGTAGCTGCTGAGCAATGATGTGCAACGCAGCCTGAAAATGTGCAATTCTGACGCATGCACTCGGACTCGGATTCACCTTCTTGAGTTTATTCTGACTGCGGAAGGACTTCAAGTTCTCTATTTGCGCCCCTTCCAATGGCATTCCCTGGGCCTTAGGAGCCTTGTTGCGTACCCATATGTGGTTCAAAGCTTGCTCGGCTAACGAGGAAGCGGGAATACACGATACACCAATCATTCCGCGACAGAGAAATGACAGGTGTAAGCTTCTCTTACCAGTATAACGATCTTTAGGATTGATCTTCAACAGCTTCCGAATAAGGTCCTTGGCATCTTCAGATACTCCCTTCCAATCAGCAGCGTTGAACGTGTAGTTCCCCAGCCGCACTTTAGTGAGAACGTCAGCATCAGTCTCGCCATAGAAGGGAGGGTAACCACACAGGAGAATGTACCTAGGGTCGACTTCATCGAGGCATGCGGCATTTCGACGAGAGCGATTTACTCGTGAAACCATACCACTAAGAGCCGTTGGCAACCGTACATATGCGAGGAGAGATGCAAAGCAGCTTACATTATAACGCCGCAGCTCCAGAGGTCACATGCCTCATTATACTTCCCACCGAGTACTTGCGGGGCAACGTAGTAAGGAGTGCCAGCCTTGGTCGTCATGGTATCATCTTTGCCAAACTTCGTGCTAAGGCCGAAGTCGATGAGTTTCAAACAGGACTTCTCAAGCGGCTCTTTTGTGGAGAAGAGAAAGTTCTCCGGTTTCAAATCACGGTGCATTATATGGTTCTCATGCATGTAGTATATCGCTCGGAGGATCTGTTGCATGACGATAGCCGCCTGGACTTCAGTGAAATGCCCAACTTCAATAATCCGATCGAAAAGCTCGCCTGAAGAAGCAGTGATGGAGTCGTACTTAGCAGCAATCCTTACCTCCCGTGCAGAGTTCCATGACGAGATAAATGTTACGATGATCCTCAAATGTCTCGAACAGTTTTATAATATTGGGATGATCAAGCATCTTCATAATCGCTATCTCTTGCTTGAATCGATCAATATTCTTCACATGAGACTTTGATATCGTCTTAACTGCACGAACCTGATCCAACTAGCGTGAGTCACAGACACTCATTCTTGATATCGGGAACGCCAAGACGATCAGAATTAGCGCTTACCGCTGCCGTAGATTTATTGGTTGCCTTGGACACCGAGCCGTATGAGCCTTGACCCAGCTTCTTCCCTTCAAGGTCGTAGAAGTCCGTTAGCGTGCCTCTGTTGTCTACGATGAAGTTGGCTCGAGCGAAGCCTCCTTCAACAACCTAAAAGTCAGCGATCAGGGGAGAGTAGCTCGACGAGGAAGTGACCTCTTTCTGAGGGAAGTTGCTGCTACTGCCGTGAATTGTGGAATTAGGTCCCGGCTTGGATCCGCATACATTCCCCATTTACACGGTGGATAAAATAGTCAGCTAATAAGGGCAAGGGACAACCAGGTCTACTGGGTAGACCATGTCGTAGGACCCCGAAGAAACACGCGGAGGGAAGGAGAGAAACTCGATTAGGTCAGTTTCTGCGGCAGTAGCCCCAATAGGAAGCGATTCCCATCCTCATTCCTCGAATTCGCAGTCGTAAGAAGCAAGTAGACTGCTACCGACGGAGTTGCGCAATTGCGTTGAGGAAGCTCATGATTTCCTAAGATAGCAAGTATCGAAGAGGCCGTTCGAGGAGGCGCCAACAGACGGTGTCACTAAACTTGATGTCCTAGATCACTCTTTGACAACTTGTCACTAAATTTAGTTACACCAGTTCGCCCAGCTGGTGGATATCCAATCCTGCGCTACTTGAATAACGTTCTTATCTAGGGTAAGTTACCGCATTAGACTCGGTAGGGGTTTGCACTCGCATGAGAGGCTCGGGTTTCGGGTTTCCCGGGAATAAGAACCTTCCATTTTAATGTAGAAATATTAGTCATTCACGAATCCATGTACTGACCAACTCGTTATGTTCAAGCTGCTGAGAGTTGGTACGGTGTGATATCCACTATCGAATTGGATGCTAGTGAACACGTTCATCACGGACAGTTCTGCCCTTTTGAGTGATCGCCCTAGGAGTCCTGATTCAGGACCATGTCATGCTCGTGTGCACGGAGTTGACAGTAGGGAAGACGGGCATGTAACGATGGAATAGATAGCAAAATCAATACGCCTCACCTCTTGACAAGCAGTAAGTATGACAAGCCTACTGACCGTCGCAATCCCTACCAATCCACTGTCCCCAGGAGGCATCGAGTAGCACTAACCAGCCGCAATGACTAGGCTTGTCACAGACAACGCAAATAACACTTGTGGTAGTGCCCCGACTGGAGGCTCCTACGAGAGGAATCTCTGGTCATGGAGGTTCTCATTAACTCTGATTGTGTGGAATTATGAGCTGCATCCTAAGTCCAATCGTCATTCTCTGGGAATTCGACGAAACCCTACATTCTCTAATGCGAGCCCTGCCAAAGCCATGTACGTCCGAATGTACATTCGTCACTATAAGGCTAGGTCGGCAACTTGCTGACAGCGAAGCTCATGAGAATGAGTAACAACAGAAGTAGGAATGTGGAGGAGTTCGTATCAGACTCACTCGCTGCCACCATAGTCCTCAGAAGAAGCGGCAGGACAATTTGACACATCACAGTCTTGCACCATTAGAACAGTGAGGCATATCGTTGACCCTGTAGTCATCTGATTTCAATGGGGTCTAGGCGGACGTCAAGCGAGCCGTAAAAAGTTGAGTGGTGGTCGAGCGGAGCGATCAGAGCCCGTGGGGAGTCGCTTTGCTATGACAGGGCCGAACTGGCGTCGTTGTGGAGGTTGTCAAACAGAGCTTTATGAGCTCTCTGTGAATTACGCATTTTCCTAGCCATACTAAAACGCAAAAATACATACGAGTGTCAAGTCTCTGGGGATGAATCTTTTCCCTCAGATGGTGATGTTACAGGAGTAGGCTTAAATGTATACTGTACCAATAAAGGACGTATTCGATCACGCCAATGCTTCCTAATAACTTCTTCGAATTCAATCGACCCACTGGTTCCACCATGGATGACAACCTGAAATCAAATTACACAGAAAGGGTAACGTCGGGGAGTACTGTCACGAACTCACCTGTCCACTTGGAAAAACTAATGTGTAAATTTCGGGTCGTCGAGGCTCCAATGTTGGTCGTTGCGTTCCTTCAACAGAACATAAAATCAGGAATAAAACTCAGTCACATACCATCTTCCCCAAGTCCATCACTCAATCTGCTGGCTGCACTATCCACACGGGGGCCTGAAACATACAACTGCCAGCATTTGCCTTCTCACTAGCATACGCTTGTTCATAGGAGACATAAGCACATGCAATTCAGGTTCATCGAGACCACCGTCTTCCGGCCGTGGTCGCTTGCTAGACGGTGAGCCGCTCTCACCACTAGGGGACTGAGGAACCGTTGCTGGTTGTTCTGGTGGAGCCGCAGCAACTATGAAGGAGAGCGATTTGAAAGAGTGGACTCAGACAGCCTACCAGGTGGGACCTCGTGGACGATAGTCACTGCCACAGAGGTTCCTGAAATCCCTATTGATGGATCGAAGGCGACCCGGACGCAATTCTCTTGTTCGAGTATCTTGTCCTTAGCCCTGAAACGGAATGTGATATGCCAGCTGAAGCATCCTCCTCACCGCGCGAGCTTCACGACGTCTACAACATCCGGAAATCTCGCTACAGCGACCAAGTTGACG